GCTGGGGGTGGGTGGGTTCTAGTCATGCTGGTACATTCAGCTGGGGGTAGGTTCTAGTCATGCTGGTACATTCAGCTGGGGGTGGGTAGGTTCTAGTCATGCTGGTACATTCAGCTGGGGGTGGGTGGGTTCTAGTCATGCTGGTACATTCAGCTGGGGGTGGGTTCTAGTCATGCTGGTACATTCAGCTGGGGGTGGGTTCTAGTCATGCTGGTAGATTCAGCTGGGGGTGGGTACATTCAGCTGGGGGTGGGTTCTTGTCATGCTGGTACATTCAGCTGGGGGTGGGTACATTCAGCTGGGGTGGGTTCTAGTCATGCTGGTACATTCAGCTGGGGGTGGGTTCTAGTCATGCTGGTACATTCAGCTGGGGGTGGGTTCTAGTCATGCTGGTACATTCAGCTGGGGGTGGGTACATTCAGCTGGGGGTGGGTTCTTGTCATGCTGGTACATTCAGCTGGGGGTGGGTACATTCAGCTGGGGTGGGTTCTAGTCATGCTGGTACATTCAGCTGGGGGTGGGTTCTAGTCATGCTGGTACATTCAGCTGGGGGTGGGTACATTCAGCTGGGGTGGGTTCTAGTCATGCTGGTACATTCAGCTGGGGGTGGGTTCTAGTCATGCTGGTACATTCAGCTGGGGGTGGGTACATTCAGCTGGGGTGGGTTCTAGTCATGCTGGTACATTCAGCTGGGGGTGGGTACATTCAGCTGGGGGTGGGTGGGTTCTAGTCATGCTGGTACATTCAGCTGGGGGTGGGTACATTCAGCTGGGGGTGGGTTCTAGTCATGCTGGTACATTCAGCTGGGGGTGGGTAGGTTCTAGTCATGCTGGTACATTCAGCTGGGGTGGGTTCTAGTCATGCTGGTACATTCAGCTGGGGGTGGGTACATTCAGCTGGGGGTGGGTGGGTTCTAGTCATGCTGGTACATTCAGCTGGGGGTAGGTTCTAGTCATGCTGGTACATTCAGCTGGGGGTGGGTGGGTTCTAGTCATGCTGGTACATTACAGCTGGGGGTGGGTAGGTTCTAGTCATGCTGGTACATTCAGCTGGGGGTGGGTGGGTTCTAGTCATGCTGGTACATTCAGCTGGGGGTGGGTTCTAGTCATGCTGGTACATTCAGCTGGGGGTGGGTACATTCAGCTGGGGGTGGGTTCTAGTCATGCTGGTACATTCAGCTGGGGGTAGGTTCTAGTCATGCTGGTACATTCAGCTGGGGGTGGGTACATTCAGCTGGGGGTGGGTAGGTTCTAGTCATGCTGGTACATTCAGCTGGGGGTGGGTGGGTTCTAGTCATGCTGGTACATTCAGCTGGGGGTGGGTAGGTTCTAGTCATGTTAGTACATTCAGCTGGGGGTGGGTACATTCAGCTGGGGGTGGGTGGGTTCTAGTCATGCTGGTACATTACAGCTGGGGGTGGGTAGGTTCTAGTCATGTTAGTACATTCAGCTGGGGGTGGGTACATTCAGCTGGGGGTGGGTGGGTTCTAGTCATGCTGGTACATTCAGCTGGGGGTGGGTACAGTCATTGGGCTTTTAACATTGGAAAAATACTTTTAGCTGAGCATAAAACAAACCTTAATTAATAGACCCTCTTAAGGGCCTTATGAAAATGGGATCAAGTTTATAATAAAGAGGTTGGGTTTTGGCTATCGTAAAAACAGGAAGGTGGCGCGGGTAGGGGAAATTGCAACATTGCAATTGTGTCATTTAATAAGTAAGTGGCCAACTGTAACTGGTCCACTTGACATTAGATCGTGAAGGTCAAGGAGATACTTCTGGTATCAGGTGTTAAATCTCTATAAGTATCATACTCTTCTATCCACATACAATCTACAACTAGTATGTGATGTTGTCCCACATGTCCTCTAATTATCTTCCTTACACATGTCCTCTAATTATCTTCCCCCATGTCCTCAATCTCCGCCCATGTCCTCTAATTATCTCCCCCATGTCCTCTAATTATCTTCCCCCATGTCCTCTAATTATCTCCCCCCATGTCCTCTGCTTATCTCCCCCCATGTCCTCTAATTATCTCCCTCCTCCATGTCCTCTAATTATCTCCCCCATGTCCTCTAATTATCTCCCCCCATGTCCTCTAATTATCTCCCCCATGTCCTCTAATCATCTCCCTCCCCCATGTCCTCTAATTATCTCCCCCCATGTCCTCTAATTATCTCCCCATGTCCTCTAATTATCTCCCCCCATGTCCTCTAATTATCTCCCCTATGTCCTCTAATCATCTCCCTCCCCCCATGTCCTCTAATTATCTCCCCCATGTCCTCTAATTATCTCCCCTATGTCCTCTAATCATCTCCCTCCCCCCATGTCCCCTAATCATCTCCCTCCCCTCATGTCCTCTAATTATCTCCCCAATGTCCTCTAATTATCTCCCTCCATGTCCTCTAATTATCTCCCCATGTCCTCTAATTATCTCCCCTATGTCCTCTAATCATCTCCCTCCCCCCATGTCCTCTAATTATCTCCCCTATGTCCTCTAATTATCTCCCCCATGTCCTCTAATTATCTCCCCCCATGTAATCTATCTCCCCCCCATGTCCTCTAATTATCTTCCTCCATGTCCTCTAACTATCTCCCCAATGTCCTCTAATTATCTCCCCCCATGTCCTCTAATTATCTCCCCCCATGTCCTCTAATTACCTCCCCTATGTCCTCTAATCATCTCCCTCCCCCATGTCCTCTAATTATCTCCCCCCATGTAATCTATCTCCCCCCATGTCCTCTAATTATCTTCCCCCATGTCCTCTAATTATCTCCCCAATGTCCTCTAATTATCTCCCCCCATGTCCTCTAATTATCTCCCCCATGTCCTCTAATTATCTCCCCCCCATGTCCTCTAATTATCTCCCCCCCCCCATGTACTCACTGAGTAGCACATGTGATGTTGTCCCCATGTCCTCTAATCATCTCCCTTCCCCCATGTCCTCTAATTATCTACCCCCATGTCCTCTAATTATCTCCTCTCCATGTCCTCTAATTATCTCCCATCCATGTCCTCTAATTATCTCCCCCCATGTCCTCTAATCATCTCCCTTCCCCCCATGTTCTCTAATTATCTCCCCCCATGTCCTCTAATTATCTCCCCCCATGTCCTCTAATTATCTCCCCTGTCCTCTAATCATCTCCCTCCCCCATGTCCTCTAATTATCTCCCCTATGTCCTCTAATTATCTCCCCCATGTCCTCTAATTATCTCCCCCCATGTAATCTATCTCCCCCCATGTCCTCTAATTATCTTCCCCCATGTCCTCTAATTATCTCCCCAATGTCCTCTAATTATCTCCCCCCATGTCCTCTAATTATCTCCCCCATGTCCTCTAATTATCTCCCTATGTCCTCTAATCATCTCCCTCCCCCATGTCCTCTAATTATCTCCCCTATGTCGTCTAATTATCTCCCCCATGTCCTCTAATTATCTCCCCCCATGTTCTCTAATTATCTCCCCCCATGCCCTCTAATTATCTCCCCCATGTCCTCTAATTTTCTCCCCCCCCCCATGTACTCTAATTATCTCCCCCCCCCCATGTCCTCTATCTCCCCCCCCATGTCCTCTAATTATCTCCCCCCATGTACTCTAATTATCTCCCCCCCCATGTCCTCTATCTCCCCCCCATGTCCTCTAATTATCTCCCCCCATGTACTCTATCTCCCCCCCATGTCCTCTATCTCCCCCCGATGTCCTCTAATTATCTCCTCACCCCCCCTGTCCTCTAATTATCTCCCCCCATGTTCTCTAATTATCTCCCCCCATGCCCTCTAATTATCTCCCCCATGTCCTCTAATTATCTACCCCCATGTCCTCTAATTATCTCCCCTCCATGTCCTCTAATTATCTCCCATCCATGTCCTCTAATTATCTCCCCCCATGTCCTCTAATCATCTCCCTTCCCCCCATGTTCTCTAATTATCTCCCCCCATGTCGTCTAATTATCTCCCCTATGTCGTCTAATTATCTCCCCCATGTCCTCTAATTATCTCCCCCCATGCCCTCTAATTATCTCCCCCCATGTACTCTAATTATCTCCCCCCCCATGTCCTCTATCTCCCCCCCCCCCATGTCCTCTAATTATCTCCCCCCATGTACTCTAATTACCTCCCCCCCATGTCCTCTATCTCCCCCCCCCATGTCCTCTAATTATCTCCCCCCCCCCCATGTCCTCTAATTATCTCCCCCCCATGTCCTCTAATTATCTCCCCTATGTCGTCTAATTATCTCCCCCATGTCCTCTAATTATCTCCCCCCATGCCCTCTAATTATCTCCCCCATGTCCTCTAATTATCTCCCCCCCCCATGTCCTCTAATTATCTCCCCCCATGTACTCTAATTATCTCCCCCCCCCCCCCATGTCCTCTATCTCCCCCCCATGTCCTCTAATTATCTCCCCCCATGTACTCTTATTATCTCCCCCCCTATGTCCTCTAATTATCCCCCCCATGTCCTCTAATTATCTCCCCCCCTATGTACTCACTGAGTAGCACATGTGATGTTGTCCCCCATGTCCTCTAATCATCTCCCCTCCATGTCCTCTAATTATCTCCCCTATGTCGTCTAATTATCTCCCCCATGTCCTCTAATTATCTCCCCCCATGTTCTCTAATTATCTCCCCCATGTCCTCTAATTATCTCCCCCCCCCATGTACTCTAATTATCTCCCCCCCCATGTCCTCTATCTCCCCCCCCCATGTCCTCTAATTATCTCCCCCCCATGTCCTCTATCTCCCCCCCCCCACGTCCTCTAATTATCTCCCCCCATGTCCTCTAATCATCTCCCTTCCCCCCATGTCCTCTAATTATCTCCCCCCATGTCCTCTAATTATCTCCCCCCATGTCCTCTAATTATCTCCTCCCCCCCCCCCCCCGTGTACTCACTGAGTGGCACATGTGATGTTGTCCCCCATGTCCTCTAATTATCCCCCCCCCCCCCATGTCCTCTAATTATCTCTCCCTCCCCCCCCCCCCCCCCCCCCCCCATGTACTCACTGAGTGGCACATGTGATGTTGTCCCCCATGTCCTCAGCGTATCTGTTACAGATGAACGCCCTCATCTTGTCCATCTCCCTGCGAAGTTCCCCCACTGTCAGCAGCCACTGAGATATCAATGGCTTGGCCATAGCACCTGCTTCATTCTCTGGACCTGAAACAATTCATGCACTCAATGTTGCACACAAGAAATTAACACTTTGCTAACCTACTCTTTTTGTATTGAGTTTTTAAAAATAGAGAAAGTTGTTATTTCTCATTGAAGTTGGGTCCCCTAGCTATAATCCAGAACAACAAAAACGTAATATCCCGGAACTATATTCTTGGAAGTTATCTTTACAAAGAACATATGTGCAGAACAAGGGATTTTTCTATCTATTGATAAGCACCTTATGTAAAGAAGAATTGAAAGGTCCAACTTGTTGAGTCAGAGAAAATGTGAGTAGTCACCAAAAGGTGACAAGCCGTGTCCCAGCTACCAAGGTTGTTGACCACTTAACACCAGCCTGACCGTAACAAAAACACTTGACACCACTTTACGGGACCAAGTGAACCAGAAGTTGATAGTGGCATTCATACAACACCAGAGGCCAGCACTTCTCAATACTCGTTTGCTCATCCCATTACAAAATTTAATAAACATGTATCATGCAAATGTTACCAGAAAAGTGCCCAAACCCAGCATTCTATAGACTGGCCAAACCCAACATTCTATAGACTGGCCAAACCCAGCATTCTATAGACTGCCCAAACCCAGCATTCTATAGACTGCCCAAACCCAGCATTCTATAGACTGGCCAAACCCAGCATTCTATAGACTGCCCAAACCCAGCATTCTATAGACTGCCCAAACCCAGTATTCTATAGACTGCCCAAACCCAACATTCTATAGACTGCCCAAACCCAGCATTCTATAGACTGCCCAAACCCAGCATTCTATAGACTGCCCAAACCCAGCATTCTATAGACTGGCCAAACCCAACATTCTATAGACTGCCCAAACCCAGCATTCTATAGACTGCCCAAACCCAACATTCTATAGACTGCCCAAACCCAGCATTCTATAGACTGGCCAAACCCAGCATTCTATAGACTGCCCAAACCCAGCATTCTATAGACTGCCCAAACCCAACATTCTATAGACTGCCCAAACCCAGCATTCTATAGACTGCCCAAACCCAGCATTCTATAGACTGCCCAAACCCAGCATTCTATAGACTGGCCAAACCCAACATTCTATAGACTGGCCAAACCCAGCATTCTATAGACTGCCCAAACCCAGCATTCTATAGACTGCCCAAACCCAGCATTCTATAGACTGCCCAAACCCAGCATTCTATAGACTGCCCAAACCCAACATTCTATAGACTGCCCAAACCCAGCATTCTATAGACTGCCCAAACACAGCATTCTATAGACTGCCCAAACCCAACATTCTATAGACTGCCCAAACCCAGCATTCTATAGACTGCCCAAACCCAGCATTCTATAGACTGCCCAAACACAGCATTCTATAGACTGCCCAAACCCAGCATTCTATAGACTGCCCAAACCCAACATTCTATAGACTGCCCAAACCCAGCATTCTATAGACTGCCCAAACCCAGCATTCTATAGACTGCCCAAACACAGCATTCTATAGACTGCCCAAACCCAGCATTCTATAGACTGCCCAAACATAGTCAACTGTATATTGTGCATTCTGTTCAAACTTTCTAGTGCCTGCCCCTTCCTTCCAAAGCTACAACAGCTACCCAAAGTAACAGTAACCAGCAACATACAGATCATATTTCTACAGAAACCAGTAACATATAGATCATGATATTTCTACAGTAACCATTAACATGGGACAGAGTGGTCTAGCAGTAGAGAGCTGGACTGCTAACCCGTAAGTCTCGAGTTCAAATCCGGGTTCTAGACAGTACACCGTCCCAGAGTCCACCCAACTCTGATGGGTACCTAACTCACGTTAGGGAAAGTAAAGGCAGCTGGACATAGTGCTGACCACACTATCTCTTCATATGCCGAGGTCACAGAAACAAGTGAACTCTACTTCACTTGCCCCATAGACCGTCAGATTTGAAAGGGAAACTTTAACCAGTAACATAGAGATCATGATATTTCTACATCACTGTTCTGTAAGCACAAATTAATCAAGACAGTTTTTCAACCCAACACATGTACAGTTCAATGCATAAAAAAACTGACAGTTTAAAAACATTTTAAACTGCTGAACAAAATGAATGAACTGATATACGACATGCCTCTTAAAACAGAAACAGGAATAAAAAATAGTGAATGGCATATTTCTGACCTTTGACCCCCAGTAATAGAGAGATATCGGGATCCTCTCCTCGAGCCCGCTGCTTGACTACGTGCACTAAAGCTTGCAGCTCAGCAAAACAAAAGCCCAGCTGCTGTAGTAGAGTGTGTAGAGACTGGGGAGAGATGCTGGGGTCCTGGGCCTCCTGCTGTCTCAGTTCTTCTTTCAGCTGGAGATTTTCTTCAACTAGGGCTTGATTGTGGAGGCCATGCTGAGGATCCAAACAAGTGAATGTTGGACTGGCATGGAGGGTTAACATGAATCAAACATATGTAGCTGTCAAGTAGGGGATTAGGGTTAAACTACTTTCAATCAAGCAACAAATTCATTTCTCTTATTGACATGAAAACTCAGGGTAAATGTAAAGGTGTGGATATGGATTAGCCTCACCTCTTTCAGTGATTTTTTCATCCTCTCAATAAGTCCCTCTCTTTGGTTCACTTCCTCCTTGAGAGAGTGGACAGCCTCCTCCTCTTGTGCCAGCCTCTCTAGCGCTGACCTCAGATCTGACTGGTGTTTGGTCTCCACTTTTCTCAGCTTCAGGTGGGTCGTCTCTAGCAGCTGGTGATGTAAGACACATGTCAGACAGCTGGACTAGAACAGACAGCTGGACTAGAACAGACAGCTGGACTAGAACATGTCAGACAGCTGGACTAGAACAGACAGCTGGACTAGAACAGACAGCTGGACTAGAACAGACAGCTGGACTAGAACAGACAGCTGGACTAGAACAGACAGCTGGACTAGAACAGACAGCTGGACTAGAACAGACAGCTGGACTAGAACAGACAGCTGGACTAGAACAGACAGCTGGACTAGAACAGACAGCTGGACTAGAACAGACAGCTGGACTAGAACATGTCAGACAGCTGGACTAGAACAGACAGCTGGACTAGAACATGTCAGACAGCTGGACTAGAACATGTCAGACAGCTGGACTAGAACATGTCAGGCAGCTGGACTAGAACATGTCAGACAGCTGGACTAGAACATGTCAGACAGCTGGACTAGAACATGTCAGACAGCTAGACTAGAACATGTCAGACAGCTGGACTAGAACATGTCAGACAGCTGGACTAGAACATGTCAGACAGCTGGACTAGAACATGTCAGACAGCTGGACTAGAACATGTCAGACAGCTGGACTAGAACATGTCAGACAGCTGGACTAGAACATGTCAGACAGCTGGACTAGAACATGTCAGACAGCTGGACTAGAACATGTCAGACAGCTGGACTAGAACATGTCAGACAGCTGGACTAGAACATGTCAGACAGCTGGACTAGAACATGTCAGACAGCTAGACTAGAACATGTCAGACAGCTAGACTAGAACATGTCAGACAGCTGGACTAGAACATGTCAGACAGCTGGACTAGAACATGTCAGACAGCTGGACTAGAACAGACAGCTGGACTAGAACATGTCAGACAGCTGGACTAGAACATGTCAGACAGCTGGACTAGAACATGTCAGACAGCTGGACTAGAACATGTCAGACAGCTGGACTAGAACATGTCAGACAGCTGGACTAGAACATGTCAGACAGCTGGACTAGAACATGTCAGACAGCTGGACTAGAACATGTCAGACAGCTAGACTAGAACATGTCAGACAGCTGGACTAGAACATGTCAGACAGCTGGACTAGAACATGTCAGACAGCTGGACTAGAACAGACAGCTGGACTAGAACATGTCAGACAGCTGGACTAGAACATGTCAGACAGCTGGACTAGAACATGTCAGACAGCTGGACTAGAACATGTCAGACAGCTGGACTAGAACATGTCAGACAGCTGGACTAGAACATGTCAGACAGCTGGACTAGAACATGTCAGACAGCTGGACTAGAACATGTCAGACAGCTGGACTAGAACATGTCAGACAGCTAGACTAGAACATGTCAGACAGCTGGACTAGAACATGTCAGACAGCTGGACTAGAACATGTCAGACAGCTGGACTAGAACAGACAGCTGGACTAGAACATGTCAGACAGCTGGACTAGAACATGTCAGACAGCTGGACTAGAACATGTCAGACAGCTGGACTAGAACATGTCAGACAGCTGGACTAGAACATGTCAGACAGCTGGACTAGAACATGTCAGACAGCTGGACTAGAACATGTCAGACAGCTGGACTAGAACATGTCAGACAGCTAGACTAGAACATGTCAGACAGCTGGACTAGAACATGTCAGACAGCTGGACTAGAACATGTCAGACAGCTGGACTAGAACAGACAGCTGGACTAGAACATGTCAGACAGCTGGACTAGAACATGTCAGACAGCTGGACTAGAACATGTCAGACAGCTGGACTAGAACATGTCAGACAGCTGGACTAGAACATGTCAGACAGCTGGACTAGAACATGTCAGACAGCTGGACTAGAACATGTCAGACAGCTGGACTAGAACATGTCAGACAGCTAGACTAGAACATGTCAGACAGCTGGACTAGAACATGTCAGACAGCTGGACTAGAACATGTCAGACAGCTGGACTAGAACAGACAGCTGGACTAGAACATGTCAGACAGCTGGACTAGAACATGTCAGACAGCTGGACTAGAACATGTCAGACAGCTGGACTAGAACATGTCAGACAGCTGGACTAGAACATGTCAGACAGCTGGACTAGAACAGACAGCTGGACTAGAACATGTCAGACAGCTGGACTAGAACATGTCAGACAGCTGGACTAGAACATGTCAGACAGCTGGACTAGAACATGTCAGACAGCTGGACTAGAACAGACAGCTGGACTAGAACATGTCAGGCAGCTGGACTAGAACATGTCAGACAGCTGGACTAGAACATGTCAGACAGCTAGACTAGAACATGTCAGACAGCTGAACTAGAACATGTCAGACAGCTGAACCAGAACATGTCAGACAGCTAGAATATCTGGGAAGATTGTACCCACCTTCTTAGCCTTCTCTAAATCAGCTGCCAGTCTCTCCTTCTCTAGCTGACATTGTTTCAGTTGGCTCTTGTCAAACTCCAGCTTTTCTTTATCTTCAAATCTCTCAAACTCTTCTTGTATGTTTGTTAACTGAAATTTGGATTAACAAACACCACAGTAGTTTAGGTTTTACATCCACAACTATATGTGGCCCTACCACAACACTGAAGATCTACACATATAAACTGGTATCCTGCATGTAAAAATTAAAACGACTGTGCTGGTGTTTTAAAAACCATCACAGAGTGTAAACAAAACACGGTATTTATATTTGCCCTAACATTATTGCTAGAATGTGTCGTCACACTTTCTGAAACCCTCCTCCAGACTTTCGGAGTATGACGTCATTTATGAATGACTTCTAAACAAAAATAGTGCCTCTTTGGTAAGCGACCGATGAAGTAAACAGAATACAGGTAAGAGGCCTTGCGACTTATAAATGCTAATATTAATTATTGAAATACATCTAAGGAGCAGACCTAGATGAGAATAAGTTTTAATTTCCCCACCCCTCCCCCCAAAAAAACCCACACAAATTGTTTAATAATTTGCATTAGTTTTGGTTGGTAATGTAAAAGATAATGTATTTTTGACGTTTAAAACATACTAATTTTTTTTTCTATAATCTAAATTCTACTTTCAATATTTAGGCCTAATAATAAACATAACTGAATGTTTCAATACTGTGTTATTGAATAAGTAAAGTAGTAGAACGGTTTTAAAAAAATTAGTATACTTTATGGATGTCATCAAAAGTGGATGGAAGGACGGACGGAATGGGAATAAAATCCGAAATTTTTGTGGACATCATAAATGGATGACCCCTAACCTGGCTGTTGAAAGCATAAAATTATAGGCAAAAAGTAGGAAGCCCTGCAGTAAGATGTGGCACTAACATGACTGTACCAGCTGTGGCACTACCATAATGACTGTACCAGCTGTGGCACTACCATAATGACTGTACCAGCTGTGCCACTACCATAATGACTGTACCAGCTGTGGCACTACCATAATGACTGTACCAGCTGTGGCACTACCATAATGACTGTACCAGCTGTGGCACTACCATTATGACTGTACCAGCTGTGGCACTACCATAATGACTGTACCAGCTGTGGCACTAACATGACTGTACCAGCTGTGGCACTACCATAATGACTGTACCAGCTGTGGCACTACCATAATAACTGTACCACCTGTGGCACTACCATAATGACTGTACCAGCTGTGGCACTACCATAATGACTGTACCAGCTGTGGCACTACCATAATGACTGTACCAGCTGTACCTTGATTGTTAGCTCTTGTTCCTTGTCCTCTAGCTCACGTATCCTGAAGTCCCGAGCTGTTAAAATTTTTCTGGCATGGCTCAATTTTTTCTCAAAATTTTCAGTTCTCATCTTAAGGGATGCATTTTCTTCACGCAAGGCGAGGACCTACAGATTTTTGATGTAAGCATAAGATTAGATGAGGATCTACACATTTTTGATGTAAGCATAACATTAGATGAGGACCTACACATTTTTCATGTAAGCATAAGATTAGATGAGGATCTACACATTTTTGATGTAAGCATAAGATTAGATGAGGACCTACACATTTTTGATGTAAGCATAAGATTAGATGAGGACCTACACATTTTTGATGTAAGCATAAGATTAGATGAGGACCTACACATTTTTGATGTAAGCATAAGATTAGATGAGGACCTACACATTTTTGATGTAAGCATAAGATTAGATGAGGACCTACACATTTTTGATGTAAGCATAAGATTAGATGAGAACCTACACATTTTTGATGTAAGCATAAGATTAGATGAGGACCTACACATTTTTGATGTAAGCATAAGATTAGATGAGGACCTACACATTTTTGATGTAAGCATAAGATTAGATGAGGACCTACACATTTTTGATGTAAGCATAAGATTAGATGAGGACCTACACATTTTTGATGTAAGCATAAGATTAGATGAGGATCTACACATTTTTGATGTAAGCATAAGATTAGATGAGGACCTACACATTTTTGATGTAAGCATAAGATTAGATGAGGACCTACACATTTTTGATGTAAGCATAAGATTAGATGAGGACCTACACATTTTTTATGTAAGCATAAGATTAGATGAGGACCTACACATTTTTGATGTAAGCATAAGATTAGATGAGGACCTACACATTTTTGATGTAAGCATAAGATTAGATGAGGACCTACACATTTTTGATGTAAGCATAAGATTAGATGAGGGCCTACACATTTTTGATGTAAGCATAAGATTAGATGAGGACCTACACATTTTTCATGTAAGCATAAGATTAGATGAGGACCTACACATTTTTCATGTAAGCATAAGATTAACTGAGGACCTACACATTTTTGATGTAAGCATAAGATTAGATGAGAACCTACACATTTTTGATGTAAGCATAAGATTAGATGAGGACCTACACATTTTTCATGTAAGCATAAGATTAACTGAGGACCTACACATTTTTGATGTAAGCATAAGATTAGATGAGAACCTACACATTTTTGATGTAAGCATAAGATTAGATGAGGACCTACACATTTTTGATGTAAGCATAAGATTAGATGAGGGCCTACACATTTTTGATGTAAGCATAAGATTAGATGAGGACCTACACATTTTTCATGTAAGCATAAGATTAGATGAGGACCTACACATTTTTCATGTAAGCATAAGATTAACTGAGGACCTACACATTTTTGATGTAAGCATAAGATTAGATGAGAACCTACACATTTTTGATGTAAGCATAAGATTAGATGAGGACCTACACATTTTTTATGTAAGCATAAGATTAGATGAGGACCTACACATTTTTGATGTAAGCATAAGATTAGATGAGGGCCTACACATTTTTGATGTAAGCATAAGATTAGATGAGGACCTACACATTTTTGATGTAAGCATAAGATTAGATGAGGACCTACACATTTTTGATGTAAGCATAAGATTAGATGAGGACCTACACATTTTTGATGTAAGCATAAGATTAGATGAGGACCTACAGATTTTTGATGTAAGCATAAGATTAGATGAGGACCTACACATTTTTGATGTAAGCATAAGATTAGATGAGGATCTACAAATTTTTGATGTAAGCATAAGATTAGATGAGGACCTACAGATTTTTGATGTAAGCATAAGATTAGATGAGGACCTACACATTTTTGATGTAAGCATAAGATTAGATGAGGACCTACACATTTTTCATGTAAGCATAAGATTAGATGAGGACCTACACATTTTTTATGTAAGCATAAGATTAGATGAGGACCTACAGATTTTTGATGTAAGCATAAGATTAGATGAGGACCTACACATTTTTGATGTAAGCATAAGATTAGATGAGGACCTACAGATTTTTGATGTAAGCATAAGATTAGATGAGGACCTACACATTTTTGATGTAAGCATAAGATTAGATGAGGACCTACACATTTTTGATGTAAGCATAAGATTAACTGAGGACCTACACATTTTTGATGTAAGCATAAGATTAGATGAGAACCTACACATTTTTTATGTAAGCATAAGATTAGATGAGGACCTACACATTTTTGATGTAAGCATAAGATTAGATGAGGACCTACACATTTTTGATGTAAGCATAAGATTAGATGAGGACCTACACATTTTTGATGTAAGCATAAGATTAAATGAGGACCTACACATTTTTGATGTAAGCATAAGATTAGATGAGGACCTACACATTTTTGATGTAAGCATAAGATTAGATGAGGACCTACACATTTTTGATGTAAGCATAAGATTAGATGAGGACCTACAGATTTTTGATGTAAGCATAAGATTAGATGAGGACCTACACATTTTTGATGTAAGCATAAGATTAGATGAGGATCTACAAATTTTTTATGTAAGCATAAGATTAGATGAGGACCTACAGATTTTTTATGTAAGCATAAGATTAGATGAGGACCTACACATTTTTGATGTAAGCATAAGATTAGATGAGGACCTACAGATTTTTGATGTAAGCATAAGATTAGATGAGGACCTACACATTTTTGATGTAAGCATAAGATTAGATGAGGACCTACACATTTTTGATGTAAGCATAAGATTAGATGAGGACCTACACATTTTTGATGTAAGCATAAGATTAACTGAGGACCTACACATTTTTGATGTAAGCATAAGATTAGATGAGAACCTACACATTTTTTATGTAAGCATAAGATTAGATGAGGACCTACACATTTTTGATGTAAGCATAAGATTAGATGAGGACCTACAGATTTTTGATGTAAGCATAAGATTAGATGAGGACCTACACATTTTTGATGTAAGCATAAGATTAGATGAGGATCTACAAATTTTTTATGTAAGCATAAGATTAGATGAGGACCTACAGATTTTTTATGTAAGCATAAGATTAGATGAGGACCTACACATTTTTGATGTAAGCATAAGATTAGATGAGGACCTACAGATTTTTGATGTAAGCATAAGATTAGATGAGGACCTACACATTTTTGATGTAAGCATAAGATTAGATGAGGACCTACACATTTTTGATGTAAGCATAAGATTAGATGAGGACCTACACATTTTTGATGTAAGCATAAGATTAACTGAGGACCTACACATTTTTGATGTAAGCATAAGATTAGATGAGAACCTACACATTTTTTATGTAAGCATAAGATTAGATGAGGACCTACACATTTTTGATGTAAGCATAAGATTAGATGAGGACCTACACATTTTTGATGTAAGCATAAGATTAGATGAGAACCTACACATTTTTGATGTAAGCATAAGATTAGATGAGGACCTACACATTTTTGATGTAAGCATAAGATTAGACGAGGACCTACACATTTTTGATGTAAGCATAAGATTAGATGAGGACCTACACATTTTTGATGTAAGCATAAGATTAGATGAGGACCTACAGATTTTTGATGTAAGCATAAGATTAGATGAGGACCTACACATTTTTGATGTAAGCATAAGATTAGATGAGGACCTACACATTTTTGATGTAAGCATAAGATTAGATGAGGACCTACACATTTTTCATGTAAGCATAAGATTAGATGAGGACCTACACATTTTTGATGTAAGCATAAGATTAAATGAGGACCTACACATTTTTGATGTAAGCATAAGATTAGATGAGGACCTACACATTTTTGATGTAAGCATAAGATTAGATGAGGGCCTTCACATTTTTGATGTAAGCATAAGATTAGATGAGGACCTACACATTTTTGATGTAAGCATAAGATTAGATGAGGACCTACACATTTTTGATGTAAGCATAAGATTAGATGAGGACCTACACATTTTTGATGTAAGCATAAGATTAGATGAGGACCTTCACATTTTTGATGTAAGCATAAGATTAGATGAGGACCTACACATTTTTGATGTAAGCATAAGATTAGATGAGGACCTACACATTTTTGATGTAAGCATAAGATTAACTGAGGACCTACAGATTTTTGATGTAAGCATAAGATTAGATGAGGACCTACACATTTTTGATGTAAGCATAAGATTAGATGAGGACCTACAGATTTTTGATGTAAGCATAAGATTAGATGAGGACCTACACATTTTTGATGTAAGCATAAGATTAGATGAGGACCTACACATTTTTCATGTAAGCATAAGATTAACTGAGGACCTTCACATTTTTGATGTAAGCATAAGATTAGATGAGGATCTACACATTTTTGATGTAAGCATAAGATTAACTGAGGACCTACACATTTTTGATGTAAGCATAAGATTAGATGAGAACCTACACATTTTTGATGTAAGCATAAGATTAGATGAGGACCTACACATTTTTAATGTAAGCATAAGATTAGATGAGAACCTACACATTTTTGATGTAAGCATAAGATTAGATGAGGACCTACACATTTTTGATGTAAGCATAAGATTAGATGAGGACCTACACATTTTTGATGTAAGCATAAGATTAGATGAGGACCTACAGATTTTTGATGTAAGCATAAGATTAGATGAGGACCTACACATTTTTGATGTAAGCATAAGATTAGATGAGGACCTACACATTTTTGATGTAAGCATAAGATTAGATGAGGACCTACACATTTTTCATGTAAGCATAAGATTAGATGAGGACCTACACATTTTTGATGTAAGCATAAGATTAAATGAGGACCTACACATTTTTGATGTAAGCATAAGATTAGATGAAGACCTACACATTTTTGATGTAAGCATAAGATTAGATGAGGACCTTCACATTTTTGATGTAAGCATAAGATTAGATGAGGACCTACACATTTTTGATGTAAGCATAAGATTAGATGAGGACCTACACATTTTTGATGTAAGCATAAGATTAGATGAGGACCTACACATTTTTGATGTAAGCATAAGATTAGATGAGGACCTTCACATTTTTGATGTAAGCATAAGATTAGATGAGGACCTACACATTTTTGATGTAAGCATAAGATTAGATGAGGACCTACACATTTTTGATGTAAGCATAAGATTAACTGAGGACCTACAGATTTTTGATGTAAGCATAAGATTAGATGAGGACCTACACATTTTTGATGTAAGCATAAGATTAGATGAGGACCTACAGATTTTTGATGTAAGCATAAGATTAGATGAGGACCTACACATTTTTGATGTAAGCATAAGATTAGATGAGGACCTACACATTTTTCATGTAAGCATAAGATTAACTGAGGACCTTCACATTTTTGATGTAAGCATAAGATTAGATGAGGATCTACACATTTTTGATGTAAGCATAAGATTAACTGAGGACCTACACATTTTTGATGTAAGCATAAGATTAGATGAGAACCTACACATTTTTGATGTAAGCATAAGATTAGATGAGGACCTACACATTTTTGATGTAAGCATAAGATTAGATGAGAACCTACACATTTTTGATGTAAGCATAAGATTAGATGAGGACCTACACATTTTTGATGTAAGCATAAGATTAGATGAGGACCTACACATTTTTGATGTAAGCATAAGATTAGATGAGGACCTACACATTTTTGATGTAAGCATAAGATTAGATGAGGACCTTCACATTTTTGATGTAAGCATAAGATTAGATGAGGACCTACACATTTTTTATGTAAGCATAAGATTAGATGAGGACCTACACATTTTTGATGTAAGCATAAGATTAGATGAGGACCTACACATTTTTGATGTAAGCATAAGATTAGATGAGGATCTACACATTTTTGATGTAAGCATAAGATTAGATGAGGATCAAAAGGTCCAAGAGAGGACCTACAGATTTTTGATTGCTGAATGTGAGTTGATGGAAGAGGTCAAGACTGACCTGCTGTGCGTGGAGCCTGCTCTCCTCCACAGTGGGCAGCTCATCCAAATATCTCTGCAGACTGTCCAGTTTTTTCTTCAGCTCCTGGTGACCAGTCAAAGATTCTTCACATTTTTTCTTCCAGCTTTCTGCCTCAGTGCATTTTTCTCTCAACTGTTCAGCAAATGTAGAACAGATCAATGGTTTCTAGCAAACAACATCAATGGTTTCTAGCAAACAACATCAATGGTTTCTAGCAAACAACATCAATGGTTTCTAGCAAACAACATCAATGGTTTCTAGCAAACAACATCAATGGTTTCTAGCAAACAACATCAATGGTCTCTAGCAAACAACATCAATGGTTTCTAGCAAACAACATCAATGGTTTCTAGAAAACAACATCAATGGTTTCTAGCAAACAACATCAATGGTTTCTAGCAAACAACATCAATGGTTTCTAGCAAACAACATCAATGGTTTCTAGCAAACAACATCAATGGTTTCTAGCAAACAACATCAATGGTTTCTAGCAAACAACATCAATGGTTTCTAGCAAACAACATCAATGGTTTCTAGCAAACAACATCAATGGTTTCTAGCAAACAACATCAATGGAGATACAGTGAGGAGATACAGTGAGGAGATACAGTGAGGAGATACAGTGAGGAGATACAGTGAGGAGATACAGTGAGGAGATACAGTGAGGAGATACAGTGAGGAGATACAGTGAGGAGATACAGTGAGGAGATACAGTGAGGAGATACAGTGAGGAGATACAGGGAGGAGATACATTGAGGAGATATGAATCTCCTAAAGGTTTCATATAAGGTGTGATCCTGTACTAAATGACTTACACTCTTTTGTAGTTCAGAGAATTTCAGCTCCTGTTTCTGTAGCGCTGCATGCAACTGTTCTATTTCATGTTCAGCTGAGCTAAATCATCAAGTTAAAACAAGAGCTGATCAAACATAATTTTAAAATTATAATTGTGTTTTAATGTGCATACAAGTGTTGAGAATTATATTTGTATTTTAATGTGCATACAAGTGTTGAGAATTATACTTGTATTTTAATGTGCATACAAGTGTTGAGAATCATACTTGTATTTTAATGTGTATACAAGTATTGAGAAGCAAATGACGGCCAAGAAGGAATTTACCCTAATTTAGATTCTAGACCATCCACCTCAGTCTGCTTTCTTGCCCTCTCTTCATGCAGTCTTTCTTTTAGGTTAGTATTCTTGTGTTGCATTTCCTGACCACAGCATAAATATACAATGTTATAATAGCAAGAAAATAGATGGAGAACATTGACAAGATAAGAGAACATTGACAAGAAAAGAGAACATTGACAAGAGATGAAGAACATTGACAAGAAAAGAGAACATTGACAAGAGATGGAGAACATTGACAAGAGATGGAGAACATTGACAAGAAAAGAGAACATTGACAAGAGATGGAGAACATTGACAAGAGATGGAGAACATTGACAAGAAAAGAGAACATTGACAAGAGATGGAGAACATTGCCAAGAAAAGAGAACATTGACAAGAGATGGAGAACATTGCCAAGAAAAGAGAACATTGACAAGAGATGGAGAACATTGACAAGAGATGGAGAACATTGACAAGAGATGGAGAACATTGACAAGAAAAGCTTGTGGTGTATAGAAGGGAGGTCACCTGGAGTTTGTGCTTAACAATATCTGTATCATCTTCTTTGGCAATCAAAGCCTGTCTCAAGTTGCTCTCAGAGATTTGATAATCTTCTTCTAGTTCCAGAATTCTGTTCTTTAACCTTTGATGAGAAATTGTAAGTTGGGACCAACACTTAGCTGGGAGAGCAAATGATACAAGCAATAGACTGTAGGTATTCAAGAATCCACTGAACAAGATGCTACTCTAAAGAGAGTTGAGTTACAGTACTTTGTGCAAGCAAGCAAGGAAATCCCACGTGAAGCTATCAGTGGTGTCAGCTTACTTGTCAATGATCATGTTTTTTTCTTTGATAATGCTGTCTGCTGCCCTTCTGACTGGGTCCCATCTACTCTGTGAATCATCCAGATTGAGCTTGGACAAAACTGCTTCAGAGTACTGGGCCTGGCTGCTTGGGTTTTCATAAAGAGCCTAAAAGTAAAAATGGACAGAAACTTTTTAATCTGCTTGGGTTTTCATACAGAGCCTAAAAGTAAAAATGGACAGCAACTTTTTAATCAAGAGCTTAAATTTGAGGGCAACTTTTTTATTACAACCAATTTAAACATAAACAATACTGTCATACCCATACTGCACGTTACTGCAATATTTTATGAACATTCCAACAATGTGTTACAAATGGTGTATTTTTAGACCCGTATCCTTGTTTTCTGAAATTGATTGATGTAAACGATGTCTGTGCTTTAATTTTTGGATCTTATTGTCCCCCCACCGCTACCACCAGAGGCCACAGGGCTTGCTGTATCTAATCCTAGAGTGTACATGAATCCCTCTTAGTGAGTTAGAACACACCTCACCTGACATGTCAGGTACCACCAATGACACTACCACTGGGGCGACAGTTTAACCATCAAAATGACTTCTCCCAACATGTCCCTATAGTAGAGTGCTATTTTAAAAAATGAGGGCCCCATGGTACTCAAGGGGAGGACGTGACACTCTGGGTTACTCAAGGGGAGGACGTGACACTCTGGGTTACTCAAGGGGAGGATGTGACGCTCTGGGTTACTCAAGGGGAGGACGTGACACTCTGGGTTACTCAAGGGGAGGACGTGACACTCTGGGTTACTCAAGGGGAGGACGTGACACTCTGGGTTACTCAAGGGGAGGACATGACACTCTGGGTTATTCAAGGGGAGGACGTGACACTCTGGGTTACTCAAGGGGAGGATGTGACGCTCTGGGTTACTCAAGGGGAGGACGTGACACTCTGGGTTACTCAAGGGGAGGACGTGACACTCTGGGTTACTCAAGGGGAGGACGTGACACTCTGGGTTACTCAAGGGGAGGACATGACACTCTGGGTTATTCAAGGGGAGGACGTGACACTCTGGGTTACTCAAGGGGAGGACGTGACACTCTGGGTTACTCAAGGGGAGGACGTGACACTCTGGGTTACTCAAGGGGAGGACGTGACACTCTGGGTTACTCAAGGGGAGGACGTGACACTCTGGGTTACTCAAGGGGAGGACGTGACACTCTGGGTTACTCAAGGGGAGGACGTGACACTCTGGGTTACTCAAGGAGAGGACGTGACACTCTGGGTTACTCAAGGGGAGGATGTGACACTCTGGGTTACTCAAGGGGAGGACGTGACACTCTGGGTTACTCAAGGGGAGGACGTGACACTCTGGGTTACTCAAGGGGAGGACGTGACACTCTGGGTTACTCAAGGGGAGGACGTGACACTCTGGGTTACTCAACCACCAGGCGTCAGCAGATGTGCCGGGTGTGTTAAATAACATACCTGAGTCAAGTAGGAGTGTAGTGTAGCTAACATACCTGAGTCAAGTAGGAGTGTAGTGTAGCTAACATACCTGAGTCAAGTAGGAGTGGAGTGTAGCTAACATACCTGAGTCAAGTGAGTCAAGTAGGAGTGTAGTGTAGCTAACATACCTGAGTCAAGGAGGAGTGTAGTGTAGCTAACATACCTGAGTCAAGTAGGAGTGGAGTGTAGCTAACATACCTGAGTCAAGTAGGAGTGTAGTGTAGCTAACATACCTGAGTCAAGTAGGAGTGTAGTGTAGTTAACATACCTGAGTCAAGTAGGAGTGTAGTGTAGTTAACATACCTGAGTCAAGTAGGAGTGTAGTGTAGTTAACATACCTGAGTCAAGTAGGAGTGTAGTGTAGTTAACATACCTGAGTCAAGTAGGAGTGTAGTGTAGCTAACATACCTGAGTCAAGTAGGAGTGTAGTGTAGCTAACATACCTGAGTCTCTAGATGCTGATGTAGCAGTTCTTCTTGATGCTGCTGCTGCCAAGACCTGAGGTCATCCTGTGGAACTTTTCCAGTCACATGACCTCCGCCAATATCCTTCCACTGTTCATCAGTTTTCTTAGGGTGATCATAGTACCCCATGATGTTTTGTGTGCTATTTCCTTTCCTGATAAGTCCAGGATGAGTCCTGTTTTCAAACTGAGAGTTTGATACATTTTCCTTATAGTTGGATGGAGAACCTGAGTAATGAGAAATATTTTGTTGACTAGCACTGGACTTGATGCTTCTCTGATGTGAAAAGTCATCATCGTGAGCCGAAAGTCCTTCAGTAAAACTACGTCTGTTTGGTGAAACATTTTTCCCTAAAATTCTCCGTTGAACACCAGCAGAGTCTGTGTATTTTGGGGGGTGTCGTGAGTTGTGGTGTGGCGGATGATTGCTGGAGTAGATGGGACTGCTGTATGATGGCTCCCAGCCTGCCTTCAAGCCATGGATGCTGGAGCCAAAATATAGCTGCTTCCCATCCCATGTTGGCTGTGGATGTAGGTGGGTATGTTGAGATGCCAGTGGGTGCTGTACCACAGGGGAGGGTGTCAGTACCTCCACATCCTCATCCCAGTCTGAAATGAACATTTCACTACTAGAATGCTGCTTGTAGTCATGTACAGAGAAGATCATGTAAATGAAGAGATAGAGAAAGAAAATGTAAAATTCGAACATAGTTATCTAATTTATTTAAAACCCTTATTGTATAACAGATACTTTCCTGTAAAAACACTAGTTTAAAAAAATGTAATAGTTTAAATTGAAAGTGGTGTCACTAGTAGATTCAAGGTTAGGTTTATGGAGGAAGTGTGTGAGCCAATGAATGCCAGACATTTCCATTTCTGTATACTAGCTTCAAATACATACTAGACATGCCATATCTCTACTAGAAATACTAGCTTCAAATACATACTAGACATGCCATATCTCTACTAGAAATACTAGCTTCAAGTACCTAGATATGTCATTTCTCTACTAGAAATACTAGCTTCAAGCAGTGGCGTAGCGAGGTCAGGTGTCATCCGGTGCGGCACCTAATGGTGTCAACCCACCCCCCCCCCCCCCCAAGAAAAAAAAAATATATATGTGTATACATTCCATATACACTTGTAAGTATGTGTATACGCATGTGTATTTAAATATTTTTTTTCTTCTGGATGTATAGGTAACATATAGGTTATTACAATTCTCAACCAAACCGTTTTCCTCAGGCATATATATTGCAACGTTGAGTTGATGTAACTGCCCCCCCCCCCCCATCACCCCACGGCGATTGCTTTAAACTGTGCTCAGATAATACTAACGTTTTGTATCTATATTAGGTTATAAATTCAGCTGGATGTTGCATGTTTTCTTTATCATTAGCAGGTTTACGTCATGGTGTCATCCCCCACCCCCCTCCACCTGTGTCGGGATTTGTCCACTTTGCTCTTAAAAGACTATTTAATTCGCTTTAATTAATCATTTAATTAAGTGAAATTATCATTTTTCTGTAGATCTATATATTTTGCTATTTTTTGCCTTGCTGTCACCCCCCTAAATGGTATCACCCGGTGCGGTCCGCACCCCCCCAACTCGCTACACCTCTGGCTTCAAGTACATCATTTCTCAACTAGAAATACTAGCTTCAAATACCTACTAGACATGTCTTTTCTCTACTAGAAATACTAGTTTCAAATACCTACTAGACATGTCTTTTCTCTACTAGAAATACTAGCTTCAAGTACCTACTAGACATGTCATTTCTCTACTGTTCAAAATGGCTAAACACATTTTAATTTTTGATTCAATAGAGAACCTAAGGAAAAATCACTTTAAATAAAACAAAAATAATTCTACCTATATATGCAACATTTTATAAGTTAAATTATTTGATCACAAAGATGATACATACTTGCTGCATTACTGCCTGCTCCACCTGCTGTATAGCTTGTTTGTCTAATTTTCTGATAGTCTGCGGACAAAAAAGAATAACAGATGCTCATAATGAATACATATACAACACTATTACTACATTACAATATAGAAAACTGCTCCAGTAAGCCAGTTATTGACTTACCTGGTACGTTGGTCAATTCTTTGCTATCCATTGAAAAAAGTGAACAGTCACTTCATATTTAACCTGTAAGCACAAACGACAGTCACTTCATATTTAACCTGTAAGCACAAACGACACTCCATATTTAACCTGTAAGCACAAACTACACTCCCTTCATATTTAACCTGTAAGCACAAACTACACTCCCTTCATATTTAACCTGTAAGCACAAACAACACTCCATATTTAACCTGTAAGCACAAACGACAGTCCCTTCATATTTAACCTGTAAGCACAAACTACACTCCCTTCATATTTAACCTGTAAGCACAAACGACACTCCATATTTAACCTGTAAGCACAAACTACACTCCCTTCATATTTAACCTATAAGCACAAACGACAGTCCCTTCATATTTAACCTGTAAGCACAAATGACCCTCCCTTCATATTTAACCTGTACTGTAAGCACAAACGACAGTCACTTCATATTTAACCTGTAAGCACAAATGACCCTCCCTTCATATTTAACCTGTACTGTAAGCACAAACGACAGTCACTTCATATTTAACCTGTAAGCACAAATGACAGTCCCTTCATATTTAACCTGTAAGCACAAACGACAGTCACTCCATATTTAACCTGTAAGCACAAACTACACTCCCTTCATATTTAACCTGAAAGCACAAACTACACTCCCTTCATATTTAACCTGTAAGTACAAATGACACTCCCTTCATATTTAACCTGTAAGCACAAACTACACTCCCTTCATATTTAACCTGTAAGCACAAACAACACTCCCTTCATATTTAACCTATAAGCACAAACTACACTCCCTTCATATTTAACCTGTACTGTAAGCACAAACTACACTCCCTTCATATTTAACCTGTAAGCACAAACGACACTTCATATTTAACCTGTAAGCACAAACGACAGTCACTTCATATTTAACCTGTAAGCACAAACGACACTTCATATTTAACCTGTAAGCACAAACGACACTCCATATTTAACCTGTAAGCACAAATGACAGTCACTTCATATTTAACCTGTAAGCACAAACGACACTCCATATTTAACCTGTAAGCAAAAAAGCTTATTTAAAAAAAAATTGACAACCAGCCCATGACTTTTACCATGGGCTTTGAAGACCAGTGAGCATGAACTAATTAAGGAATAATTTTTTTCTATTAACCAATGGCAATTGTGACAGTAAGATATAGAGGGGTAAAATTTAAAGCCATTTTAGTAATATTGTGTACTGTATATTACAGATTCTATATTTAGTATATTCTAGGTCTAGTGAGTATAATTAGATATAATTTATTAAAACAAATGAAGACTGCTGTAATTTCTTGTAATTTTTGTGCACGATTATAATACTTCCTCTATCTGTAAAACCTTAGTTTAGTGTCGGTTATTATTCCGGAATGGTATAGCAGTAAAAAAACAGTAAAGCAATGTCACACAGTTCCGGAATCCACCAGAAGTACTGTAAACCCTACTTTATTTGATGGCATCTTTTATTTTTAATACAGAACGTTTAAAATTTGGATAGATTTATTTTAATTGCATGTTAAATACTGCTTTATTAATCATTTTGTATAACTAGTTATTTTTACCTGTTTCAGCTAAATATTTCTGCAACTAAACATTGTTTAACAGGGTTTGTACGCAGTCTGGACGGGTTTATACTGTGGTATGACAATTTTCGCTGGATCGCATAAGAAACCCAATTTCTCAGTTAATATGTTATTGGAGAGGGGGGGTGAAGAGTGTTAGACCTATCTTTTTTGTTGTTGTTGTATGACTGACCATGTAAATGTGTTAAAAGTATTTGAAATTGTTATTTAATGAAGAATGATCGGCCATACAAATCTTGAGCTCATTTTTTTTTTACCCGCTATTGTTCCTTTGTCTTAGGTTGCAGGCAGGTGGTCTTATAAAAAATTATGAGGGAAGCTGTAAGTGGTAGTCTATGTATAATTCAACTACCTGTATTTTCAATTCACTCTCCAAACTGTTTTTGAAATCTTTGCAAAAGCTGACGCTTAGGGCCAGACTGTAACTAAGGTAACTGATATCTAAACTTGTATGACCTGACCATGACCCCAAGTACGTAGTTGGTGCTGTTTGGCTGGGGAGGGGGGGTGAAGGGAGAATAAAAGTTAGTGCACAGTTCATGCTGTATCCCCATCCTAATTTATAAAAGGCCATGTGCGCTCTTCTCTCTCTCTCTCTCTTTCTCTGTCCGCAAAAAATTTTCGCCGGACATCACGTCAGAATCGGCAGCGGTATATGGAGAACTTTTTACGGACTTTTGTTGAAAATAATATGTTAGATGTTTTAAATGTATAACCACAATTTTACTTAAAGAAGAAAAATAAAAATTAAAGGCGTATTCGAATGTAGAGAAACAGTATTATTTATGCAACCGGAAAAGCATTAATATATGTGAAAAAGAACGCATAAAACTGTGACGTCACTATTGCTTATACATTAACTAATGACGTCATCTGCCGTGTTAAGAATGAAAAGAAATGAACTATTTCATTCAAATTTGATTTAGATCTACGTACACTATGAAATGTATACAATACAATTTTTCCGGCCTAAACTCATAAAATTTATTTTATGTATTTGGATTCTAGATCTAGAGATTCTAGATCTAGACTAAATCTAAATCTAAATCTAAATCTACGCAATAACTAGATCTAGACGTAGACGCTAAGATCTAGATTTAGACTCTAACTTCTCTAAAATCAATTCCAAAAATAAATGTCTATATTAGGACTAAACTATTTCAAGACTTATTTATTTTATACAAAATCTTTGTTTGGAACTGGCTAATTTGGGATAAAAAATTAATTTGAAAGAATAGGCATATTTCTATATTAGGACTAAACTATTTCAAGACTTATTTATTTTATACAAAATCTTTGTTTGGAACTGGCTAATTTGGGATAAAAAATTAATTTGAAAGAATAGGCATATTCGCGTAAGTTAAGATTTTAAAATACGTGTTTCATTCTTCGTATTTTATAAGGTGCCTAAATAGCGGAGATGTTAGTGTACATTAAACCACGCAGGTGGTGCGGGTTCGAGACACAGCAAGTCAACTTGGTTAATGTATTCTTTTTTATTATGCTCGGGCTAAACTTAAAAAAAAAATTCTTTTAGGAATCTAGATCTAGATCTAGATTGTCGGGTGTCCGATAGGGCACTTCCCGGCGCCGCAGGCGCTTCAAATTTGGCATGATCTTGCCTTGGTGCGACAGAACACGGGGGCCGGTTGGCCGAAAAGTCTACGATGTGGGGGTCAAAACTGACCTCGACTGACCGGTACCTTATATGAGCTATAAATCGAAAAAAAATGTCCACGGAGGAACCTCTTCATAACTCTTGAGGTCGTAGACCGACCTTCGGGCGAATTAATTAAGCATTCAAATTCTCAATGTTTTCGAAAGCCTAAGCGAAGCTGGGCAGCATGCCTAGTTAGTTTTTAATAGCAGACAAAAGTTTCTCAGCTTTAAGCACAAATAATGGTGTGGTTACAAAGGTCTGATTTTCAAAGTAGGATATGAACACTGTTTCTAGTCACTTGTACTAATTTTGTTATCATTTTTACATTTTTGTAATCATTTTTACTATTTTCGTAATCTAGATTGTTTAAATTGGCCTAGCAGCTAGCTAGATCTAGATCTAATTAGTAGTAATTACAAAATGGTCGCAAATCCGCTGCAAGCCAAAAACATTAAACAAATTATTACATTTGACTTTATTATTTATATTTATATACCTTTTTTAATTTTTAGATCAACTAATTTAAATCTACTATTATATTTTTAGATTTTCTCACTAATCTAAAATTTACTCAATTTACAATTTAAACATGATAACTGAATAATAGACATCCACATTTAATCCATTAGGCACTAATTTTGAGGTTTTTAAGTAAAGTAAAGTTTCCCTTTCAAACCTTACGGTCTATGTGAAGTAGAGTTCACTTTTGAGGTTTTTAGTTCCTAAATTACTTCATTTAAAGTTTATTGTCACTCACAACCACTCTTGTGTTTGAGCTACAAAAAGCCATGAGTCTGGTTTGACTTTTATCTGGCTATGCACAAGAGTTCCTCACTAGTGATCACCAAATAGTGGACACGTGGTTTTTTTTTTCAAAAAAAAATTTGATTGTCATTTTTTTGGCCGGTCTTATAAAAAAACGACTGACAATATTTGATTTATTTTTTCATAGACTGATAGACATAATAATGCTTTACTAAGGGAATCAATTTTGTACTATGGAAATTTATATTTAAAGTTCTTGTATTTTTAATGAAACCAACTTTTAAATTTAGCCTTCATTCTCCGACGCAAATTTTGAAATGCTTTTCTGGCATATATAGCCCTGCCACCTATAGTTTGTTATTATAACGTGAAAACCCTTCCATTTTACTCGTGGTAAACATTTTTAAAAGTAATTTGTAGAAGGTCACTGGAATTTGGCCGATAAATTGTCGGAAGTCATGCCTCAGGTCCAGATGCCATATTGTTGTAAGCAACCGACCATGCCTCCAAGTTAGCGAGTAATACTAATATTTATTCCTGTTTCCTTTTGTCGATTAAACTTAAAAAATTAAAACATTAATTTACTTCAATCGACTTTCATTTAATTTATATTTTATATTTCAACGGTCAAATAAACCATGGTTTACCGTAACTTTAGTTACCAAAACTCAACAAACTACAAACATTACCCAATAATTTCTGACGCTAATAAACTAAGGTTTTACCCCTCTATCGGTAATCTATCGTTTTAGATACGTAAAATCGCCAGCGACTTGTAATGTGAAAAACAGGTGACTCCTTAAATTTTAATTATTTCACATTTTGAGGAGGATTTATGTTTTTTAAAATACAAAAATGTTTCCTTGTTTCATTTATGTACCTGTTTTAAAAAAATGGAATTAGGGCCTATAACTTTTCATTAATAAATGAAGACTAGCGATGTTTCCATCAGATACAACCATGCTCATTTACTAAAGCAGCCATCTTGTTTAAGTTTTATTTTTATAAACTTATAGCGTGAGATTCAGGGGGAAGCCACTCTATTTTACAAATGGCTGCTGTTTATAAAGCAACTTTTGCTCGCAAACACTGCTGTTTAAAGTTCATTTCTGGCCTATATTCCATATTGATATATTATTATTCAGTGGTCATGTTTAAATTGATAATTGCGTAAATTCTAGATTTAGTGAGAAAAACTAATATTTAGCCATTGATTTAGGTTTATTATTCATTTATCTATAATATTTGACACAAACATATCACAATATTACACCTTTATTAAAGCCTTGACAATGAGGTAACGTTTTCGTACATTAATAGCCGCGGGCAATTTTAGTAAAATTTTTACGTACCCAAAACGATAGATTACCCCTCCATCTATACTCTGTATACAAGAAAGTAAAAATTAGCAAATTCTTTCAGTTGCAGTGTCACTCACTCAACAGCAACACTCAACTGTCACACTAAGTCTTGTAAAAGTAATAAAGTAGTAATTACTACTACTAGGCCTACTGAGTACTTTACACAACACACTTTGACTTACAATTTACATTTTACAAGTTACATTTTGTCATTACATGATTACCTTACAGCATCTCTCATATGAAATGAAGACTGAGTAGGTCTAGATCTATGTTTAGATCTAGATCTAGTAGATTTATTCAAAGTCTACATTCTAGATCTGCGTAATTTACTAGTTTTGGATAATAGCCCAATTAATTTGCGGTCAATCTGACCTCTCTACGTTCTGACAATGGCGACCAATGTAACTATAGCAGAAATTCACATATATACCGGAATAAACATAACAATTTTTTGCAACTCTAAACTATTTTACATCCAGTAGGCCTAAAAAAAAATATTATTGTACATTACTACATAGGCTACACTAGATCTAATCATTTTAAGCAAAACTTGTACTTAACATTCAATATTTCTTACTTCTTATCTGATCTAGATTCTAGATCTAGAATCTAGATAAATTGGACGTGTTTTAAAGTTTTACTTAATTTTTCAAGGTTTTTCTTCGTGTTTCATTTTTGTTTATTTTGGTAAGTAGGGTGACCGAAGACTGTGGTCAATCACAACGCAAGCTAGCAGTAGCAGGCTAATCTAAATCTAGATCTTCTAGTTCAATCTAATTCTAACCTAGAGCTGTAAAATCTAAATTAGATTCCAAATAATGAATTACGAACGGGAAATAAAGTCCGATGACCATCATGACATCTTTCACTCAGTAATAATGACAGAAGAATCGTGCGTAAAAATTTATCATTTTATAAATATTAAATTATAAACTAGGTACTAGGATAAATTTTCAAAATTGGGTTTTTGGGGAAACAACTACTACAGTTAAAAGGAGCAGAAAATTACAATAACAGAACAGTTTTCATTTTTGATGTAGCTCAAACGGTTAAATAGTTATGATTTTTTTTCGTATTAAAAAAAGCGTTTTTTTTTAACATAGGATTTTTTTCAATTTCTGTGTTAGAATTTTTTTAAGCGTTTACTAAAATTGTCATAGCCTGTAAACCGTGTGATCAAATTTGTTATAACTTTGTAGTAACTTAAGTTATCATATATGTTAACATAATAAAAAATAAAAAGAGAACTTCATAGGTAGAATTCTAAAAAAAAACTGGAGGGGAGGAGGGGACCCCCTTATTTTTGCATTCACAGTGCTTTCATACAATCACAGTTTAAAGTTAAACTATTTGAAATATCACGCTGAAAATTGCTCAGAATGTGTGGCTATGGATGAGATCATTAATACCATCAAAATATTGATCATAATTTGAAAGTTTTTTGTTCAAAGAGCAAATGAGCTGATAAATTATGCATTTTTACAAAAACCGAAATATGGTTAGTGTAAAATGGAAAATGATGCCAAATTTGAACTTTTAAGTATTCATGTCTCAAAATTGGCCTGATTGTAGTTAACCCTAAACCTAAATAGATACAATCAAATTGTATGTTTTAGTTATATATGTTTGCCTAAAATAGGGGGTGGAAGAATGTACCCCTCTATATTTTTAACACCGAAACTTTTCACACAACTCAAAATTAACTCAAACTATTTAAAATATCAAGCTGAAAACTGATCAGAATGAAGTTCTGTAAGTGTGTCTGTTAATATTATATAAATATTGATATTGGTAAGTTTTATAAATGGTTATATGTGAATTCTAATTTTTTTTAATATATGAAACCATATTTTAAACTATTGTAATTTGTTTTAGAAAATTAAAGATGAACAAGTGATTTATTTCCATCAAAGAAATTTAATTTTCATCACTGTTTAATATTACATTGTTCTTCCTTTGCCTGTGCTGTAGAATTGCAGTTTCTATCTGGAATAATGAACATTACTTTAGTAACATGTCATTAAAATAAATGAAACATAACTAATTAGTAAACTGACCAACCACTGTAGACATACGGTCATTAAGATCGACTTATTAAAATTCCCGACAAACCCCTTGACATCATTAATGACTTATTGTGCGTGACAATAACTCCCGTCATTAATGCTCACGGCAATCTGTGCATGACAATGACTCCCGTCATTAATGCTCACGGCAATCTGTGCGTGACAATAACTCCCGTCATTAATGCTCACGGCAATCTGTGCGTGACAATGACTCCCGTCATTAATGCTCACGGCAATCTGTGCGTGACAATAACTCCCGTCATTAATGCTCACGGCTATACAGTTCTAGAATCTAGCTCTCGTAAAAATGGCTCAAAATAAACGCCGTAGATAAAAAAAAACTAATTTTGTTAGTATTCAAGATCTAAAAAGTCCACAACATTAATCTTAGAAGAATTCAAATAAACAGGACTACTGCGTTTACAATCAGAACAGAGCGTTGAAAACTTGGAATACTGTTTTAAATCCTTCATTATAAACTACGGTAAACGATCTTCCATAAGTGACGTCATTAACCCTCCCCCTATCCTCATTGGTACACTACGTCACCTTTCTTAACCCCAACCCTCGATGCTCACGTAGAACAATGTCAACCTCGGGTCAACGCGTCGTTCAGTGACGTCAGAGGACTGAGGACAGATTCCCGGTGAACGTCGTTAATTTAGGGGAAAAAAATCACAACCAACAATGTCAGTTTCGCGTGTTGGTTTAGTAATTTAGTAGTGGGCCATCCATACAATAGATCTACATGACGTCACGGAACTGGAGTCCACCGTACTTACTCAACCCCCCCCCCCCCCCGTATGCAATGTATGCGTATATGACAGCATTTCAAATAATAAAATATATAGGCCTAAATAAAGAGTCAATGGGGAATGTGCTATTATTTTCTAGAACTGTCAATTCAAACGATATAGTGATATTAATTAAACAAAGTCTATACTAAATAATAAAAAAATAACTGAATACAGTGTAAATTGAAAGTCATATTTAATAAGTCGGTAGTGTTGTTAGCGTGATCAGGCTAGGCCTCCCACGGTACTTCCGGCTTTCCTTTCGTTTTGAGCCGTAACCATCAGAAATGGCGAAGTACATACCTTTTTAGGGAGTGAACCATTAACAATGGGAGCAACTTAGAACTCTAAATTAATAAAGATAATACGTAGAAATGGTCCCTTTGTTTGATTCTCTACATAAAGTGCGCGTGTCTTCAATAGTTTTTTTGTAATGAATAAAATAAACTTACCTTATTTTCAAAGAATAACTCCTCTTTTTTGGGTCCAGAAGAAAAAAACAAAAAAATACAAACAAGCTTGATATCCATTTTTATCCTTAAAACAATCATCACAAGAAAATTGATCACACGGAAGCGCCTAATTAAGCAAATTTTCGAACATCGTCACTCGCGCGATCGCCGAAAACGCAACAGCCTGGTAACGGGAGAAAAATGACGCCTCGGACGCCGCGGCGCGAGCGTAATCCTAGTACCTATTATAAACTAAAACACAACAAAAAAACAGGAACACACACAAATCACAAAAGTTAGTTTTTTAAGTTAGATTCTACTTAATACTTAAGTTAGGAAAACGCTAGGCCCCTATAATAAAATATTAACATATTTCATTCTTCATGAATTTTAGTTTTTGATAATAGGCTAATTAATTACTAGGGCCTAGGCTAATTATAATAATTTACTTTTGGACTTAAGTAAAAATGTGTGAAAAATCCAAATTAGGAATATTTACTTGACTAATATTTAGGCCCCTACTATTATTTTTATTTAGTAAATATTTAGGCTAGTCATTAGTTCTGTCATTAATGTGCACTGTTTTGAAGTGTTTTGCTTAGGATAGTTTAGATCTAGATTCAGCTTTTTTTTTACTCTTGAAAATATAAGCCTCATATTAAAACCTATTGGGAGAATGTTTACACTGGTGTCCGATAATGGAATCGTCTTACTTTAAAAAGGGTGTTACAAAAACTAATAATAAGATCATCATTGAGGAAAGCGCAATACATTCTATTAATTAGGTATGATCATGATGCGACACGACTAATAAATCTATCCAAATGATTGGATTTTGGCGCGGCACACATTTTTCAGCGCTTTGTTTTCGGCAAAAAGATTATAATAAAATGGCATTATGGGGGGGGGGGGGGGGTTGATATTTCTGGCATAGTGACCAAAGTAAGGATGTGAGAATTATTCCCAGACCTGACAAGAGTACTAAAGAATGAATCAAACATTACAACCAAATCCCAGGCAGTAATGGTTTGTGATGTCAACTCAGGCGGGTTCTCAATATATGACGTCTAGGCCTAATGAAAGGAGGGGAACAGGAAAAGTGCTTGACATCATTGATGAAGCCCTCTATATTACAAAACAACATAATTACGCATTAGTATATGTATACCATGTTCAGAACTAATTATCGTAACTACAGCAAGCCTGCTAGATTGATGAGACGTTTTGAACAACCTCAATACATCATCCCAGCAGGAAAAAATGCCAACAATAGCCTGCCCAAGGCAAATAGGCCCCAACATACTGACTCCTAAAAAAGTTAATTCTGACAATAAGGCTCTGAGTCAAACCAAATGAATCCTGACAAAAACAACATTCAAGAAAAGAGCCAAAGCAGATGTGTAGCGGGGGGGGGGGGGACGTAGGTCCCCGGGCGCCGACCTTAGGGGGGCGCCAAATTAAAAGTTTGACGGGGGGGGGGTGCAAATGAAAAGCTCAAGGGGGGGGTTGCAAATTGAAAGTTTGTCCCAGGGTCGCTACGCCTCTGACCCAAAGACAAAATCAGCTGCAGGCAAAACTAGACAAAATAGTTGAGTATGTTGACATGGTGCATAGCAAAATGTCAACCCTCAATATTAGAAGACTTAAGCATATTATGTTGGCACGAGCTAATGCAAATTGTATGGGCAAGAGTTTAATGTAATTCTGTAATTCGGTTAAGGCGTTGCGTTAGGAATGGGGCCCAGGTTCGACAAACCAAGCGCGACAGAGGTAGAAGGCCAGTAGGCTATTGCTCTTTGTGTGATGCCTTAAACTCTATTTAATTTAATTTTGAGAACATTTATTACTGTTTTCCATCCTCTGTGGAAAACGTGTTTGTTTTTTGTTCTAGGACTTACGTTAAACTATCACGTTGACTCTTTGGCCTAATACACATAACTAATAATTTTTTTGTGTATGGTTTCTTTTTCATTATTGAGAATACTCCTGGGAAGGTTTCAGAATTATTTTTTAAAAATTTTGAATGTGAGGAGCCCAGCATGGTGTGGTGTTAGGGCTTTCTGAGGACACTATAGCACCTACGTTAATTTTAAAGCATGCCATCACTATGAATACAATGGGCTACAATAATTGTTCATTATATGGAATCCATTGGACAAAGGAAGTAAAGTTCACCTGTTAATGATGTGGCCATGGCATATGAAGGGATTGTGTGGTCAGCACTATGCCCAGCTGTCTTTACTTTATATATATAACCCCTCAAACATGGCACTTTTTAATTTTAGTGTGTAAAAAAATATTACTAAAATGTTAAAGCATCCTAACTTTTTACTACATCAGATAATGTGGACAAATTTGATATGTACAATCTTAGAATCTCAAGTTTGCAACTTTTGGAAAAGCTCTAGGGCAGTTTTAAAAAATCAGTTTGACGTTCCTACTCCCAAACTGCTTTGTAGTAATACAGGGGTCTCCAAACTTTTCAGCTGAGGGCCGCATTCATTATTGAATATCAGTTCGGGGGTCAGAGTTTCTTCAAGTTTGGATCTGAAGGCCTTTAGGTGGGTGTATAGATCAGAAGCTAGATTTCCCTCTCTTGTAGTTTTAGGTTCAGAAAATTTAACTGACTAGTTATGTCTGCAGCAGAGGCCAATAATTATTTCTATACCCACTCTTCATCAGACATTAATGGCTGTAGCTTGCCTTTACTTTCCAGGAAATCACCTATTTTCTTTCTTAACTTAAATACTCTGCTCAGAACTTTTCCACAACTTTTTTTTTGCACTTAAATTGTTTTGAATTTTCTGGGCAAAGTTCCTCAGCCACCTCTAACAAACATTTTCCATGGACATAAAGATCTCCGCGGGCCAGACGCCCCGCAGTTTGGAGACCCCTGCTGTAATATATTAGCATAATTGCTGAAAACAATCTAATAGAATTTTTACACTGCAGTAAAATACATTTTTCTTCTGTTCCACAATTTAGATCATGGCAGATTGGTTATGATGCTGGATTTTCCGAAGGGGAAAAAAAGGGCTTTTTAGAAGGATACAATATAGGTTTAGAAAAAGGACTAGATATTGGAAAAGAGGTACATCATTGTTCATATAATTATTCTTTGCTCCTATTGATCCCTGTATTAATTCATGTTACTAGATCTGCTATTAGTTGCTTGCACATTAGGTATGGGGGCTTGTGTTGGACATTATCATTTAATATTTTTAAAAGTGGGAACCATTTATGTACAGGAAATATATAACAAAGAGGTAGTGTATGACATTTAAAATAATTTGTGATATTTACTACTGTGATAAGTTAAAAAATTTTAAACAAAACATTTCATTCACCAGGTAGGATTTTATGCAGGTTATGCCTCACACGTCTTGAAAATGCAAGAAGTCAACTCCAGGTAAAAATGTTAAATTGGTTAAAGTAGGTAGTCCAAACTGGCGTAAAAAGTGCGTTTTAGGGTCAGTTTTTGCGGTTTTCAAAAAAAAAAATTTCACTACTTCTAGTTGTCCTATAAGAATAAAAATTATATGTCAATAAAGTTTAAGTCTTTACCTGTCGTAATCTGGTATTTTTATATCTGTAACACATGTTTGAATGTGTTTTATATTTGTTTGAAAAGTATCAGTTACGTCAACAAATGTCACCGTTTTGCGTGTACCGATCGACCCCACACTGTTTTATTTGGTCGCGGCTTCGCGACGAAGCATCGTAGAAGCATAATCTTAATGTCATTTTAAAGATCGAATTCTAGGCTATCGTTTGATGTATAAATTGAAAAAATAACTTGTTTATTTCATTTAAAAAATACAGATTTTAAACTTTAAATGACGATATATACACGGAAACAAACTAATTCTGTTTCAATTTTTACACCGATGTAAAGTTCAGTTTTATAACTACTTTGTGTTGTAAATTCAAGTATTTCTGATTTACGGTCGCGAAGCCGTACCCCCAATAAACATATAACCCTCGAGTCGACTTTCAGCCCCGAGTAAGTTGCTCGCCGAACGGTTTTAAAGGTTGACGACCGATGATGCTAAACGGATTTTACCCTTGCTAGAGCCTTCAAACAAGTTGTAAGTATCATTTTTAAAGTTTCATTTCCATTTTAATAAATGAATTTTAAGTTTGAATGTCAGTTTGGTTTAATTAGTACACGTTATTAATGTAAATTTGAACGCTACAAGTCCACGGTTTTAGCGTGTGAACTACGCTTGTACACAGGGTGTGTTTAGACGTGAAGCTATTTAATTCAGGACATTCTAGGGACTTAAAATATGGATGCACTTAACTATTAGATGCTAGTGTTTACTAATTCTTTAAAATCTATTGACTGGGATCAATGATAGGGTCGTATTACTACAGTTTATCTGGACTATCACGTCAAAATTATGAATCGACAAATTCAAAATGGCCACCAGACTATCCTGGTTACTATGTGGACGAACTCAATTATTTACAGGGAACGAAGGTTAAATACTTATAAAATACTAATGAAACACAAAAGAAATTTATAATTATAATAACTATACATTTTTATCAATGTATTTAAAACAAAAGACACTAAATTTGAAGGACTAATGTGATTAATTTTTTTAATTTTCTGTTGTGCACTCTGATTCTGATTCCCCTGCTGAATAATGTGAAATGGTCTGCGCCAGTCTCCTTAATAAAATGTACCAGATCAATTTTTAGATGGTGGTGCAATTTATGAAGATTGTACATGTTGTGACTTAGTTTTAAATGTTATATTAGTTGTAAGTGTAAGTAGTACTAGTAGTATTTCTCATTATTTATTTATTTTATATGCATATAATAGTAACAATGAAGGACAGTTAAGTTGTCCTATAGGATGTTGAGAACCACAGTATGGCATCTTCATCATTGGATATCTCAACCATTGTGGGACAAGCAACGATTATTTCAAATTTCATTCAGAAGAATTACTCTTAAAAATATATATAAAAAATATAAATTACTTTTAACAAAAAGGTGTTTTCAGGCTTTTTCATATGTTTCCAGTTATAGTCATAGGACAAATAGTAGGCCTACACAATAGGCTAGTAGTAAATTTAATTATATTTTATTAATCACTAAATCAATTGTTCGTTCCATTGCTGGAGACATTTACGGTGGCCTATCCAGAACTTTCCTTACAAGGGAAGGGAAGAAGGCCAAGACCCCACTCCCCCCTACAATTCCCAAAACATATTACTTACTCTTGATGCTCCACAAGATCAAGGTTGAGGGAAACAAGACGTACAAAGATGTTCCCCCAAAACAGTTATCAGGTTTGAAAAGAAACCAAAGCATGTGGCATCAACTGCTGCATCACTTGTAGGCATCACGTCTTTATTAAACTACATTACATTACATTTACTCTACTAAATTTTGATTCTGTTTCTCCTGCACTAGATAACTGTGGTATTTTTTAAAATAATATTTTAACTCATGTGATTTTTGATAATAATTAACACATTTTTCCACGTCGATGTTACCAACACAATAATTTTAGAGTTATTCCAAAGCAAAAAAAAAAAAAAAATTGAATTTTTTTTTTTTTAATGAAAATAAAAGTGACCAAAACGCATTTTTGTCATTTTCAATTATTTTTTTTACCTTAGAAAGACTCATTTTAGATGACTGAAAAAAATTGGGCATATATATTACAAACTTTGCAGCAACTTTACCAATTTCCACACTTCTATGTTATTTAGTTTAAAAAATATGGGTTCTCAAAAATGGCACTTTTTGAAAATCAGTTTTTTACCAAATTTTGCTTTTTTAAAAATCGCATAACTTTTTTATTTATTGAGATATTTTTATAAAATTTGTGGCATAGACCTTACAATTAAAAGTTCTTTCATGACATACTCACTCCAGAAGTCTGCAATCAATAGTTAATTTCAGTTTGGACTACCTAGTTAAAGTACATTTCACTAAGCTATTTCCAAAACTAGATCTGTACCAGTACACATTTTAAAACATGATATGGTTAGTATATTTTTATTTTGATCATCAGGATTCTTCCCCTTAAAAAAGTTGCATTTACTTGGCATTTTATGATTCCACACTGCAAATCTAGTTCTCAATGAATCTTATTCCAACAGGGCTATCAAAGTGTGTGAGACTATTCTACAACTTGCCTCAACCTTTGATGATGTTGAGCCTACAGACCAGGCATTAGGTGAACATTTTGCCAAGATACAAGCCAAGTTCAAACAGGTTAGAGCCTTTATGGTGTGTTGAAAATGTCAGTCCAGAACACCAACAGCAGTTTTGGTGTATCTCACTTGTTTGTATTCTTTATAGCTGACATCTTTATCTGGCGTGCAAGCAGAATATAAAACCCTGTGGTCCAACAAGTTTACAGACTCCACATTTTAAAAGACGTCTAATGCTGCATGATGGCCCTGTTAAGCAAGCATACTTTCCTCAGTGCATCAGGTAAAATTGATAAGGGTCTCACCAACACAAACAAGAGAAATCATTTTTCAACATTGTGTTTATTGTCAGCATGTTAGTTATTTATAAGGTTTGCTATTCTTTACTACTAATACAATTAATTTTGTGGAGATGAACCAGCAGTCACAATACTTGTTCAATGGTATAAAAAGTCTAGGCCATCTTATTTCTCTATTACATAATAACCAGTTAACATGCAGTTTCAATACACGAATCAATATCAAGCAGTTCATTCAGAAACTTCATTCACTCCATTTGTCACTGAGAAAATATCATTGAGTAGTAGCTAGCAACAGACAGGAAAATTATTTCGTTGCAGCCCATATGCTATCATCACAGCCTCGTACTTTCATGTCGGCAGGTGGGTTCACATAGATGTGTGAGTACAGCTCCTCAACTGGCAGCTCTGCATCAGTCTTTGAAAGTTCGGCAGCATCACCAACCTCTTTCTTGATGTCCTCCTCTATTTTCTAAAGGCAAAATATACAACAACCTTATTTTTATCACAATGAGGAAGGACATAAGCTGATGGTTGATGGGCAGAACCATTATTGGTTACAAGCCTAGTGGTGGCAGCTTCAGTTTTGTTATTGTTATATAAAATGCAACTTGTTATCACTTGTTATTTAGTACATTCATTTGAGGATTTAATCAACAAAATGGTTTGCTACAGTAAATAAAATAAGACAATGGAAATCTTTGAATTTTATTTACTTCTGACTATTTTTTCCTTTGTTTTAAATTTTCCTCTTTATTTTTTTTTTTAATTTTAATAGCCAGAATTTTTTCTAAAAAAGCATTTTAGTTTTAATATTTGTCTTTAATCTAATAGAAACATTTTAGACAGTAGTAGACCTACTACAACAGAGACAATGACACAACATGACAATCTTCAGACGTTTCCCTCATTTTTTTGTTATAAAACCAATCATATTGAAATACCTCTTGTTGGCTTATTTCTGACTGTAAAGTTACCAATACAGTTTATATAATATAAAACTAGCATGTTCTGTTTAAAGTTAATAGTGTTAGGACACCTGGGCAAATGTGTTAGAGAAAATCCCCTTTAATAAAAACTATCAGGAACAAAGAAACTTCCACTCAAATTTAGCTTAGCCCAAAAATGTGTAACAAATCTACATTCCCATTAAAGAACTAGGGTGTTGCCTAAGATTTTTAAACTTCATTATTTGCGAGAAATAGTCTCATAAATGGTTATTTATATTGACCAGATCTTTACTTCAGGGTTGGTAATTATTTGAATGATTAAAATTAGTTTACTCTGGTTGGGCATAGGATTTCCTCTCAATTGCTAAAGTTTTGAGGATACCAAACATGATTTTTATGCAACCAACCATTAGTTCTTACAATTACCATGTTCTTGTCTTATTGAATAAATTTACTGGAAAAGGAAACTGCAAACGCCAAACATTCATTGTTAAAATCTAATCAGTATTAATCACTCCTCTGTACTGAGACCCATGGTAAACCAGTTCTAACAAAGGTCAGTATTAATCAGTCCTCTGTACTGAGACCTATGGTAAACCAGTTCTAACAAATGTCAGACACTGGACAACAACGTTACCTTAATCTCTGCCTCTGTGACGAGGCCAGACTTTGTTATAACTTCTTTAAACTTTCCTATTGGGTCACGAGTTTGACGGACTTCTTGAATCTCTTCTCGAGTGCGGTAGCTGGGACAAAAAGAACTCTGTTAACAATAAGCAGTTTCTTTTTTTTTTTAAAATAATGAACTAGTTTGGTTTAAACAGAAATGAGAGCCAATTCTAAAAGCAGATGGAACCAGATGCATGCTCATGTGTACCGACCTTGTTCCTGGGTCACTCATACTGTGGCCATGATATCTGTAAGTGGCTGCTTCAATAAGGATAGGGCCATTCTTCAGCACATAGTCCTTGGCAAATCTTGTAGCTTCCTTCACACCCAGAACATCCATGCCGTCAACCTAATAGCCACAATACAAAAATAAAACTGAATCAGACGCACCTGTAATAGTAATACACAAAGACGAGTAACTAGAGCTGTTTATCTAAAGTAACAAACCCAAAGGCCTGGCACATAGTCTCCCCTTGTGTAGTAGCTGGTGCTAGCTGAAGCTCTGGCAGCTGAAGTGCCCATGCCAAATCCATTGTTCTCACAGACAAAGATACAAGGCAAGTTCCACAGCTTAGCCATATTGTAGGCCTCAAACAGTTGGCCTTGGTTGGCTGCACCATCACCATACAGAGCAATACACACGTTGTTGTCATTCTTGTACTTGTGAGCAAAAGCAATCCCAGCACCTAGAGGAACCTTGACAAGAGACACAAGTTAGGTGAATTAGCAGCTAACTTTTTAACCATTCTATGATCCAGTAACTGCTAATGTCAGATCAGTCCATACCTGGGCTCCAACTATTCCATTGCCTCCATAGAAGTTCTTGGCATACATATGCATGGAGCCACCCTTGCCATTAGCACAACCTGACTTTCTTCCTAAAGGAGAAACCATTTTTAATCAAGTCAAATACTTGAGCTGCAGCTATTTAAAAAAAAAAAGTATGAAATGAAACTGAGAAAACACCTGTTAATTCAGCCAAGACCCCCAGCACTGAGACACCCCGGACATATGTCCAGCCATGAGCACGGTAAGCAGTGATGACAGAATCTTCTGGGGTAATGGCAGCCTCCATCCCTACGGCAATGGCTTCCTAAATAAACAGATGCTAAAGCTAGGTAAGTTATGCAGACATTGGAAAGTTTTCCTACTATAGAATTTGAAACATAAATAGTACTGAATACAAAGATTTAAAAAAAAACAGCATACTAAGAGGTTATTTAAAGAATGAATCAAACATTACAACCAACCTGACCAGAGTAGAGGTGGCAGAAACCCCTGATGATTTTAGATTTGTACAAGTTGCTGGCTGTGGTTTCCATGACTCTGATGGTGCGCATCTGTCTGTAGTACTTGAGAGCCTCCTCCCTGTTGTAGGTCACAGTTGTATTGGGGCCTTGATCAAGGCGATGTAGTTTGTAGGGCTGAAAATACATTGTCACTTGAAACAAGCTAGACATTAACACAGTTGTATTGGGGCCTTGATCAAGGCGATGTAGTTTGTAGGGCTGAAAATACATTGTCACTTGAAACAAGCTAGACATTAACACAGTTGTATTGGGGCCTTGATCAAGGCGATGTAGTTTGTAGGGCTGAAAATACATTGTCACTTGAAACAAGCTAGACATTAACACAGTTGTATTGGGGCCTTGATCAAGGCGATGTAGTTTGTAGGGCTGAAAATACATTGTCACTTGAAACAAGCTAGACATTAACACAGTTGTATTGGGGCCTTGATCAAGGCGATGTAGTTTGTAGGGCTGAAAATACATTGTCACTTGAAACAAGCTAGACATTAACACAGTTGTATTGGGGCCTTGATCAAGGCGATGTAGTTTGTAGGGCTGAAAATACATTGTCACTTGAAACAAGCTAGACATTAACACAGTTGTATTGGGGCCTTGATCAAGGCGATGGAGTTTGTAGGGCTGAAAATACATTGTCACTTGAAACAAGCTGGACATTAACATTTCATGTTTGCTCATGTCCTCTTTTGGCTGTGCAATTTAGTTCTAAGTCAAGCCTCAATAGTAGGCACTCAGAAGACTCAAATGGTATAGATTGCTCTTGTTAATATGGATGAAATATTTGCCTAAAAACAAATCAAAGGTGGAACAAAACTGTATATAAAAACTAACACACTAATGAATTCGGAAGAATTAAGTTTTTAGTTTCAGATTATTTTTATATTCAGAAAGCTCCTGGAGCTTGAAGATAGCACAAGTTTAGCATTAACCGTTCAATGTGTATTGTAATGGTAATGAAAAACAAAACTATTGCTCAGTTCTTGAAATTATAACCATCCCTTAATACATTGAAGCTATTTCTTGATTTGAACTATTCTATTAAATAGTACGAGCCGACCCGCTATTTCATTGTTTTATTTTCTACTTTTCAGTAATTCATAATTTGTGAATTCGACAGTACCAATGCTGCCACTGAAAAGATTTGCTTTAAAACACTATCAGTAGGTCGTTAAGGACGATACTACCCTCACCCTCCTTTCCCCCAACCCCTACCCTACACCCCCCCCGTGAAAGCAGCCTCCTCTTAGTTACCTCCCCTAAGTTTAAAATCGTTTCAAACTAAATTATCTGCCCCTAATAGCCGTCACTAAACCCGGCTCTACGAATGTAAACATTTAGCGTGAACCACAGCTCACCAGACCATACAGCTTGTTTTCTAGCGTCTCCACGAGGAGAATTATATATATAGATAAGTTTAAATAACACCAAATTTAATGCCCACACTGATCAAAAGGTACAAAGAAATCAGTTTAAAAAAAATGATCCATAATGGGTTATAAAATCTGTCTGATAAACAACTAGTTACTGGAAAAATAAAAATGTAACTGTAAGCTACAAAATATACAATATGGCACTGTTTTTTTTTATTTCATTGATTTATAATTATATATTCATGGTGAATAAATAAGTTAAAATTTAAACTCTACGCCAAAGTGTAATGGATATTTAAACATACAAACCCAAAAGCTGTTTATTTAGTTCAGTACTAACATAAAATAAACCGGGAGTCTTCTTCTTCTTCGTTCTTAATTATTAGTGTTGAAGGGGATCGAGATTTATCTGCCAGTGGGGTTGAACTCGAGACTGATCGAATTTATCAACCATGTACTTTTTGCCGACTCGACCACGCCTCCAACACAATTAAGCGTTACGTGTCAACTGGTTATGCGCCATTGAGGCCATTGACTCCGATTTCAGCCTGCTTTTCTTTTTGGATTTGCTTCCATAGCCTTTGTCCAACCAAGAACAAACTACAAGGCAGCAGTTGTTTAATTTTAGAGTTGTCTCTCCTAGAAGAGTGGCTGTCCCCTAAACTTTCTCAAATATTTATAGGCTTTTGAAAAATTTAAAGTAGAAAAAGTTCCACTTCTGGTTATCGGAAATCGCTGAAAAGTTTATATGTATCTAGAAATTTGATAAAATACTTATATATGAAATTTCATCAACCTAGCTGTAACGGTACTCAAGTTGTCTTGTTTACAGACACATACACAGACAAGATTGCAAAACTACGTTTTTGCAAGTTAAAAATAAAACTTAACAGCCCACAAAATATTTATATGAAATAGAAGACTTCACGTTTATTATTCCCATAGAATTATTTTAAAATAGGCTACAAATCCTTCTATTCAAACATGCTGATCTATATTTAATTAGTGAATGTCAGCAGATTTATTCTTAGTACAACTTCTCAACTATTTCTGATATTAAACATTTACAATTTCAGAAAAATATTTAGCATTAAAATAATATGGATGAAATTTATAAAATTTAAATATAAAAAAAAAGTATTTCAAGAGCCTTACTCTAAACCCAAATGACTAACTGAACTACACATACCATAACATGGAGCTACACATACCATAACATTGTGGCTTGCTTCTGGTACTGTTGAAAAGTGACATCCATGAATTGCTCCAAAGGTCCACTAGGGAAAGGGAAAACAATTAATAATAGGCCAATAATTTAGTATTTTGAACACATTTGTAATTTCAGCACAAAAAAAGCATTAAAAACGTAATATGTAGGCTTTTACTTTTATTAGTTACTACTGACAAAATATTTTAAGAGGGTTTCATCAATGAGTTACCAATCTCATATTCTTAGATGTGTGACCTTGTTTTCTAAAAATGGGTTATTAAAATGTTAACAATGCCTGCGCTATATTTCTTGGATTATATTTGTTGGGGCATGGGTCTACCTACACTATGAAAGCCTTGAGTGTATGTTAATCACTCTCTGTAATGGTGAGGTAAAACAAACTTCTGCAAGGTTTTAACTGTGTCTCTTAAAAAAACATTAATACCACACTCGACAGTATTATTAATATTGAAGTTACTATGCAGAACGCCGAGCGTTCCAAGTATTTTCTAATTCCATAGAATGGATTCTAAAAAAAAGGTATTATTATTCAATACCCCATATAATCATATATATATATAATATAACTGATTAAAATGTTGAATACTTCGTTTGGTAGCACATTGGGTGTGGTAGAGTCAACAGTGTGACAGCTAACATTCAGAGTAACAATTAGAAAATTAGTAGATCTAAATATTATTAACAAAGTTATGTGTAGTAATTAATGGGTTTTTTTAAGAAACACAGAAAAAAAAACTTTCAGAAAATTTGTGACAACTAGATCTAGTAAAATAGGAGGATTAGATTTAATGAAGTTAAAGTAGGAAGATGAACTAGAACAATGTTTGGTAGCAGAAATAATTAGCAAAACAGTATTTAAAATGGAACTAAAATTAATCTGTGCATATTTTTAAACATGGTGTATTAAAAATAATATGCCGCTAAATAAATGAAGGTTTACAGTATATCCGGTGGTTTCTTGAACAGTGTGACAGACTACACCATGGTTTTACTGTTTTACCATTCCGGAATAATAACCGACTTTATATCGTAATATTACAGATTTTTGTAACTTTTAAGACATAGGCCTAAATCAGTATCTATGTTTTAGGTGTGTAAAATCGTCTAAGGCTAGTAATGTGCGAAAAAGGGTGCCTCATTGTTAAGGCTTTAATTGAAGTATACTGTGATATATTTGTGTCAAATATTATAGATAACTGAATAATAAACCAAAATCAATGGCTGAATATATCAATATAGGCCAGAAATTGACTTTAAACAGCAGTATTATCAAGCAAGATTTGGTCTGTAAACAGCAGCCATCTATAAATTAGAGTGGTTTCCCCTGAATATAACTAGAATTTTACAAAAAAAAACTTAAACAAGATGGCTGCTATTGTAAATGAGCTTGGTTGCATCTGATGAAAACATCGTTAGATCTAGTATTTATTAATTACTGAAAATACTAGTAAAGTAATAATTACTAAAATTTAGGGCTTTGGGGTCACCTTTTTTTCACATTTAAATTAGATCTAAATCTTGATCTAGAATATTCTACTTACTTCTATACTAATGGCCTACTTATTATTATATTACGAGAAAAATGGCCCGTTGAGGAAGTATACAACAGGCGCTAGGTCGATAGTGCTGTCTATTTTCTCTAAACTAAATCTAACCCACCCCCCCCCCAAACATGTCTACCGTCCCATTCAACGAAATATAGTTATATACTTTTTCCAGTGTCCGCCCTTTCCCCGAAAATTCTACCCCCGCCCCCGAAAATTTCAAGTACCCCCACCCCTCTCCGGGGAGGAAAAAGTCTGAAAGAAACACTAGTCGCATTTGTAGATCATACAAACTAAAGGAAGAATCTGGACGGGGCTTCGCCCCTACCGGAAGAGATGCATGAAAAAAACTGTGCACGCTAAACATTTTTTTTTAGATTAGAAAAAGTTCCTCCCTCCGGAGAGGAAAAAGTCTGAAAGAAAAACTGGTGTCGCGCTTAGCCACTACCCGAAGAATTGTATGAAAGACTCTTCATGTATACCACTTTTAAGATTAGACAAAATTGGCTTTTTAATTCAATGTTTACTCGAGAATCAATGACGTCATATTACTGTGTGCACTCTCCGGCTTGATACTATTTTCTATTATATGCTAAATGTGACGTCATATTTCTTTTTCGTTTTACTATGCATGTTTTGAATTTGCTTGTGTTTTCTCTATAGCGTTCTTGTCAGACAGCGAAACTATTATTATAGATAATAATATATTACTTAACAACTACGAACTGACTGTACTAGTTTAATTAAGTTTGGTAATCTATCGTTTTAGGTATGTAAAATCGCCCGCGGCTAGTAATGTCCGAAAAAGTTACCTCATTGTCAAGGCTTTACTAGAAGTATATTGTGATTTGTGTCAAATATTATAGATAAATGAATAATAGTAGGCCTAAACCTAAATCAATGGCTAAATATATCAATATAGGCAAGAAATTAACTTTAAACAGCAGTGTTTGCGAGCAGGATTTGCTATATAAAAAGCGGCCATCTGTAAGTTAGAGTGGCTTCCCCTTAATCTTGCACTATAAGTTTACAATAAAAAAAATAAACAAGATGGCTGCTATTGTAAATGTTAAAATGTCTAATGAGCATGGTTGCATCTGTTGGAAACATTGCTAGTCTTCATTTATTGCTGAAATTTTTTAATTCAATAGTTTAATTATTAATTAAAAACAGGTAGGCCCTACATAAATGAAACATGGAAACATTTTTGTATTTTTCAAAACATAAATCCTCCTCAAAATGTGAAATAATTATTAAAATTTAAGGAGTCATTACTAGGCCTAGTTGCGGGCGATTTAACGTACCTAAAACTATCTAAAACGATAGATTACCTACTAGTTTAGGTAAAACCTTAGTTTAGCGTCGGTTATTATTCCGGAATCGTATAGCAGTAAAAAACTGTAAAATAATGCCAAAGTCTGTCACACTCTTCCGGAATTCACCGGAAGTACTGTAAACCATACTTTATTTGGCGTCATCTTTTATTTTTATACAGAATGTTTAAAATTTGGATAGATTTATTTTTGTAATCATTTTTACATTTTGTACCCTAATCATTTTTACTATTTACGTAATCTAGATTTTTTAAACTTGGCCTAGCAGCTAGATATCTAGCTAGATCTAGGTCTAGATCTAATTAATGAATGGTCGCAAATCCGTTGCAAGCCAAAAACATTGAATTATTACATTTGACTTCATTATTTATATTAATAGTATAATAGCTTATTAATAGGCCTATATTTTTTATTTTTAGATCTACTAATTTAAATCTACTATTATATTTATTCTTGTTTCCTTTTGTCGATTAAACTTAACAAATTAAAACATTAATTTACTACAATCGACTTTCAATTTATTTATATTTCAATGTTCAAATAAACCATGGTTTACCGTAACTCTAGTTACCGAAACTCAACAAACATTACCCGATAATTTCCGACGCTAAACTAAGGTTTTACCCTAGTTTAACTTATTGTACTCAACTATCAACTAGCAGTTAGTTAGTAATAGTTAGTACAGTTAGAGTAGTAAACTAGTTACTAGTTAGTAGTTAGGCCTACTAGTTAGTAGTTACTAGATTTAGAGTAATTTAGACAAGTTAGCACTGAACTGTACACTGTACAGTGTAGTAGTGTATAGTTACTGAGTTAGCCTAGACCGATTTTACATTTAGATTAAATAAATAAATAGATCTAGATTCTAGATTAAAATCGAAAGAGCTGTGTTTACACAGTTTAAATAACAGCTTATTAGCCTGTTAAAATATTGCTTTTGGCTGAAGTAAAATACATACGGCGAAATTTGCAGGAGCACGGAAACATAACACCCGCAGAGCAGACATTTTCTCTGAGGTTAGTCTAACTTCACACTCTAAGGTCAAGGGGTCTAGCCCGTAGTGTCGAAACGAAAGTACAAAAATTGTAGTATTGTCCGTACTGTCGAAATTATTTTTTGCTATTTAAAATATTAGATGTTGATTATAGTTATAAACGTTTTTGATTTCTTCAAAATATATCACAAATACAATATGTAATTTTGTGTATTAAAAAAAAATAATCGCAACGTAAATCGGTGTTACAAAATAATCGTACGTGTTAATACTCGATTATTATAAGGGAAAAAAATGTCTAAAACAAGAACCAAAACAAAAAATTACTAAAACAAATAAAATTTTACATTCCTTCGTTTTTGAATTTACAAAAACTGAAATCGTCATTTAAAAACTCAGTTAATGGCATTTTTACAAGCTTTTATTTAACTTGATTCCTCGTGCTATTTCTCTCATGTCTGAGTCAGAGTTTCTTTCAGGCATCTCTTCTGGGGGGGGGGGGGGGGGGGGGTTATGGATTTTATATAAAAAAAAACATTCTTTTAACAGTGTCTGCTTCCCCCCCCCCCAGGTGAAAAAAAGTCTGGAAGAAACACTGGCCTGGATGGAAACTTTACTAACAAAAAACAAAATTATACCCGAACCGATGGGGTTAAACTTGAATGTCACTTAGGTTAGATCTGATAATGCAATGTGCCACGAACTTTGACATAATTAGAGGTGTTTCGTTCCGTTTTAAAATTAATTAAATATTTCTATGGCCTATAGTGCACACTTACTTATAATTTAAGGCCTATATATAATAAATATAAGCCTTTTTAAAAAAGAAAAACGTAAATAGTAACAAAATATATGCGTGCACTATAAAGATGTATGGGACGGAGTGGTCTAGCGGTCGAGTTCGAATCCGGGTTCAAGTCAGTAGAGTCCCTGAGTCCACCCAACTCTGATGGGTACCTAACTCACGTTAGGGAAAGTAAAGGCGGCTGGGCATAGTGCTGACCACACTATCTCTTCATATGCCGAGGTCACAGAAACAAGTGAACTCTACTCAGTGGCGTAGCGAGGTCGGGTGTCACCCGGTGCGGCACTTAATGGTGTCACCCAACCAGAGGCGTTGAGACCCTTCCCGGGGACAAACTTTCAAGTTTTCGATTTGCACTCCCCCCCCCCCTCAAACTTTTGATGTGCACCCCCCCTCAAGTTTTTCTCTATATATTTTGCTATTTTTTGCCTTGGTGTTACCCCCCCTAAATGGTGTCACCCGGTGCGGTCCACACCCACGCCCCCCCCTCGCTACGCCCCTGACTCTACTTCACTTGCCCCATAGACCGTCAGGTTTGTAAGGGAAACTTTACTTTACTTACTAAAAATATGTAGATCTAGAATTTAGAACTAAAACATAATGACAAAAAATTATTAGCTTTAAACATAATATTGCACCATATTTACATAACTGTTCGTGACTATATATACACCCTTCTCCCATGCATAATATACAGCGATCCATGCTCTATTTATATTATATATATATTCGGTTTATATAAAATGTGGTGCATTAATTATTGTGTTTAAAGATAGTCATTTTATTTTATTCTTTTTTTTTAAGACAGTTGTTATATTTTTTATCAGTATTATTCAACAAATTTAATTTATATCAGTCTCATTTTGTTGCGACCGGGCACCCAAAAACATTTCAAAGTGCAATATTTAACTTTAATTGTGTTTTTCAAGGTTTCTAATTCTAATCTAAATTTAGATGGGTTAGCTGAGCCTAGTTTGAAGTCTTGAGTAGCCTATATGTTAAATGGCCCACTCTCCTGTCACCTGTCTATATAAAAAGGTTGGTTATTGGGCGTTTGACTGCTATCCGTAGGTCTTGAGTTTAGATCCCAGTATAATAGATTGACGACAGAAGCCTGTGGTTGTATATAACACGTTTAATTGGGTCTAACTACCTCGATGTTAACACACAGAGAGGGCGGAAGGAAGTACACAAGGGACATCACTCAAGATAACAATATTATAAATATAACTAATACAGAAGAGTGAGTTCCCTTGACCTCACAATTATTTCAATCTATTACATCCCTTTACCCTTAGAACACAATAACACATCTCTCAATAGAACAATTGATAGTATCCTAAAATCACCAATTATATTGTAACATGAACACTATGGTAGATTACATCCTTACAAACAATGCACAATATGCTACAACATAATCAAAATACAAAACAATAATGTCAAAGTCCTTTTGACCTTTAAAATCATAGGTCTAACTTATTTGGGACCTTGATTGTCCTGCTTGACCTTCTCAGTGGCTTTTGATTTGGTGACTCAATATTCTGACCATCTGGATTCTCTATCTCAGGAGGTCTAGGATTTAAATCATTAACTCCAGAATTTACATTTTCTGACTCTAGACAACTTGGTTCACTCATATCAACAGAACTTGGTTGTGGAACAACTGAGTTGGTGTGAACTGTTCAGATTTGGTGGGATTGATAGATTCACACTTATTATCTGCACAAGTTATTTTTAACTTTATAAGACACAGGTCCTGTACATTGAACAATTTGACCTGGTATCCATTTTTCCTTTCTCCCATAATTTCTTAGATACACATTCTTATTAACACCAAATTCTCTTTCAATGCATGAGTTGTCATGATTTAATGGAACTATTTTTGAATTGGCATCTGAAAGTATTATGCTGTTATTCAGATCCTTGACTGACATAGATTTCTTTGATTGATCAATTTTCTCAGGTAATCTGATAGTGCTTTCCTGGTAACCAAAAATACTGATTAAAGTATTATCCTGGACAATATCACTTTGCAACTGTGATCCAGTATTTGAAGTGGGTGTATTAAATGGCAAAAATCTTTTTTCTTTTCTTTTGATGTTACCCTTTTAGTTTCTGTAAGTGCTAATGATGTTAGCAAAGTTGTTTGATGATCACATTCCTTCTTACTAATGTATTTTCTTTAAAACATTTGAAATTGCCATATCACCATAATCATTTATTAAGTTACAAATACTTTGTTTAGGCAATTCTGACTGATAATGGACTGCATCTTCTCCATCTTTTATATTATCTTCACAAAGGTTTTTATTTCTTATTTTACATGGCTTTAAGTCATCATTCACAGACTCTTCAGGCCAACCATTCTCACAGTACTCATATACTTTTATTAAGCACTCATCTTTTTGTGTTTCTCTTTTAATATCATTCACATTTATATTGGAGTTATCCATGATAGTGAAGAGAACAAATACATCTTCTGGTACATAGCTCAGGCTTTGGTTTTTTAAAGGTAATCTACTAAGACTATCTGCACTATTCTCAGATCCAGGTTTGTATTTCAATTCATAATTGTATGCAGTTAGTGTGATAGCCCATCTTTGAATTCTTGGTGAGGCATGCTCAGGTAGGGTTTTGTTTTCTCCAAATAAACCTAGCAATGGTTTATGATCTGTAAAGATGGTGAACTTCCTACCAAACAGAAACTTATCAAATTTCTTAACACCAAAAATGATGCCTAAGCCTTCCCTATCTAACTGAGAATAATTTTTCTCAGCCTGGTTCAAAGATCTACTGGCAAAAGCAATGGGTCTGTCACCCTTCTCATCCATGTGGGACAAGACTGCTCCTACACCATCTGGTGAAGCATCACATGTTAATATAAGTCTTTTCCCTGGGTCATAGTGAGTTAGTAAGGTGTCAGCAGACAAAGCCTCTTTTGCTGTATTAAAAGCAGTTTCTTGTTGTTTACCCCAGTGCCAAGTTGCATTTTTCTGTAGCAGCTTGTACAGTGGTGATAGTTTACCAGACAGATTTCCTATGAACTTTGCATAGTAATTTATCAAGCCCAAAAAAGCTCTTAGTTGTTGGGTATTTTCAGGTTTGGGTGCTTCTTTAATGGCTTTTGTTTTCTCAGGTTGAGGTCTGATGCCTTGCTTGCTTAATATATAACCAAGAAAACTAATTTCTGTCAGCATGAATTGACATTTATCTTTGTTTATCTTTAAACCTTTTTCACCAACAATTTTTAATACTTTATCAAGTGTTTTAAGATGTTCAGTGTCATTCTTACCAGTTATGTACACATTGTCAAAGTACACACAAACATTTGGAATGTCCTTAAAAATACTGTCCATGACAGCTTGGAAAATTCCAGGGCTAGATGATATGCCAAAACATAGTCTTTCATATTGGTAGAGTCCTTTATGTGTGTTTATTGTCGTATAGACTTTTGAATCTGGATGCAGTTCTAGTTGAGTGTAAGCATGACTAAAGTCTAATTCAGTGAATTTGTCTCCTCCTGCCAAATTCAAAGAAATTTCCTCAATGTTAGGAATAGGGTACCTATTTAGCTCTATTTGCTTATTCAGTGTAGTTTTATAATCTCCACAAATTCTTATAGAACCATCCTTCTTTAACACTGGCACAATGGGCGTTGCCCAATCGGAATAGTCTACCTTCTTTATAATGCCATTAGATTCCAATCTACTTAGCTCATTTTCAATTTTATTCCTCATTGCATAAGGTGGAACTCTAGCTTTGCAGTATCTTGGATTTGTATCTTTAATGCTTAACTTCACTGTTCTATCATTTAGTAATCCTGGATTACTAAAAACACTTTTATTTTCAGATATAACTTTATCTAGTGAAGTAAGACTAGATTCTTTTACATTCTTCAATGAACAAATACTCTCCCAATTTAACTTATGATCACTTAACCAGTTCCTACCTAGTAATGGCGGTCCATTTCCTTCAACTACAAGAAGAGGAAGTTTAACACTTTGACCATTATAACTTACATGAACCATACACTCTCCTATTACCGGAACATTGTCACCAGTGTATGTTGTTAGACACTTGTGACATGGCTGTAGAGGCACTGATCCTCCAGTGACAGCGTCAAAATCTTTCTTTGTTATGACTGTTAGAGATGCTCCAGTGTCAAGTTGGAAGCTGATGCTCTTACCGTTGATATAAACTGGTATATTGATGGGAGCATGACTTATTGATTTAACAGAGAACAGGTTGAAATCCGGCTGCAAATCAATTTGAGCATTTTCACAGGTAGAGTGGTTCATTGGTTGGGTTAGGTAGTCTTGGTGAGAGTTAACATAGTGCTGCTTTTGGTTGCGGTACTGTCTTGACTGGCTAGATTTAGCAACAGACGAAGACTTTGCAAAGCAGGCCTTGGCAATGTGACCTTGCTCACTGCACTTATAACAAGTTGCAGACTTGAACTTGCACCGATGAGATGCATGGGGACCTTTGCATCGATGACATTTTTGATAATTATTACTAGATTTAGATCTAGGCTTTGAACGAGCAGGCTGTTTAGCATAAGTTGGAATGCTCTGATGGGGTTGGTGTTTATTGACTAACCTGCTGTTTACTGCATGGATCTCTGAAGGTGCTAAAGATCTCGCCGCATCTGATGACTGCTGGAATGACATTGCAAGTTGTATTGCTTTTTCCAATTTTAGATCTGACTCGAGCAGCAACTTTCTTTGAATATCAGGGCTGTTTACACCTGTCACAAACTTTTCACACAGTCTGTCAGACAGCGTTTCTTCGAATTCACAAAATTCACTTAAATGACGTAAAGCAGCAACATATTCTGATATTGACTCGTTTGGTTGACGAGTCCTACTGTCAAATCTAGCTCGACATAGAAACTTTGATGGGGTGGGCGCATGGTGGTCTGTTAGCAATTTGCTCAGCTCGTTAAAGCTCTTGGTAGTTAGACTAGCTGGTGTGCATAAGTCTTTTAGTAGCCTAAATTGTTGAGGCCCTATGACTGTTAACAAAACAGCTCTCTTTTTGGCTTCTATCGTCACGTTGTTTGCTTCTAGGTAAAAGCTTAACCTCTCTAGGTAATCTTGAATGATTTCATCATTCGCATCAAATTCTTTTATTTGGCCATACAGCGCCATAATTCTAGAAATAATTAGCTAATAAGCTCTAGCAAACCTCTTTTTTGCGTAAGTAGGTGCTCTTTCTAGTAGATGTTTATCCTTCGTCGCCAGTTATAATAGATTGACGACAGAAGCCTGTGGTTGTATATAACACGTTTAATTGGGTCTAACTACCTCGATGTTAACACACAGAGAGGGCGGAAGGAAGTACACAAGGGACATCACTCAAGATAACAATATTATAAATATAACTAATACAGAAGAGTGAGTTCCCTTGACCTCACAATTATTTCAATCTATTACACCCAGAATCAAGTACTTATAGGACGTATCTGAGTTGACTCAGATCTGATGGGTACCTGACTATGTTTAATAAAGGTCATAGAACCGACCACATTATTATTATCACTTCTTATGGGTCTTCAATGGTCACGGAAACAGGAAAACTCTTCTTTGAAGTATGCCCTACTTATGTAAGGTCCGAAATGGTATTTCCACGTGCTTTATTTTTCTGTAAAATGATTATTATTGTAGTTCAAATTGGATTTCTCCGACGAAGTTTAAACTTAGACATCTTTTTATTTTTTAATAAGGGGTCATCCATAAATGACCTCACGCTTCCCCCTACCCTCCGTCACACATCGTCACAAAAATCAAGACCCCCTAAATGACGTCACAACCTCAGTCTACAACCCCCCCCCTTTAAAATTACTGTAGAATTTTTCTTATAACATCGATATTTTTCCTAAATCTTGTCAGAACTAGATGTATGTCAACATAGAGTATTTTGATCAATTCTACCACAATTTATTAAAAATCGTTTTGCAAAACGCGAAATAATGGCTAAAACTCGTTTTCAAACATTGCTTTTTTTATAATGCAAAAGTGTGACGTCACACCATCTGAACACCCCTCCTCCCCCTCATCACACACCGTCACAAAATTACTGACCCTCCCCCCTACGAGTGTGACGTCATTTATGGATGACCCCTAAAATATAATTAGTAAAAGAAAAAGAATGGAAATCTGTAAGTGATTCTAAGTGATGTCGCACTTCGAGCGTGAGGGGTGGGGAAATCCTAATTTGAAGTTAGGTGACGATTTGTAAAATATTACAGTTAAAATCTCTGTTGGTGTTGTGTTAGGGTTAGGGTTCGCTTAGAGTTACAATTAATCTAATCGTGTGTTAGAAGCAGTCTATACATTACTATAGATTACATATTCTAATTTAATTCAGTTAAGTTTAGTTCAGTTTAGTTTAGTTAAGTTTAGTTAATTTATATGTTTATATTAGATGGTGATGATCTATATTAGATCTATGTTTATTATAATCATACGCGTTGATATATTAGCTTAGAGTTGTGTTAGATTATGCTTTGGGTAAATTTAAAGTATGGGTTGGTTTTGCTTTCAACGTTGTATATGGGGGGGGGGTCGTCCATAAATGACGTCACACTCGTATGGCGGGGGGGGGGACGACTACATTTTCTGGAGGGGGGGGGGACACTGGTAAAAGTATGTTTTCTATATAAATTCCGTTTCATTCGGGGGGGGGGGGGGGAGCGGTAGACTTTCTTCGGGGGGGGGGGGGGGAGATGCCTGGAAGCAGTGTTTCTTCCAGACTTTTTTTCTCCGGGGGTGCACTTGAATTTCTTTGAAGGGGGGGGGGGACAACAATTTCCGGGGGGGGGGGGGGCGGACACTGTCGAAAGTATATATTTTCTATATAAATTCCATTTTGTTCGGGGGGGGGGGGGGGGTGAAAGAGATGCCTAGAAGAAACTCTGCCTGGAAGAAACTTTGTTCTTGTATTTGTTCTCTCTGAAATTGATTAAACCATCATAAAGAAGTCGCATCCCACCTTGCCGAGCTTTGACTTACGTTGCTATTGTTTTCTGTACTATTGTCATCGTGGATTCTGGGGCTAATCGCTTAAAGTTTGTCAATATTTGTGAATGAGGCTGACCAGGCGAAATTTTGTTTTTCTCTGGGTCACGAGTAAACTTTTCTTCGTCAGATTCTTGTATCTTACCTTGCACCAGAGTGGATGTACTTGAGAAAGTTGGCATTGGAGTAACTCAGTCTTTTAGAGCGGCAAATAGATTGCGGGGGTGAACATGTACAACACTATTTTAGTCAACGAGTAATATACTTGACGTGTAACTAACTAGTACCTACTTATAAAGTTCATGAAGTCTAGATCGGTGTTAGAGCCAGAAAGTATTTTATTACCGGTTTACTAACAAACATTAGGGTACTCTTGTACATTCCCTAAATCTGACATCCTCACCTACCTCTGTAATAAAGGTGATCCACCTCCTCCAAGCAAAAGTTTGATATTAATCTGATTATTCCTGTCATAAATGAAGCTCTCGTTGTTCATGAAGCGCCGTAACTAGCATCCCTTTCTGATATTAGACACTTGCCCTAACCTCCCATACATAAAAACTTCACTGGTATATTAATCCCTTGCTTTTTATGAAGCAGCTGTCAGTGTCATCAAGCCATACATATCTTGCAACATATTACAGCTCAATTAGTTGTACAAGTCCATGTAGTACTTTCAAGCCTATTTACTAGTGATTGAGACATTGTCGCCTGTGCTGGTATCCTACATTTTTAAAAGCTTGTCAGTGGGATATATATACACTTTGCTACAGAGGCGTAGCGAGGGCGTGGAGTGCGAACTAGCGACGTCACTGCTTTGCTATACTTTAATGTATGTGTTTATATATATGAAGATTGATAATGTGCATATTTTTTTTTTAACCTGCCATAACAGATGCATAAAAATATGCAATTCTCTTGAATTACTTTTAATAATACTAATGTAAATCATAGTAAATGCTAGAAATGTTTACTTCAGTGTGAGATGAATGCCCCCCCCCCCTCCCACTACAAGAAAATCTCAGGTACACAAACTGACTACTTAAATTTATAATGTAACATGACATTGAATGAACTACAAAAAAAAAAAAAAAAACAATAAGCAATAGTTTACTTGTTTAAATTTTGTATTCACATTAAAAGAATACTTTTGATGCTACAATTAAGTAATAGATCATATAGGTTACAAGTGGACAAGTAAGTAGGTAGATAATAAATCAATATTAGCAGATTTCAGTATGCTCAATAACTAGACAAAATAGAATCAATACATACAACCTTCAGAATAAATAAAAATTTGATGGCTACAGACAACCTCTAATCCACAATACACATCTTAATCTAACAAGTTTTTAATTTTAAATGACTGTGTGTAACTAGACCTTAGTTTCACACACAAACATAAATATATGCATATATATATATATATATATAGATACATATATCTATAACTATAAACAAATACTGCATAGCAGAATATCTCTACATGAAAGCCAACATATTGAAAAAATTGAATTTGCACATTCAATCGCTAAGAAACTCCTCTGAAATTCAGCAATATTATCCAACACCTCTACAAAGACACCAACTGCCTGATTATCCACAAGTTAACCAGCCCTTTTTCAGTGAGTACAGAAATGTTATACGCTTTTCACGTATAAAGTACATCAGACCAAAAGGGTGGAATTCAGTGGACCCTCACTTAGCTGGAGGTCTAGATATTGAGGATGCTATACTCTCACATTGACAACAACATGCCCAATCCACGCTAAGCAAACTATGATGAACCTTCTTAATAATAATATAGGCTTAATGATCAACTGGAAAAAACACAAGTGATAAGAATCAACAACAAACAGGAGTTCCCACTTAGCACACAAGAAATGACTATTTGAGCAAGATCCCTTTACACATCTAGGATCTGTTGTAAGATGATGGGGGAGCAGATGAGGACATCAAAAGCCATATCAGCAAGGTATCCAACATCCTCCGCACAATATGGATGTCAAGAGCTGTCTACAGTTTTCCAAATATGACTGTTGAACAGCAATGTAAAATTTGTTCTCCTTTATGGTTCTGAGACTTTCAATAATGAATGGCTGTGTAGCAAATTGAACATCAGGTGGCCTGAAAAAATAACCATCTGTGATGTTCTAACATCCATCTTGAAGAGACGCCTTAATCCTCAGGCTGGTAAATCCTGGGAAACAAAAAATACACATTTTGTAAGAAAATAAAGACAACTGTTTAATCTTTAAAGAGACCCACTCCACCAGTTGCCGTTATGGTGACATATTAACACTGGAATATCTTGAGTGTGGAAATTGTACTAAAATAAAGATTGTCTACAAAGGTCTACCCTTTTATTTCAAACATTTGTTTGACAATGTGGCTTTGGCAAACATGCTGACTGATATAGCACAAATTTTGAATTAGCAGTAAGTTATCTAAGTTTTTTACATTTAGAATCAATAGTGACCACATATTAGTTCATGTATGAAAATATATTTTTTAGTTTAGTTCAACTCATATATAGCCCTACTAAATATTAAAATAAAATAGAATCAAATTTTTTTTTTAGTTACCAGTTATACTATGATAGCACCTTCCAGCAAGATTTCACTGTTTTATTAATCCAGGTTCGCTGCAGACAAACAAAATGTTTTGGTTAACAAATTAAAAATATCTGTATCACATCACTTAAGTTTATTTAGCCTGCCGGTCCATGGGGCAAGTGCAGTAGAGATAAGCTGTTTCTGTGACTTCAGCATATGAAGGGATAGTGTGGTCAGCACTATGCCCAGTCTCCTTTACTTTTCCTAACGTGAGTTAGGTACCTATCAGAGCAGCTGGGTGGACTCAGGGAAGTTCTGCTGACTTGAATCCAGATTCAAACTTTAGCCACACCATCACCTTACATAATTTGCTTTAAATCAAATGTTTGCACCCCACTTCTCATTGGGAAGTACATTGCAGTACAGTTGGTGCTTGTTTAGTGTAACCTTAAATTCACAATGATAAATAAACAAATGATTTATAAAATATAACTATGTACAAATAATACAGTGTATGTGAGTAGCAGAACATTGGATAACTAACCTGATAGTCTCAAGTCACCTTGGTGTCACCCCCTTAAATAGTGTCATCTGGTGCAGTCTGCACCCCCCACCCGTGCTATGCTAGCTAAGGCAAGGGTTATCAATAAAAATGTTATAAATAAAAAAAATATTAATAAATTAATAATAAGCCTAATTACTATAATTAGGTAATTAACTAATTATTAGATTATTAGATCTAGTAATTAATTTAATAATGTAATATTAATTATAATCTTATTTTCTACAAAAAGGTCTAGAGATCTAGATCTAGAAATTTCCAACCAAATCAATTAATTATCATAATTATGTTTTCTGTTGGATCTAGTTTCGGTATCGTAAATTATTTAAGTAAAATAAACAACGATCTTAGCTGTTCGACTACTTAAAAATATTTCAGCGGGATTTTCGACAGTACGGCCAAGTTTAAAATATCTGTACTTTCGTTTCGACACTACGGGCTAATCCCAAGGTCAAGTAGTCGAAAAAATATCGATACTAACATATCTTGAATAGAAAAATTCTAAGTACGATTATTTTAAAATATAAAAACTAATCAGGAATTTCTAGAATTAGAATGCACTTTCCCTCTGTTCAGTTTTGCTAGCTTCTAGATCTAGATCTAGATTTCTTTTCCTTAATCAAACCTTAACAGTCAAATATTTTCAGAACCTTCTCATTAAACTTACGATTAACAGAAGTAGTAGATCTATTACAAATCAAATTGACAGTTTTGAACTCAATTATTTTAGACAAATTTAAAAATAATTATAAATTCTAGTCATTTTAATTTTATATAACACAAAATGGATAAATAAATTTAAAAAAAATAAAATTAAATAACCCAAAACTAATACTACTAGAATTTAGATCATACTAGGCTATTAAATTTGTCTGAGCTATTAGTAATAGCTTAGACAAAACTTATCCTAATATTAGTCAATTAGCAAAATGTAACATTCGTCCACCTCTCCCTTAACTTAGCCAGGCCCTAAATCTTACCCCTATGGGGAGATCAAACATAAACTAGAGGACAAAATTCTTTCTTTCCAATTTTATTTAAACTTGACTTTTTAAAAAATGTACAAAACAGCAGTGGCAGTAGCTAGGATTTTCAGGCCTTTTGCAAAAATTATCAATGGGCACCTTTGTTAATCTGTACATTTTGTATTTTATGTACTAATTGTGTATTTATACTGTATCATTATGTAATACCCAGTAACGCAAAATTCATTTTATATCATTTTTATGTAAAAAGACACCTGAAGTAAACGCCTGGGGTGATACCCAACCTTACTTGCCCAAAGAACATAATTTGTTTTAAAATATCATAATGAGCAAATAATGAGATAAAAAATTCTATCATAGACATCAAGTCTCCTTCCCAATGACCACGGAATGCAAAAGAATTTGTATATGGAAATAGTGCAATGCTGCAATCTAGTCCTACATACCAGGAGGCGATACATTTTATATGGGTTCATCAATGTGTTACCAGTTGTGTATTTTTAGATGTGACTGTTTTCTAAAACAGGGATAATTTAGATGTAAATGACACCAGTGCTACATTTCTCAGATCTTTGTTGCTGGGACTCGATTTTGTCCACATAACCACTCAAACGACCCTGGGCGTGCTGTAAGAATGACCAGCATGTCCCAGGCCTTGAGCGTCCATTAATCACTCTCTGTAATAGTACTAATAGTGAGGTAGAACTCACTACAGCGACTGCCCCGGTGTCAGTTTCGTAGCGGGGTGCTCTCTGGAGCCCCTGGTTACACTACCACAGGGGCGCTGCGTACGGCCCCTGGCTTGGTTTCAATCATCGAATGTCTTGTGCCACATAGTCACTATTGAAGGTGTAGTAATGCATAAATGATAAACAAACCCACACACATACTTTGATTTATATATATATATATATATATATATATATATATATATATATATATATATATATATATAATTGATTTACATTAATTTTATATTCAAATTATTTAAAGCATTTTATTTTAAAAATCACATTTTAGAATTGACAAATATTGAATTTTCTATTTATCATTTTGAATTTATTTATAAGAATCAAATCAAAATGATGACTTAGTGCATTTTGTTTTTACTCTAAGCCCCTATCTTACTGCTCCAAATTACAGTCAAATAAAAACATTACCAAAATCTTCGGCAGAGCACTAATTTTAAATGACGGCCATTAAGTCTAACTCCAGTTATAAGCCTGCATCAAACACTGTGTTTACACTTGCAACATGTATACATGTCTAGAAAACAATTTGTAACAAGTATACAACTTTCATGGTAATAATGTTTTTATATTGTCTTGTTGCAAGGTTTTTCTTCTAGATATGTTTAGTATACAAGTGCCAATGTGGTGTAGGGCTCTAAACCAAAACACAAAAGCTAAAACTATTTTTAACTATATAAAAAAAACAGCAAACACAAATTACGTTCAGGTTTATTTGCTTGCAAATAAAATGGATCTGTACCACAAAAATTTCTGATTACAAAAAAAGATTACACTACTATCTCTATACAGTACTATCTGCAAGTAAATTTTACATTTTATTCGTGTCCACGTCTATATCACAACATTATTCTACCACTTAGTACACACAACCTCTGTACACAGTACAATCATTCAAACAATATCTGTACACCCTAGAATCATTCAAACAATATCTGTACACAGTACAATCATTCAAACAACCTCCGTACACAGTACAATCATTCAGACAACCTCTGTACACAGTACAATCATTCAGACCACCTCTGTACACAGTATCAAACACTTCACCAATACCAACAAGACACTGTATTGTTTGTTGATAAAATCAGCCTAGGTCAATGGTCTCATGTCAGCCTAGGTCAATGGTCTCATGTCAGCCTAGGTCAATGGTCTCACGTCAGCCTAGGTCAATGGTCTCACATCAGCCTAGGTCAATGGTCTCATGTCAGCCTAGGTCAATGGTCTCACGTCAGCCTAGGTCAATGGTCTCACATCAGCCTAGGTCAATGGTCTCATGTCAGCCTAGGTCAATGGTCTCATGTCAGCCTAGGTCAATGGTCTCACGTCAGCCTAGGTCAATGGTCTCACATCAGCCTAGGTCAATGGTCTCACGTCAGCCTAGGTCAATGGTCTCACGTCAGCCTAGGTCAATGGTCTCACATCAGCCTAGGTCAATGGTCTCACGTCAGCCTAGGTCAATGGTCTCATGTCAGCCCTAGTCCTTGTGTCATGATGACCTTTGACTTTTTGTCAGGTTAAAAATAATGTTTGTACATTTGTATGATAAACTTTCATGGTCTAATTCAGCACATTTTAAAAGGTTTGTACATTTGTATGATAAACTTCCAGTCTAATTCTGCACATTTAAAAAATGTCTTTCAAAAAATTCCCTTATAAATTTTTTGTTTCACTATGACTACTGTTGTATCTTTTGGTAAAATCTGGCAAAAAAGAGACTGTGGACAAACTATTCAAGTCTAATCCTCAAAGTGGGAGAGACACCTACTACTAAATAAAACATGCAAGCAAATTCTGTACTTATACTAGACGCAGATCTATCTTGTCCAACTGACAGCTGACATGTCTACATCAACTCTGTACAACTACTGACAGCTGACATGACAGAATTAACTCGACCAGATTAATGGCTGTGGGGTACAGAATCTTTCTCATCAAGGATTTTCTCAGCTGGCTGACTCATGTTGTTGTTGCTGTCAATCGGGCTGCCCATAACAGCACTTTGTTTCTGCCAGAGACTGTAGTACAGGCTGTTGGGGTTGGCTATCAGCTCTGTGTGAGAACCTTTCTCTGCCACTTGGCCTTTGTCCAACACAAGGATCTCATCAGCATCAACAACAGTGGACAAGCGGTGAGCGATGACAATAGTTGTCTTCCCTTGTGTGACGCGCCTCAGAGCTTGAAGGATATTCTAAAAACAGAAGTTTGGCTATTAGAAATACAACGTGCATGCAGAAGTTTGGTTGATGTCAGAAATATGATGACATACGAACAATGTTACAGACAGAATTAAACTCGTATGTGGAGGTACTAGTGTACCAGCACTGACCTGTCCAGTGTACCGGCACTGACCTGCCCAGTGTACCCCACTGACCTGCCCAGTGTACCCCACTGACCTGCTCAGTGTACCCCACTGACCTGCCCAGTGTACCCCACTGACCTGCCCAGTGTACCCCACTGACCTGCCCAGTGTACCCCACTGACCTGCCCCCACTGACCTGCCCAGTGTACCCCACTGACCTGCCCAGTGTACCCCAGTGACCTGCCCAGTGTACCCCCACTGACCTGCCCAGTGTACCCCACTGACCTGCTCAGTGTACCCCACTGACCTGCCCAGTGTACCCCACTGACCTGCCCAGTGTACCCCAGTGACCTGCCCAGTGTACCCCCACTGACCTGCCCAGTGTACCCCACTGACCTGCCCAGTGTACCCCACTGACCTGCCCCCACTGACCTGCCCAGTGTACCCCACTGACCTGCCCAGTGTACCCCACTGACCTGCCCAGTGTACCCCACTGACCTGCCCAGTGTACGCCCACTGACCTGCCCAGTGTACCCCCACTGACCTGCCCAGTGTACCCCCACTGACCTGCCCAGTGTACCCCACTGACCTGCCAGTGTACCCCCACTGACCTGTCCAGTGTACCCCACTGACCTGCCCAGTGTACCCCCACTGACCTGCCCAGTGTACCCCAACTGACCTGCCCAGTGTACCCCCACTGACCTGCCCAGTGTACCCCCACTGACCTGCCCAGTGTACCCCACTGACCTGCCCAGTGTACCCCACTGACCTGCCCAGTGTACCCCCACTGACCTGCCCAGTGTACCCCCACTGACCTGCCCAGTGTACCCCCACTGACCTGCCCAGTGTACCCCCACTGACCTGCCCAGTGTACCCCACTGACCTGCCCCCACTGACCTGCCCAGTGTACCCCCACTGACCTGCCCAGTGTACCCCACTGACCTGCCCAGTGTACCCCAGTGACCTGCCCAGTGTACCCCCACTGACCTGCCCAGTGTACCCCACTGACCTGCTCAGTGTACCCCACTGACCTGCCCAGTGTACCCCACTGACCTGCCCAGTGTACCCCAGTGACCTGCCCAGTGTACCCCCACTGACCTGCCCAGTGTACCCCACTGACCTGCCCCCACTGACCTGCCCAGTGTACCCCACTGACCTGCCCAGTGTACCCCACTGACCTGCCCAGTGTACGCCCACTGACCTGCCCAGTGTACCCCCACTGACCTGCCCAGTGTACCCCCACTGACCTGCCCAGTGTACCCCACTGACCTGCCCAGTGTACCCCCACTGACCTGTCCAGTGTACCCCACTGACCTGCCCAGTGTACCCCCACTGACCTGCCCAGTGTACCCCCACTGACCTGCCCAGTGTACCCCACTGACCTGCCCAGTGTACCCCACTGACCTGCCCAGTGTACCCCCACTGACCTGCCCAGTGTACCCCCACTGACCTGCCCAGTGTACCCCCACTGACCTGCCCAGTGTACCCCCACTGACCTGCCCAGTGTACCCCACTGACCTGCCCCCACTGACCTGCCCAGTGTACCCCACTGACCTGCCCAGTGTACCCCCACTGACCTGCCCAGTGTACCCCCACTGACCTGCCCCCACTGACCTGCCCAGTGTACCCCACTGACCTGCCCAGTGTACCCCCACTGACCTGCCCAGTGTACCCCCACTGACCTGCCCAGTGTACCCCACTGACCTGCCCAGTGTACCCCCACTGACCTGCCCAGTGTACCCCCACTGACCTGCCCAGTGTACCCCACTGACCTGCCCAGTGTACCCCACTGACCTGCCCAGTGTACCCCACTGACCTGCCCAGTGTACCCCACTGACCTGCCCAGTGTACCCCACTGACCTGCCCAGTGTACCCCACTGACCTGCCCAGTGTACCCCCACTGACCTGCCCAGTGTACCCCCACTGACCTGCCCAGTGTACCCCCACTGACCTGCCCAGTGTACCCCCACTGACCTGCCCAGTGTACCCCACTGACCTGCCCAGTGTACCCCCACTGACCTGCCCAGTGTACCCCCACTGACCTGCTCAGTGTAAGGCACTGACCTGCCCAGTGTACCCCACTGACCTGCCCAGTGTACCCCACTGACCTGCCCAGTGTACCCCCACTGACCTGCCCAGTGTACCCCACTGACCTGCCCAGTGTACCCCCACTGACCTGCCCAGTGTACCCCACTGACCTGCTCAGTGTAAGGCACTGACCTGCCCAGTGTACCCCACTGACCTGCCCAGTGTACCCCCACTGACCTGCCCCCACTGACCTGCCCCCACTGACCTGCCCAGTGTACCCTACTGACCTGCCCAGTGTACCCCACTGACCTGCTCAGTGATGGTGTCTAGAGATGACGTGGCCTCATCATACACAACAATCAGGGGGTTCTTCAAGATGGCTCTAGCTATGGCCACCCTCTGCTTCTCACCACCTGACATTCAAAGGGATGATTGTGACTTTAGGTAATCAAAGGGATGATTGTGACTTTAGGTAATCAAAGGGATGATTGTGACTTTAGGTAATCAAAGGGATGATTGTGACTTTAGGTAATCAAAGGGATGATTGTGACTTTAGGTAATCAAAGGGATGATTGTGACTTTAGGTAATCAAAGGGATGATTGTGACTTTAGGTAATCAAAGGGATGATTGTGACTTTAGGTAATCAAAGGGATGATTGTTTCTTGAGGTAATCAAAGGAATGATTGTGACTTTAGGTAATCAAAGGGATGATTGTGACTTTAGGTAATCAAAGGGATGTTTGTGACTTTAGGTAATCAAAGGGATGATTGTGACTTTAGGTAATCAAAGGGATGATTGTGACTTTAGGTAATCAAAGGGATGATTGTTTCTTGAGGTAATCAAAGGAATGATTGTGACTTTAGGTAATCAAAGGGATGATTGTGACTTTAGGTAATCAAAGGGATGTTTGTTTCTTGAGGTAATCAAAGGGATGATTGTGACTTTAGGTAATCAAAGGGATGATTGTGACTTTAGGTAATCAAAGGGATGATTGTGACTTTAGGTAATCAAAGGGATGATGGTTTAGATGTAGAGTATAAAAGGTCTTAATGTAGAGGCTGGGAGGTCTAAAATGTAGAGGCTGGGTGGTCTAAAATGTAGATGCTGGGTGGTATAAAATGTAGAGGCTGGGTGGTCTAAAATGTAGATGCTGGGTGGTATAAAATGTAGAGGCTGGGTGGTCTAAAATGTAGATGCTGGGTGGTATAAAATGTAGATGCTGGGTGGTCTAAAATGTAGATGCTGGGTGGTATAAAATGTAGAGGCTGGGTGGTATAAAATGTAGAGGCTGGGTGGTCTAAAATGTAGATGCTGGGTGGTATAAAATGTAGAGGCTGGGTGGTCTAAAATGTAGATGCTGGGTGGTATAAAATGTAGAGGCTGGGTGGTCTAAAATGTAGATGCTGGGTGGTATAAAATGTAGATGCTGGGTGGTCTAAAATGTAGATGCTGGGTGGTATAAAATGTAGAGGCTGGGTGGTATAAAATGTAGAGGCTGGGTGGTCTAAAATGTAGATGCTGGGTGGTATAAAATGTAGAGGCTGGGTGGTCTAAAATGTAGATGCTGGGTGGTATAAAATGTAGATGCTGGGTGGTCTAAAATGTAGATGCTGGGTGGTATAAAATGTAGAGGCTGGGTGGTATAAAATGTAGATGCTGGGTGGTCTAAAATGTAGAGGCTGGGTGGTCTAAAATGTAGAGGCTGGGTGGTCTAAAATGTAGAGGCTGGGTGGTCTAAAATGTAGAGGCTGGGTGGTCTGACCAGAGAGTTTGAGGCCCCTCTCCCCCACTTGGGTCTGGTACTTGTTGGGGAAGCGGTTCATGATGGTGCTGTGGATCTCTGCCATGTCAGCTGCCCTGTGGACCTCGTCCTCTGTGGCGGTCAGCTTGCCATACACTATGTTGTTGTACACTGTGTCATGGAACAGCACACAATCCTGGGGGAACAGCACAATCATAAGGGACACAATCTTAGAGGAACAACACAATCTTAGTGGGACAGCACAATCTTAGAGGAACAACACAATCTTAGAGGAACAACACAATCTTAGAGGAACAACACAATCTTAGAGGAACAACACAATCTTAGAGGAACAACACAATCTTAGAGGAACAACACCATCTTAGTGGGACAGCACAATCTTAGAGGAACAACACAATCTTAGAGGAACAACACAATCTTAGAGGAACAACACAATCTTAGAGGAACAACACAATCTTAGAGGAACAACACAATCTTAGAGGAACAACACAATCTTAGGGGAACAACACCATCTTAGTGGGACAACACCATCTTAGACACAGATGAACAGACAGCAAGTGAAAGCTTGTACCAACTACCTGTGGGACAACTCCTATAGCTTTACGTAGACTCTCCAGGTCAACTTCCTGTATCTCCTGCCCATTGATCAGAATTTTGCCCTCTTGGGGATCAAAAAATCGATACAAAAGTCTAACAATGGTTGACTTCCTGTATTACAAGAAAAAAGAACTTCTCCAACAAACTATTGTAGTGTCAAACACAGCTCACTAGTACATGATAAAACCTCATTTACACTCCAACTATCCACCACCACAAACCAAGACCTACCCTGATCCACTGCCACCAACCAAGACCTACCCTGATCCACTGCCACCAACCAAGACCTACCCTGATCCACTGCCACCAAGACCTACACTGATCCACCGCCACCAACCAAGACCTACCCTGATCCACTGCCACCAAGACCTACCCTGATCCACTGCCACCAAGACCTACCCTGATTCACTGCCACCAAGACCTACCCTGATCCACTGCCACCAAGACCTACCCTGATTCACTGCCACTAACCAAGACCTACCCTGATCCACTGCCACCAACCAAGACCTACCCTGATCCACTGCCACCAACCAAGACCTACCCTGATCCACTGCCACCAAGACCTACCCTGATTCACTGCCACTAACCAAGACCTACCCTGATCCACTGCCACCAACCAAGACCTACCCTGATCCACTGCCACCAACCAAGACCTACCCTGATCCACTGCCACCAAGACCTACCCTGATCCACTGCCACCAAGACCTACCCTGATCCACTGCCACCAAGACCTACCCTGATCCACTGCCACCAACCAAGACCTACCCTGATCCACTGCCACCAACCAAGACCTACCCTGATCCACTGCCACCAAGACCTACCCTGATCCACTGCCACCAAGACCTACCCTGATCCACTGCCACCAAGACCTACCCCGATTCACTGCCACCAACCAAGACCTACCCTGATCCACTGCCACCAACCAAGACCTACCCTGATCCACTGCCACCAAGACCTACCTTGATCCACTGCCACCAACCAAGACCTACCCTGATCCACTGCCACCAACCAAGACCTAGCCTAATCCACTGCCACCAAGACCTACCCTGATCCACTGCCACCAAGACCTACCCTGATCCACTGCCACCAAGACCTACCCTGATCCACTGCCACCAACCAAGACCTACCCTGATCCACTGCCACCAACCAAGACCTACCCTGATCCACTGCCACCAACCAAGACCACCCTGATCCACTGCCACCAACCAAGACCTACCCTGATCCACTGCCACCAAGACCTACCCTGATCCACTGCCACCAAGACCTACCCTGATCCACTGCCACCAACCAAGACCTACCCTGATCCACTGCCACCAAGACCTACCCTGATCCACTGCCACCAAGACCTACCCTGATCCACTGCCACCAAGACCTACCCTGATCCACTGCCACCAACCAAGACCTACCCTGATCCACTGCCACCAACCAAGACCACCCTGATCCACTGCCACCAACCAAGACCTACCCTGATCCACTGCCACCAAGACCTACCCTGATCCACTGCCACCAAGACCTACCCTGATCCACTGCCACCAAGACCTACCCTGATCCACTGCCACCAAGACCTACCCTGATCCACTGCCACCAACCAAGACCACCCTGATCCACTGCCACCAACCAAGACCTACCCTGATCCACTGCCACCAACCAAGACCACCCTGATCCACTGCCACCAACCAAGACCTACCCTGATCCACTGCCACCAAGACCTACCCTGATCCACTGCCACCAAGACCTACCCTGATCCACTGCCACCAAGACCTACCCTGATCCACTGCCACCAAGACCTACCCTGATCCACTGCCACCAACCAAGACCACCCTGATCCACTGCCACCAACCAAGACCTACCCTGATCCACTGCCACCAACCAAGACCTACCCTGATCCACTGCCACCAACCAAGACCACCCTGATCCACTGCCACCAACCAAGACCTACCCTGATCCACTGCCACCAAGACCTACCCTGATCCACTGCCACCAAGACCTACCCTGATCCACTGCCACCAAGACCTACCCCGATTCACTGCCACCAACCAAGACCTACCCTGATCCACTGCCACCAACCAAGACCTAGCCTAATCCACTGCCACCAAGACCTACCCTGATCCACTGCCACCAAGACCTACCCTGATCCACTGCCACCAAGACCTACCCTGATCCACTGCCACCAACCAAGACCTACCCTGATCCACTGCCACCAACCAAGACCTACCCTGATCCACTGCCACCAACCAAGACCTACCCTGATCCACTGCCACCAACCAAGACCTACCCTGATCCACTGCCACCAAGACCTACCCTGATCCACTGCCACCAAGACCTACCCTGATCCACTGCCATCAAGACCTACCCTGATCCACTGCCACCAAGACCTACCCTGATCCACTGCCACCAACCAAGACCTACCCTGATCCACTGCCACCAAGACCTACCCTAATCCACTGCCACCAAGACCTACCCTGATCCACTGCCACCAAGACCTACCCTGATCCACTGCCACCAAGACCTACCCTGATCCACTGCCACCAAGACCTACCCTGATCCACTGCCACCAAGACCTACCCTGATCCACTGCCACCAAGACCTACCCTGATCCACTGCCACCAACAATGGCGACCTTCTTCCCAGATGGAACTGTGAAATTGAGTCCATTTAAAATTGGGTGACCTCTGACATACTCAAAGTAGACGTCTTGGAAGGTGATGGCTGATTGATGGGGGGCAACTTGTAAAACTGGGGCTTTCAATTTGCTCTAAAGGGAGGGACAGAGAACAGTCAGTGTAAACATATGTAAATCTGGGGCTTTCAATTTGCTCTAAAGGGAGGGACAGAGAACAGTCAGTGTAAACATATGTAAAACTGGGGCTTTCAATTTGCTCTAAAGGGAGGGACAGAGAACAGTCAGTGTAAACATATGTAAATCTGGGGCTTTCAATTTGCTCTAAAGGGAGGGACAGAGAACAGTCAGTGTAAACATATGTAAATCTGGGGCTTTCAATTTGCTCTAAAGGGAGGGACAGAGAACAGTCAGTATAAACATATGTAAATCTGGGGCTTTCAATTTGCTCTAAAGGGAGGGACAGAGAACAGTCAGTATAAACATATGTAAAACTGGGGCTTTCAATTTGCTCTAAAGGGATGGACAGAGAACAGTCAGTATAAACATATGTAAAACTGGGGCTTTCAATTTGCTCTAAAGGGAGGGACAGAGAACAGTCAGTGTAAACATATGTAGAACTGGGGCTTTCAATTTGCTCTAAAGGGAGGGACAGAGAGCAGTCAGTATAAACATATGTAGAACTGGGGCTTTCAATTTGCTCTAAAGGGAGGGACAGAGAACAGTCAGTGTAAACATATGTAAAACTGGGGCTTTCAATTTGCTCTAAAGGGAGGGACAGAGAACAGTCAGTGTAAACATATGACATAGAAAAAATTGTGTTATATTTAGATCTACATACATGACTGATATTTCCAGGATTTTATGGCACCATGATTACCTGGATGTTGGGGGTCATGTTGGATGTTGGGGGTCATGTTGGATGTTGGGGGTCATGTTTACCTGGATACTGGGGTTCATGTGTACTGGATACTGGGGGTCATATCGGATGTTGGGGTCATGTAGGGTGTTAGGGGTCATGTTAACCTGGATGTAGGGGATCATGTTGGATGTTGGGGGTCATGTTAACCTGGATGTAGGGGATCATGTTGCATGTTGGGGGTCATGTTTACCTGGATGTTGGGGTTCATGTTGGATGTTGGGGGTCATGTTTACCAGGCTGGATACTGGGGGTCATGTTGCATGTTGGGGGTCATGTTTACCTGGATGTTGGGGGTCATGTTGGATGTTAGGGGTCATGTTTTCCTGGATACTGGGGGTCATGTTGGATGTTGGGGGTCATGTTGGATGTTAGGGGTCATGTTTTCCTGGATACTGGGGGTCATGTTGGATGTTGGGGTTCATGTTGGATGTTAGGGTTCATGTTTACCAGGCTGGATACTGGGGGTCATGTTGCATGTTGGGGGTCATGTTGGATGTTAGGGGTCATGTTTTCCTGGATACTGGGGGTCATGTTGGATGTTGGGGTTCATGTTGGATGTTAGGGTTCATGTTTACCAGGCTGGATACTGGGGGTCATGTTGCATGTTGGGGGTCATGTTTACCTGGATGTTGGGGTCATGTTGGATGTTGGGGGTCATGTTTACCTGGATACTGGGGGTCATGTTAACCTGGATGTTGGGGTCATGTTGGATGTTGGGGGTCATGTTGGATGTTGGGGGTCATGTTTACCTGGATACTGGGGGTCATGTTAACCTGGATGTCGGGGTCATGTTGGATGTTGGGGTCATGTTTACCTGGATACTGGGGGTCATGTTGGATGTTGGGGGTCATGTTGTATGTTGGGGTCATGTTGTATGTTGGGGGTCATGTTGGATGTTGGGGGGGGGTCATGTTGGATACTGGGGGTCATGTTGGATGTTGGGGTCATGTTGTATGTTGGGGGTCATGTTGGATGTTAGGGTTCATGTTTACCAGGCTGGATACTGGGGGTCATGTTGCATGTTGGGGGTCATGTTGGATGTTAGGGGTCATGTTTTCCTGGATACTGGGGGTCATGTTGGATGTTGGGGTTCATGTTGGATGTTAGGGTTCATGTTTACCAGGCTGGATACTGGGGGTCATGTTGCATGTTGGGGGTCATGTTTACCTGGATGTTGGGGTCATGTTGGATGTTGGGGGTCATGTTTACCTGGATACTGGGGGTCATGTTAACCTGGATGTTGGGGTCATGTTGGATGTTGGGGGTCATGTTGGATGTTGGGGGTCATGTTTACCTGGATGTCGGGGTCATGTTGGATGTTGGGGTCATGTTTACCTGGATACTGGGGGTCATGTTGGATGTTGGGGGTCATGTTGGATGTTGGGGGTCATGTTTACCAGGCTGGATACTGGGGGTCATGTTGCATGTTGGGGGTCATGTTTACCTGGATGTTGGGGTTCATGTTGGATGTTAGTGGTCATGTTTACCTGGATACTGGGGGTCATGTTGGATGTTGGGGTTCATGTTGGATGTTAGGGTTCATGTTTACCAGGCTGGATACTGGGGGTCATGTTGCATGTTGGGGGTCATGTTTACCTGGATGTTGGGGTTCATGTTGGATGTTAGTGGTCATGTTTACCTGGATACTGGGGGTCATGTTGGATACTGGGGGTCATGTTGGATGTTGGGGTTCATGTTGGATGTTAGGGTTCATGTTTACCAGGCTGGATACTGGGGGTCATGTTGCATGTTGGGGGTCATGTTTACCTGGATGTTGGGGTCATGTTGGATGTTGGGGGTCATGTTTACCTGGATACTGGGGGTCATGTTAACCTGGATGTTGGGGTCATGTTGGATGTTGGGGGTCATGTTGGATGTTGGGGGTCATGTTTACCTGGATACTGGGGGTCATGTTAACCTGGATGTCGGGGTCATGTTGGATGTTGGGGTCATGTTTACCTGGATACTGGGGGTCATGTTAACCTGGATGTCGGGGTCATGTTGGATGTTGGGGTCATGTTTACCTGGATACTGGGGGTCATGTTGGATGTTGGGGGTCATGTTGTATGTTGGGGTCATGTTGTATGTTGGGGGTCATGTTGGATGTTGGGGGGGGGGGGGGGGGGTCATGTTGGATACTGGGGGTCATGTTGGATACTGGGAGTCATGTTGGATGTTGGGGTCATGTTGTATGTTGGGGGTCATGTTGGATGTTTTGGGTCATGTTGGATGTTGGGGGTCATGTTGGATGTTTTGGGTCATGTTGGATGTTGGGGGTCATGTTGGATGTTGGGGGTCATGTTGGATGTTGGGGGTCATGTTTACCTGGATACTGGGGGTCATGTTGGATGTTGGGGGTCATGTTTACCTAGATGTTAGGGGTCATGCTTACCTGGATACTGGGGGTCATGTTCAATAGACTGAACATTGTGTGCATGTCTATCAAAGACTGTCGCACCTCCCTGTACACAGAGCCCAGGAAGTTGAGGGGCAGAGAGAGCTGGAACAGAAGTCCATTGACCAGAACAAGGTCGCCTACTGTCATGGTACCTGGGCACAGAGATACAGCTGCTGTTTATGCTGCTCATATTGGGTCAGTTGAGTCTCATGAACCAGTCAACTCATGTCTAGCTGTGTGCAATTGTTTTATTTTGAAAACTGAGTTCTAACACCAATGTAAAAAAACTGGAGTTACCTGCCTTGATGTTGTGACTAAAAAAACTGGAGTTACCTGCCTTGATGTTGTGACTAAAAAAACTGGAGTTACCTGCCTTGATGTTGTGACTAAAAAAACTGGAGTTACCTGCCTTGATGTTGTGACTAAAAAAACTGGAGTTACCTGCCTTGATGTTGTGACTAAAAAAAACTGGAGTTACCTGCCTTGATGTTGTGACTAAAAAAAACTGGAGTTACCTGCCTTGATGTTGTGACTAAAAAAAACTGGAGTTACCTGCCTTGATGTTGTGACTAAAAAAAACTGGAGTTAACTGCCTTGATGTTGTGACTAAAAAAACTGGAGTTACCTGCCATGATGTTGTGACTAAAAAAAACTGGAGTTACCTGCCTTGATGTTGTGACTAAAAAAAATGGAGTTACCTGCCTTGATGTTGTGACTAAAAAAAACTGGAGTTACCTGCCATGATGTTGTGACTTGCCATGATCATCACAGCTGTTAGACCAGCACTAAAAATAGCATTCTGGCCCCAGTTAAGCAATGCCAGACTGACTGTTGTCTTCAATGAAGCATCTTCATATTTTTTTAGCTGCTTGTCATACTTGTTGGCTTCAAACTCTTCATTGTTGAAGTACTGGACAACATTAACAAAAATAAAATTGTCATTGTTGAAGTACTGGACAACATTAACAAAAATAAAATTGTCATTGTTGAAGTACTGGACAACATTAACAAAAATAAAATTGTCATTGTTGAAGTACTAGAAAACATCCCTCACAAAATATACTCTCTACAACTCTCTCTCTCTTTGTGTTAACATTGTAATAATATTGAACTGACTAATGATACAAGAATTGTTTCCATTCCTGGGGGGAGGGAGTAGGATTCATGAAGGGGGGGGGGGGGCAACTTGTCCAACTGGGGCTTTCAATTATCTCTACAGAGGAGAGAACAGTCAGAGGCGTAGCAAGGCCGGGGGTGTGTACCGCATCGGGTGACACCATTTAGGGGGGTGAAAACATGGCAAAAAATTGTAAAATGTACAGAAGAAATTTGCTTTTTTGCCAGTTCCATTAATGATCAATTAAAGTTAAATAGTCTTTTAAGTACAAACCAACAATTATTACAAGAGGGAGGGGGTGACACTATGACGTAAATGTGCTAACTATAGAAAAAGCAATGCTACATACAACTGTATAATTAACATATAGATAAACATCGTTACTATTAAGTCTGCAGTGATTAAAGCTTATAACACATACATGTATGACACTATGAGGCATATATTTAAATTATAGGTCTATGTAGGCACACACACAAATATATATATATATATATATACACACACATACTTTGTTGGGAAGTGCAGCACTGGGTGACACCCGACCTAGTGACGCCAGTGAGTCGGTGTAAACATATGACATGGGAAAAACTAAAAATTTACCTTGACTGTCTCGTAGTTGATGAGAGAGTCAATGGCCTTTGCTCCTGCCTCAGAATCAGCTTTATTCATCATTACACGAAACTTGGTCCTAAAACAAGAAAATATTTGTTTATCATTACACGAAACTTGGTCCTAAAACAAGAAAATATTTGTTTATCATTACACGAAACTTGGTCCTAAAACAAGAAAATATTTGTTTATCATTACACGAAACTTGGTCCTAAAACAAGAAAATATTTGTTTATCATTACACGAAACTTGGTCCTAAAACAAGAAAATATTTGTTTATCATTACACGAAACTTGGTCCTAAAACAAGAAAATATTTGTTTATCATTACACGAAACTTGGTCCTAAAACAAGAAAATATTTGTTTATCATTACACGAAACTTGGTCCTAAAACAAGAAAATATTTGTTTATCATTACACGAAACTTGGTCCTAAAACAAGAAAATATTTGTTTATCATTACACGAAACTTGGTCCTAAAACAAGAAAATATTTGTTTATCATTACACGAAACTTGGTCCTAAAACAAGAAAATATTTGTTTATCATTACACGAAACTTGGTCCTAAAACAAGAAAATATTTGTTTATCATTACACGAAACTTGGTCCTAAAACAAGAAAATATTTGTTTATCATTACACGAAACTTGGTCCTAAAACAAGAAAATATTTGTTTATCATTACACGAAACTTGGTCCTAAAACAAGAAAATATTTGTTTATCATTACACGAAACTTGGTCCTAAAACAAGAAAATATTTGTTTATCATTACACGAAACTTGGTCCTAAAACAAGAAAATATTTGTTTATCATTACACGAAACTTGGTCCTAAAACAAGAAAATATTTGTTTATCATTACACGAAACTTGGTCCTAAAACAAGTAAATATTTGTTTATCATTACACGAAACTTGGTCCTAAAACAAGAAAATATTTGTTTATCATTACACGAAACTTGGTCCCTTGTGTGGGATGCATGGTGTGTGTGTGTGGAGAGTGTCCCTTGTGTGGGATGTATGTAGCACTTACCTCCACTGCGTGATGGCCAGGGTAAACACAGCGTAGGAGGCCACACAGCCGAGGGTAACCAGAGCAAACTTGCCACCACACTTGTAGTACTGGGAGACCAGAGGGCAACATTTTTTATTGGTTGGGCTCACCATCTACATACACTTTACAACACTTGCAATAAAAATTGAACAAGGTCAAAGATTTCTCTCAAACAAACATCACAATGATAGTTTACATGAGGTCAAAGATTTCTCTCAAACAAACATCACAATGAGAGTTTACATGAGGTCAAAGATTTCTCTCAAACAAACATCACAATGAGAGTTTACATGACGTCAAAGATTTCTCTCAAACAAACATCACAATGAGAGTTTACATGAGGTCAAAGATTTCTCTCAAACATCACAATGAGAGTTTACATGAGGTCAAAGATTTCTCTCAAACATCACAATGAGAGTTTACATGAGGTCAACTTACCAAAACAGAGCTAACAAAAGCCACTTCCAGAATTGTAGGAGCCACATTGAACACTAAAGCACTTAACACAAAGTTGATACCCCTGAGGGGAGAGGAAAAACATTTTCAATAAGTAATGCTAGCAGGGCTGTATGCTAGCAGGGCTGTATGCTAGCAGGGCTGTAGGCTAGCAGGGCTGTAGGCTAGCAGGGCTGTATGCTAGCAGGGCTGTATGCTAGCAGGGCTGTATGCCAGCAGGGCTGTATGCTAGCAGGACTGTATGCCAGCAGGGCTGTAGGCTAGCAGGGCTGTAGGCTAGCAGGGCTGTATGCTAGCAGGGCTGTATGCTAGCAGGGCTGTATGCTAGCAGGGCTGTATGCTAGCAGGGCTGTATGCTAGCAGGGCTGTATGCTAGCAGGGCTGTATGCTAGCAGGACTGTATGCCAGCAGGGCTGTATGCCAGCAGGGCTGTATGCTAGCAGGGCTGTATGCTAGCAGGGCTGTATGCTAGCAGGGCTGTATGCTAGCAGGGCTGTATGCTAGCAGGGCTGTATGCTAGCAGGGCTGTAGGCTAGCAGGACTGTATGCCAGCAGGACTGTATCCTAGCAGGACTGTATGCTAGCAGGACTGTATGCCAGCAGGGCTGTATGCTAGCAGGGCTGTATGCTAGCAGGGCTGTATGCTAGCAGGGCTGTAGGCTAGCAGGGCTGTAGGCTAGCAGGGCTGTATGCTAGCAGGGCTGTATGCTAGCAGGACTGTATGCTAGCAGGGCTGTATGCTAGCAGGGCTGTAGGCTAGCAGGGCTGTATGCTAGCAGGGCTGTATGCTAGCAGGGCTGTATGCTAGCAGGGCTGTATGCCAGCAGGGCTGTATGCTAGCAGGACTGTATGCTAGCAGGACTGTAGGCTAGCAGGGCTGTATGCTAGCAGGGCTGTATGCTAGCAGGGCTGTATGCTAGCATGACTGTATGCTAGCAGGACTGTATGCTAGCAGGGCTGTATGCTAGCAGGACTGTATGCTAGCAGGGCTGTATGCTAGCAGGACTGTATGCTAGCAGGGCTGTATGCTAGCAGGGCTGTATGCCAGCAGGGCTGTATGCTAGCAGGACTGTATGCTAGCAGGGCTGTATGCTAGCAGGACTGTATGCTAGCAGGACTGTATGCCAGCAGGGCTGTATGCTAGCAGGGCTGTATGCTAGCAGGACTGTATGCTAGGAGGACTGTATGCTAGCAGGACTGTATGGCTGTATGCCAGCAGGGCTGTATGCTAGCAGGACTGTATGCTAGGAGGACTGTAGGCTAGCAGGGCTGTATGCTAGCAGGGCTGTATGCTAGCAGGACTGTATGCTAGGAGGACTGTATGCTAGCAGGACTGTATGGCTGTATGCCAGCAGGGCTGTATGCTAGCAGGACTGTATGCTAGGAGGACTGTATGCTAGCAGGACTGTATGCTAGGAGGGCTGTATGCTAGCAGGACTGTATGCTGGCAGGGCTGTATGCTAGCAGGACTGTATGCTAGCAGGGCTATGGCTAATGCATGCTAGCTAAACTGTTGGCTATAATACGCTGGCTAGATTGTTGGCTAAAGCAGTATGCTACACAAGACATGAGCTAAAAATGAACTTACCTGGTCCCGCGGTCAATAGCTTTAGACAAGGCACCAGTCTGACGGGACAGATGAAAGCTTAGGTCCATGGAATGTAAATGTAAGAACACGTTTCTGCCCACCTTACGTATGGAGCTCTGAGCTACTTTAGCAAACACAGCATTTCGTAATTCATTGAAGGCCGCAGCTCCTGTCCTGGCCAACCCATCTGCAAGTCAAGATTGTCTGGTATACATTTGTAGATTGGTATACATTTGTAGATTGGTATACATTTGTAGATTGGTATACATTTGTAGATTGGTATACATTTGTAGATTGGTATACATTTGTAGATTGGTATACATTTGTAGATTGGTATACATTTGTAGATTGGTATACATTTGTAGATTGGTATACATTTGTAGATTGGTTTACATTTGTAGATTGGTATACATTTGTAGATTGGTATACATTTGTAGATTGGTAGATTATTTGGTATAGATTTGTTTTATTTTGTAGATTGCGTGGTTAACATTTACAGATTGTGTGGAATACATGATACACTGGAAAGATGGTAATATCAAAACAAGGATCCAGAAGTAAAAATGTGTTACCTACACCCTAACATAATAGCAAAGGCAACAGTGAAAATGGTTTTGCTTGGGTCCTCCAAGCCGAGCCAGTTGGCTGGTGTGTTGAGATAATCCACGCCTTGTTTAAAGATGAAAGGAACTGAGACATTGATCACCTGTCCAGAAATCAAATCAACAGCTGCCATTTAATTAGATAATCAAAGATGAAAGTCCTAACTAACTGATGTCATGGTAATTCTTTGATCACACATGGAGGCTATAAAGCTTTTTGCTGGTTATCTAAAAACCATTAACTCTAACACTAAATCTTATCCTAATCCTAAGCAAAGCCAAAAAACTTGAAATGTCTCTGTGTTGGAAGTGCCTGTTGACACTTGTCCAACTTGTTGCTAAGACATTTTTATACATCTGACTTACCTTTGCTCCAACTAGCAAGCCTAAGGCAACAATAACACGAAGACGAAAAGCAAGGTTGTTTTTAGGCCAGATGTAAACCAACATTGCTTTGACCATGTCTATATAAGCAACTGGTTTGGCACCAGCTATTCCAATCTCATTAGGGGAAAGGTTGGAGGCTCCAGGATGCCAATTTCTTTTCTGGAACCAGAACTTGCCCAGAATCTGAATAGCAAGGAATAAATATCTGTGTAAAGTGTACAAGCAGAGAACAAAGTTTGTAATTCTAAAGCCCTACAGGTTGTGTAGCATGTTTCAGGGCATCAGATCAATAAAACTACCTGCTACTGTATCAGCACAGAATAAAATTCATGTGTCTTGATGAAAACTTACTCTTCTAAATAAAATAAAATGCATGTGTCTTGATGAAAACTTACTCTTCTAAATAAAATAAAATTCATGTGTCTTGATGAAAACTTACTCTTCTAAATAAAATAAAATTCATGTGTCTTGATGAAAACTTACTCTTCTAAATAAAAAAAAATTCAAGTGTCTTGATGAAAACTTACTCTTCTAAATAAAATAAAATTCATGTGTCTTGATGAAAACTTACTCTTCTAAATAAAATAAAATTCATGTGTCTTGATGAAAACTTACTCTTCTAAATAAAATAAAATTCATGTGTCTTGATGAAAACTTACTCTTCTAAATAAAATAAAATTCATGTGTCTTGATGAAAACTTACTCTTCTAAATAAAATAAAATTCATGTGTCTTGATGAAAACTTACTCTTCTAAATAAAATAAAATTCATGTGTCTTGATGAAAACTTACTCTTCTAAATAAAATAAAATTCATGTGTCTTGATGAAAACTTACTCTTCTAAATAAAATAAAATTCATGTGTCTTGATGAAAACTTACTCTTCTAAATAAAATAAAATTCATGTGTCTTGATGAAAACTTACTCTTCTAAATAAAATAAAATTCATGAGTCTTGATGAAAACTTACTCTTCTAAATAAAATAAAATTCATGAGTCTTGATGAAAACTTACTCTTCTAAATAAAATAAAATTCATGTGTCTTGATGAAAACTTACTCTTCTAAATAAAATAAAATTCATGTGTCTTGATGAAAACTTACTCTTCTAAATAAAATAAAATTCATGTGTCTTGATGAAAACTTACTCTTCTAAATAAAATAAAATTCATGTGTCTTGATGAAAACTTACTCTTCTAAATAAAATAAAATTCATTTGTCTTGATGAAAACTTACTCTTCTAAATAAAATAAAATTCATGAGTCTTGATGAAAACTTACTCTTCTAAATAAAATAAAATTCATGTGTCTTGATGAAAACTTACTCTTCTAAATAAAATAAAATGCATGTGTCTTGATGAAAACTTACTCTTCTAAATAAAATAAAATGCATGTGTCTTGATGAAAACTTACTCTTCTAAATAAAATAAAATTCATGTGTCTTGATGAAAACTTACTCTTCTAAATAAAATAAAATTCATGTGTCTTTATGAAAACTTACTCTTCTAAATAAAATAAAATTCATGAGTCTTGATGAAAACTTACTCTTCTAAATAAAATAAAATTCATGAGTCTTGATGAAAACTTACTCTTCTAAATAAAATAAAATTCATGTGTCTTGATGAAAACTTACTCTTCTAAATAAAATAAAATTCATGTGTCTTGATGAAAACTTACTCTTCTAAATAAAATAAAATTCATGTGTCTTGATGAAAACTTACTCTTCTAAATAAAATAAAATTCAAGTGTCTTGATGAAAACTTACTCTTCTAAATAAAATAAAATTCATGTGTCTTGATGAAAACTTACTCTTCTAAATAAAATAAAATTCATGTGTCTTGATGAAAACTTACTCTTCTAAATAAAATAAAATTCATGTGTCTTGATGAAAACTTACTCTTCTAAATAAATTAAAATTCATGTGTCTTGATGAAAACTTACTCTTCTAAATAAAATAAAATTCATGTGTCTTGATGAAAACTTACTCTTCTAAATAAAATAAAATGCATGTGTCTTGATGAAAACTTACTCTTCTAAATAAAATAAAATTCATGTGTCTTGATGAAAACTTACTCTTCTAAATAAAATAAAATTCATGTGTCTTGATGAAAACTTACTCTTCTAAATAAATTAAAATTCATGTGTCTTGATGAAAACTTACTCTTCTAAATAAAATAAAATTCATGTGTCTTGATGAAAACTTACTCTTCTAAATAAAATAAAATGCATGTGTCTTGATGAAAACTTACTCTTCTAAATAAAGAAACTTCTGGAACACCTGGGATTCTCTGATGCTCATTTTTACTTGCAAACTGTTTGCTCTGGAAAATGTAGATTTCAATTTTTACAAATTTTTTCAAAGTTGTGTACATGGTTAAGATACTATGAAGGTACAAGACTATGTGGGAGTGGTGTGTGGGCCTATTTAAATGAGATTTTTTTTATTATTGTTTTGGGCAACAAGCCCAGCAGCTGGTTGGGCCCAGGGAATTTGTTCTGCTAAGGATGGAGGGACTTGGATGACGTAGATTTTGAGGCACTAAAAACGAGAGTTTTCTGCCCATACCGAGTTTCGTCGATTTAGCCGTGCGGTCGCGGGTGATGATCGAAAAAAAATGTTTTTATTATAAATCGCCGATGCTACTAATAATTTGATGACTGATTCTGAAAAACAAATGGATTTCATATGTTACGGTATTTTTGTTTTGAGATTTTGTTGAAGGTGAAAACGGATTTTTGGAGCCAAACTTTGGCTACGTAAAACTCTTTGTACCATAAAAACTTACTAACAACGAAGGCCAATAAAAAGCCCTCCGACCATAATCACCATTTTTCTTTATGTGTGTAAATTTTCATAATGTTAATCGATAGCAAGGTATTTTTTTATAAATAGTTTAGAAAGTATAGGCTTAAGCCATTTTACGACTACCGGGAAAGACAGAGGTTAAAACCGGAAGTGTACTTGTGTTGTTAATGACGCCATTGCTCTCAATTGAATTGATTTGTAAATCCAGCAACATCCACACGAATCTGACTTTAAAATCATTTTAAATTATAGAATTATATTTTATATTGATAAAACTATGATTTTTTGTTGACTTTGTGCGCATATTTTCTATTTAGATTCATTTTTTTTGTAATTTTGAGTTAGATCTAAAAATAGATTTCTGCGAAATTTTTCAAGTTGAATTATTGTTTCATTTTAATTGTATGGCCTAGATATAGATCTAGATCTATGTTGTTCTTGAATGAGTTCTGTATTTTATATTAGCTATCATTATAGTAACTTGTGTACTTTCCACATTTTTCTTAAATTTTAAAGCTTGATATAGATCTAGAATCTAATATAAAATTCCATTTGCCTATCATTTGGTCTATAAAATATAAACCAATAGGGTAATTCTATATTAAACATTTAGCCTTTTGATTGCTTTTCAAGCGAATTTTTATTACCAATATTACTAATATTCAAACATGTTAGTAGTCCTATATTTTCGTTATAGCTCTAGGACTTTGTTCGTTTTAGATTTATTACTAAATTACTACAATCCTTGTACAATGTTCTGTCTTCATCTGTAGGCCTATTTGAAGTACATATGATACTACTGTATTTTTGCTGTAGTATACATCTCAGTTGCTTTTTTACTAGTCTTGGCCCTAGATAAAATGTACCAGTTCAGCAAGGGGATAGAGAATCAAAAGATGTGGATCTACTCATAAGCAACTTCAATGAAGGAGAAATAGGTCCACTTAAGAATGGATGTTGCTGGTTTTTATTACAGTTCTAAAAGCTATCAGCCAGAGGAGACACAGCTTCAGTAGATGTTTAATCAGATTTCATTTTTAAATCATTGATGGTGTTATTTTTTAAAGTAAAAAAGTGATACAAGCTAATAGACTTAAACATGTTATCCACACAGCATGAGATGTCACTTAAATATATGACACATGTTTCTAAATTATAAAACTTACCTTTAACATTAAATGGTGATCTTTACTCCACCAATAAAAAAATCATTTCAATTATTAAATTATTTGTTCAACAATAATTGTAAATTAAATTATATCAATTCTATGATAACATACACATAACATGGATGAAATATCATGCATATTGACAACATTTAGATACAATTTTAGTTATCTAAAATCAGTTTAGCATTGTACTTCTTTCTTGCAAAAAAGTAGTTGCGCAGAACAAAAATGACTTTTTAAATTTGACCAACATTGTAACAAAACCACATAAGCTAAGTGAAATATTTTTTCTTTGTGTGGATGTATACAATGTTGGCACCAATTAGGCCAATTTTCATTAAGATATTCCATATAATAAAAATTTGGCAACAGATTATGTGTTGCCCATAGCAGAATTTATTGTTTAAAATTAAGGGGGGTATATGAGTTTAAACCCCTTTTTCATTGAATAAAATATTTTTAAAATCAAATTTGAACAAAGGAAATATCAAAGTATATAATAACCTTCATGTTTACAATATTTCTTGCATATAAGCAAAGTAATCTAAAATCAGCTCAACATTGTACTTCTTTCTTGCAAAAAAAGTAGTTGCACAGAATAAAAATGACTTTTTTATTTTGTCCAACATTGTAATAAAACCACATAAGCTAAGTAAAATATTTTGACTTTCTGTTAATGTATACAGTGTTGGCACTATTCAGGCCAATTTTCAGTAAGATATTCCATATAATAAAAATTTGGCAACAGATTGTGTGTAGCCTATCAAAGACGCTTATTCAAAAATTTTAGGGGGGTGACCCTCTTTGTTAACATTATTTTTTATGATCATTCTCATCCAATTCAATTATTTTTATCTTACTCTTTTACTGATATCATAAGCTTGATCTTAGTGAATTTTCATTAAAAAATACCTGCTATTTAAAAAGTTACAGAGATTTTAGTTCGCATCCAAAAAAGTAGGGAAGCAAAAAATTGAGAAAACCCCATAGTAAAAAAACCCGAAAATTAAATACATTAAAAATTCATAACTTCGTAACCGTTTGAGCTAAAATTAAAATAAAAGTATCTTTGTTCTTGTCTAAATGAGCTCTATAAACTGGTGCTACTACATTTTTTATTTTTTTAAAAATGAAATTTCATCCAAGTCCCTACTTTTATTTAAAAGTAAATATTGTCCCTAATTTTAATAAGGCTTATAAACTATTATAGTTTACTGAGTATTACAGACAAAGTTTTTATGGGAGTGTTGGTAATAGTAGGCCTATTGCCATTACCAGTGTCAGATTTCCAAAAATAGGTAGTTACTTGTTAGAAATATTCAGCTATGGCCAGAAATTACTCTAATAGTAAATTATTTAGTGTTCATTTGGGCAGAGCTATGCTAAGGACATTTTAGTATACTTGTATATTGTATATAGTTGTAAGACTTAGGTCAGGTCAGCTGCTAAATTGTATATACTTGACTTGGGGTTGTAAGGTCAGGTCAGGGCTCGGTAGCATTGAAATTTAACTGTGTGGCTTCACTTTCAATAATTTTTGCTTTGGCCCTAATCACCTAATACTAGAATTTACTAGATTCTAGATCTAGAGTATTCTAACTAATATAATATTTAGAATATAAATATACATTCTAAATCTAATCTAGTCTGATCTTCTACTCTACACTCTCAAGTCTCAGTACACAGAGTACTCACTGTTTGCATCCACTGATATTTTTTAGTCTTGCCATTATTAAAAAATAAATTTGGTTTAACTTTAATATGTCCCCTTAACGCAGAAAAATTTCTTATAAAAATGCGAGAAATAATTGAAGGTCTTCCAAAGAAATGTTTGACATTAGGGACCTTAGTGGCATTACGTGCCACTGTTAAAAACACGGCCATTATATTTATATAAATCTACTAAATCTAACTACAAAAGTTTTCAGCATTGTCTCCCTTAGACCTATTTCAACTGTCTAGTTGCCGTACCTCGTCAAAAAAATCGAGTAATGTTTGCAATCATTTATAATTTAATATGGCTGAGATCAGTGACGGAACTTTTTTTTTAAAAAGCCTCTTCCCCCCCCCTTCCAAAAATTTTTGTGCGTGTTAGGCCTAGTGTCCGTTACAAAAATTAATTCTTCTATTTAGAGATGAAATAAGCTAAATATTAAGTTACATTTTGAGCTCTGTTTATCACACACATTATTTGAATTTAGATTTTAGATGGTTTATGTATGGCATGTGTATGCAACTGTGACTTGTAAGAAAGTTTTAGGACCACCTCTGTAAGATGAACATCGGCAGTGTTGATATTTCTCTGCCCTCCAACTAGACAGTCTACTTTTTTTCCAAATAACCACTTTCACATCACTGTCTTTGAGTTACAGTTAAAAATTCAAAATAGAGATGATTTTAATACTTCAATACATTGCTAGTTGATAACAAACAATAGCATCTAGATCTATCTAGGTGAAAGTCGTTTACTGTGAGTTGTTCTGTCCGCAGATTTTGGGTTTCCTAAAGTCTGCAGCCAACAACATTGAAGTTAGTGACTATGGAAGAAAATTCTACAAATCTTATAGTATGAAAGCACAATCATCAAGGACAATTTTATTTTTGATACTTTAAAAAAAATTAAGAAAAATTTGATGATTTCTTATTAATAAACATACTTGCTGGCTTGGGGCCCGCTATTAGCTACACCCCCCCCCCCCTTAATTTAGCTATGTAAATGAAAGTAATAGACCTAAGCAGTTTGAAGATTTGGCAACATTTTCCCACTACTTTGTTCAGTGTCTTTTTATTTTACATTATGTACAGACCTGTTAAACATGGCTCAGTTAAACAATGCTTCTGGCTCAACGTGACTGACATTGGTGTCCCAATGGTGTTTTTCTAGTAGACAGTAGGCATTTCTGTATTGTCATTCAGCTTTAAGCTTCTAAGTGTTTTTGTGCTAGATATTTTTGAACTATTATGGTCTATAAGACTATTCTTCAACTGTGGAGCTGCAGATGGTTTGTTTTTCAGTATTTATAAAACAGCCAAATGCAAACAGCCATAGAATCCTTGCTCCCTATACTGGTAATGATGACTATGATCGGACCATCCCTACAGTGGTGATGATGGGACCATCCCTACAGTGGTGATGATGTGACCATCCCTACAGTGGTGATGATGGGACCATCCCTACAGTGGTGATGATGGGACCATCCCTACAGTGGTGATGATGTGACCATCCCTAGTGGTGATGATGACTATGATGTGACCATCCCTACAGTGGTGATGATGTGACCATCCCTACAGTGGTGATGATGTGACCATCCCTACAGTGGTGATGATGTGACCATCCCTACAGTGGTGATGATGTGACCATCCCTAGTGGTGATGATGACTATGATGTGACCATCCCTACAGTGGTGATGATGTGACCATCCCTACAGTGGTGATGATGTGACCATCCCTATTGATAACACTAATAATAGGTATTCTAAATGAGCCGAAAAATTTAAGCCGGTTTTAAAATTTTTTGGTCGCGTTGCGGCATCGCGCGGCGGTCCGACCCCATAACACATACGCAATTAGAAACCACTGATTTAGAAAGAAGAATGGTAGCTCTTTAAGATGGTATAACTTTACCAGCTGTATAATATAATTAAATGCTAAAAATGTTCAATTTAAAATTTTAAAATGATTTTTTTCCATGAAAAAATAATTTTACAGCCGCCAAAGTTATATATTCCGAAAGGGCATCCAATTTGCCATAAAACTGTTACGATTTAATGAACACTCCATGTATGGGGTCGGACCGCAGTAAATGAAACCAATGTATACAAATCGCGACGACCCGCATCTAAATTTCGCCGGCTTGAGTCAAGATTTTGTTGAATTCCGGAACACCCGACCTCGGTTCAGAGCAAGATTTTGTGTTTATTCGTTGATTACAGTGGATTTAAAAACACGTGCAGGTAAGTTGAATGCACATTATATTACTAGCTATATTCTATTTATTTATGATTAACTGCTGCTTTAATACATTTGAATATTAGTGTCCGCTTATCGGTAATTGCTCCACGCTTAAAAAAAAATGTCCCAAAAAATTATCTAGCCTGTTTTAAAAGTCAGTTGTATTTAATTTATGGTCACTGAAATAAAAAAGGAATGCACAATTAAATCAAAAAGATGTTTAAAAGGATGATAGAATTTAATTTGTTTTAGTAAATTATGTTAGTTAATAACATCGGCCGATTAAACTATCAATATTTTGTCGATATTTCAAGCCGATTGTCCGCCATGTTTTTTTTTTACTTTCTCGTAGTGTTGGGTTCAACTATTATATTACCGCAGCGGTTAACAGCATACTTTCAATTTATTGTAGCATTGTTTTTTTTTTTTGTCTTTCCTAGTTTAATAGTTAACTATTCTATATATGAGCAGTAGTTACATTAAATTTAGAATATTACGATCTTTTACATTTTTTTATCTCTAGATTTATTGTAAAGACGACTTAAAATAAAATGTAGCCCCCCTTCCATAATAGTTTAGTCCAAAGTTGTTTCTAGATTTAGTCTAGATCTACTTAAATTAGTTAGGTTCACTATTGCTTTCATGTTAATATTTAGATCTAGTAGTAGAACTATCTATAGTGCTTACATTTAATATCTAAAAAGCATTGAGCAGCCTTACTTTTAATATTATTATTATTCTATTTACAGAGCAAGATATTAGCATAAAAGAAAGGGGAAACTCATTGGCCTACCAAAAATTTTGTATTGTTGTGAAAGCAACAACAGGACTCCTGAATACTTTTGAAGGAAACCATATGTCAAATGTTAGTATTGTATGCACTTTGCTTATTATTTATAATGATGTAATGTTACATGATTGATATCTAAGTTGGTATAAAGATATACAGGCCTGCTATTTTATTATATATAAGTCAGTATATTTGAAATGCTAATTAATTGTTTTTATTCACAGACATTTTCTATACTCTGGACCAATGGAAGGATCCCTTACTCTTACTGGATTCCATAATTTGATCTGTAACCTTGAAGAAGACAAACTCAACCAGGATATTGACTATTAATTACAATGCTACCCAACCTCATAGAGAACTTTCCCAATCAGGATATTGACCTGTCTTTTTGAACCTGCTCTAAGATTTCTGATAATTGTATAAGTTAGGACCTAGACATTTCCAGAAGTTGACTTTGATCAGTAACTAACTAGAAGAAATAAATATACTAATAACAAGTAAATTTATGCTAAACAAGTCATGATTAGGAACCAGAGTAACAAAACTAGGTGAACATCACAACTCTATTAGGGTAATTTAAAAAGAATTTCAGTTTAATTAGTTATCTTACTTCGTCAGTTTTTAAAATGCATGGAATTTCTTCTTATTATAGTATATAAGTAAAGTAGTAGTATAGTTATTTAGTTTTTTTATAACAAAGTAATGCTAACATGTTTCCTACACAATTTATATTACTTTCTTAAAAGTAAGAACACTTTTTGCAAAATGTTATGTAATGAAAATTCTTGATTTTGGGCGTTAAGGAAGGATGCCTTGTATTGTTTTGCAGAATGATTATTTTATGTCTCTGTGTTTATTATATATTAAGAACATCATGTGCTTTAAGTTTGTGTAAAATTTATTAAGATACCTTACTTAAATATTTTTTAATAATTTTTTGAAAAAGGATGAAATTTCTAATTTTTATAAACTGACCTTGCTAAATCTGGTCTCGCTAATTACTTTCTTTATTAATTCTTTACCTGCTTATTTTATATTAACATGGTTTGAATTTCCTTTCTTAGAACATTTATATTATTAATGTGGCTTAATTAGTTGATTTTCTATGATTTTTTATAAATGACTGTAAATTAACTTTTTGTCTCCCTTTTCGTACTTCGGTAAAATTGTGCTTTGGCTCATTTTTATGTGAATAAATTTTCTATTTATATCTGTCTGACTACCTTGAAAAAAATTGGGTTTGCTATTTGTATTACTGGCTGTGTGTGCAAGAAATTTGAGAGTTCTAACTTAGTTATTGTAGAAGTTAGTAGGGGTCTCAAATAGACCCTTTGCTGTTCAAAAAGCGAACGCATTTTTTGAGTTTTAAAAAATTCATAACTTTTTTAAAAATGGACATACATCAATAAATTTGGTGTTTCTGTTCTGATGAAAACAGTCTCTATCAGGTGGAAGTGTTAAATTTTATTTAATTTCATTATAAAAATTTCATTTTGAATACCTACTAATAAACTTGACCCTCTCAACACATGCATCAGACTGCAAGTTTCTAATAGGCTCTCACAAATGTGTCAACTACCATTCCAAAATCAATGGAATCATACATCAGTCATACTGGCCTTACACTTTAAAAAAGCTTACGAAATCAGTCCACCATGCAGGCTGTAACTGTAATTCAACTATTTAAGGAATCATTGAAAAGCCTAACAGGATTCATACTTTATTGTTTTGAACTTTTTTAATGTTTTGAATTTTTGTAATGAAAAAAATGAAGCAAGAAAAGAAATGTGTAAAATGTTTTTATTCTAGTCTAGAGGTCATCTGTGTCCAACCATGAGCCTGACCTCTGCCATTGTTTGTTCAGCTATTGCAGAAGCCCTCTCTGCTCCTGCCTGTAGGACTTGAGCCAAGTAGCCAGGATCTGCTTGATACTGTAAAATCTGCTGTCTGATTGGTGCCAGCTTGTCTATGATGACCTGGGCCAGTCTCTGCTTGTAGATGCCAGTATCCTCTGCTTGCAGGTACGATTCCTCCACCACCTCATCAACAGAGAGGTCACTGAGTGCTAGGTGGATCTCTATTAAATTGGACACTCCAGGGCGGTTGTCTGGATCATACGTCACCTCAGACGTTAGGTCGGTGACAGCTTTTTTAATTTTCTCTCTTATTTCATCAGGTGTGTCAGTCAGGTTGATTCTACTTTTTTCATTGGCTTCAGATTTGCTCATTTTGACTAAAGGATTACGAAGACTTCGGATTTTTGAAACTTCACCTAATTCAGATGAAAGAGTACAGTTAATGTCAATGGTCTAATTTTAATACTAATTTTCAATATTTTAAATTTAGTCAACTGTATAATTATGATATTTTTTTTAGCTATGACAGTAGGAAACATAACAAAAAAAAAATAATAACCCCAAAAATGAGGTAAAGTACCATTTCGAACCTAATGGTGTAGGTGAAGTAGAGTTCACCTGTTTCAGTGACCTCTGCATATGAAGGTATAGAGTAGTCAACACTATGCTCAGCAGCATTAGCTTTACCTGATGTGAGTCGGGGTACCCATCAGAGCTGGGTGGACTCAAGGATGTTCTACTGACACAAACCCGGATTCAAACTTGAGACTTTCAAGTTAGTAGCCTAACGCTCTACCATCTGAACAACAAGTCCCAAGCTAACAAGTAAAGTTACCTGCTAACATTTTACAGTCAGGAAAAACAACCCCGTGAACACGATTGAAGGCTCTGGCCAGGTCTCTGGTCAACTCAATATGCTGGGTCTGGTCTTCTCCTACAGGAACCAGGGTGGATCTACAAGTACACAAGACAACCAGCTAATGGCGACATTGGTTAGCCCCTTACTGTTGACTGGTTAGCCCCCTACTGTTGACATTGGTTAGCCCCCTAGTGTTGACATTGGTTAGCCCCCTACTGTTGACATTGGTTAGCCCCCTACTGTTGACATTGGTTAGCCCCCTACTGTTGACATTGGTTAGCCCCCTACTGTTGACATTGGTTAGCCCCTACTGTTGACATTGGTTAGCCCCTACTGTTGACATTGGTTAGCCCCTACTGTTGACATTGGTTAGCCCCCTACTGTTGACATTGGTTAGCCCCCTACTGTTGACATTGGTTAGCCCCCTACTGTTGACATTGGTTAGCCCCCTACTGTTGACATTGGTTAGCCCCCTAATGTTGACATTGGTTAGCCCCTACTGTTGACATTGGTTAGCCCCCTACTGTTGACATTGGTTAGCCCCCTAATGTTGACATTGGTTAGCCCCTACTGTTGACATTGGTTAGCCCCCTACTGTTGACATTGGTTAGCCCCCTACTGTTGACATTGGTTAGCCCCTACTGTTGACATTGGTTAGCCCCCTAATGTTGACATTGGTTAGCCCCTACTGTTGACATTGGTTAGCCCCCTACTGTTGACATTGGTTAGCCCCCTAATGTTGACATTGGTTAGCCCCTACTGTTGACATTGGTTAGCCCCCTACTGTTGACATTGGTTAGCCCCCTACTGTTGACATTGGTTAGCCCCCCACTGTTGACTGGTTAGCCTCCTACTGTTGACATTGGTTAGCCCCCTACTGTTGACATTGGTTAGCCCCTACTGTTGACATTGGTTAGCCCCCTACTGTTGACATTGGTTAGCCCCTACTGTTGACATTGGTTAGCCCCCTACTGTTGACATTGGTTAGCCCCCTACTGTTGACATTGGTTAGCCCCCTACTGTTGACTGGTTAGCCCCCTACTGTTGACATTGGTTAGCCCCCCTCCTACTGTTGACATTGGTTAGCCCCCTACTGTTGACATTGGTTAGCCCCCCCTACTGTTGACATTGGTTAGCCCCCTACTGTTGACATTGGTTAGCCCCCTACTGTTGACATTGGTTAGCCCCCTACTGTTGACATTGGTTAGCCCCCTACTGTTGACATTGGTTAGCCCCCTAATGTTGACATTGGTTAGCCCCTACTGTTGACATTGGTTAGCCCCCTACTGTTGACATTGGTTAGCCCCCTAATGTTGACATTGGTTAGCCCCTACTGTTGACATTGGTTAGCCCCCTACTGTTGACATTGGTTAGCCCCCTACTGTTGACATTGGTTAGCCCCCTACTGTTGACATTGGTTAGCCCCTACTGTTGACATTGGTTAGCCCCTACTGTTGACATTGGTTAGCCCCTACTGTTGACATTGGTTAGCCCCCTACTGTTGACATTGGTTAGCCCCCTACTGTTGACATTGGTTAGCCCCCTACTGTTGACATTGGTTAGCCCCCTACTGTTGACATTGGTTAGCCCCCTAATGTTGACATTGGTTAGCCCCTACTGTTGACATTGGTTAGCCCCCTACTGTTGACATTGGTTAGCCCCCTAATGTTGACATTGGTTAGCCCCTACTGTTGACATTGGTTAGCCCCCTACTGTTGACATTGGTTAGCCCCCTACTGTTGACATTGGTTAGCCCCTACTGTTGACATTGGTTAGCCCCCTAATGTTGACATTGGTTAGCCCCTACTGTTGACATTGGTTAGCCCCCTACTGTTGACATTGGTTAGCCCCCTAATGTTGACATTGGTTAGCCCCTACTGTTGACATTGGTTAGCCCCCTACTGTTGACATTGGTTAGCCCCCTACTGTTGACATTGGTTAGCCCCCCACTGTTGACTGGTTAGCCTCCTACTGTTGACATTGGTTAGCCCCCTACTGTTGACATTGGTTAGCCCCTACTGTTGACATTGGTTAGCCCCCTACTGTTGACATTGGTTAGCCCCTACTGTTGACATTGGTTAGCCCCCTACTGTTGACATTGGTTAGCCCCCTACTGTTGACATTGGTTAGCCCCCTACTGTTGACTGGTTAGCCCCCTACTGTTGACATTGGTTAGCCCCCCTCCTACTGTTGACATTGGTTAGCCCCCTACTGTTGACATTGGTTAGCCCCCCCTACTGTTGACATTGGTTAGCCCCCTACTGTTGACATTGGTTAGCCCCCTACTGTTGACATTGGTTAGCCCCCTACTGTTGACATTGGTTAGCCCCCTACTGTTGACATTGGTTAGCCCCCTAATGTTGACATTGGTTAGCCCCTACTGTTGACATTGGTTAGCCCCCTACTGTTGACATTGGTTAGCCCCCTAATGTTGACATTGGTTAGCCCCTACTGTTGACATTGGTTAGCCCCCTACTGTTGACATTGGTTAGCCCCCCTCCTACTGTTGACATTGGTTAGCCCCCTACTGTTGACATTGGTTAGCCCCCCTCCTACTGTTGACATTGGTTAGCCCCCTACTGTTGACATTGGTTAGCCCCCCCTACTGTTGACATTGGTTAGCCCCCTACTGTTGACATTGGTTAGCCCCCTACTGTTGACATTGGTTAGCCCCCTACTGTTGACATTGGTTAGCCCCCTACTGTTGACATTGGTTAGCCCCCTAATGTTGACATTGGTTAGCCCCTACTGTTGACATTGGTTAGCCCCCTACTGTTGACATTGGTTAGCCCCCTAATGTTGACATTGGTTAGCCCCTACTGTTGACATTGGTTAGCCCCCTACTGTTGACATTGGTTAGCCCCCTACTGTTGACATTGGTTAGCCCCTACTGTTGACATTGGTTAGCCCCCTAATGTTGACATTGGTTAGCCCCTACTGTTGACATTGGTTAGCCCCCTACTGTTGACATTGGTTAGCCCCCTAATGTTGACATTGGTTAGCCCCTACTGTTGACATTGGTTAGCCCCCTACTGTTGACATTGGTTAGCCCCCTACTGTTGACATTGGTTAGCCCCCTACTGTTGACATTGGTTAGCCCCCTACTGTTGACATTGGTTAGCCCCCTACTGTTGACATTGGTTAGCCCCCTACTGTTGACTGGTTAGCCTCCTACTGTTGACATTGGTTAGCCCCCTACTGTTGACATTGGTTAGCCCCCTAATGTTGACATTGGTTAGCCCCTACTGTTGACATTGGTTAGCCCCCTACTGTTGACATTGGTTAGCCCCCTAATGTTGACATTGGTTAGCCCCCTACTGTTGACATTGGTTAGCCCCCCCTACTGTTGACATTGGTTAGCCCCTACTGTTGACATTGGTTAGCCCCCTACTGTTGACATTGGTTAGCCCCTACTGTTGACATTGGTTAGCCCCCTACTGTTGACATTGGTTAGCCCCCTACTGTTGACATTGGTTAGCCCCCTACTGTTGACATTGGTTAGCCCCCTACTGTTGACTGGTTAGCCCCCTACTGTTGACATTGGTTAGCCCCCCTCCTACTGTTGACATTGGTTAGCCCCCTACTGTTGACATTGGTTAGCCCCTACTGTTAACATTGGATGACTTTAAATGAAGCATCAACAACCTACTTGTAAAGCATGATGTCTGCTGCTTGCAGTATAGGGTATGTAAGGAGACCAACACTGGGTTCTTTTACCTTGCTTTTCTTGTCCTATTGGAATTAGAAATAAAAGAAATTATTTACTGAGGATGTCTGTGCTTTTATGTATACTGTTATTTAGACAATTATATATTAATATTATATTACTTTTCATGTTCCACGGGATTGTTTTAGGTTTTTAATTAAAATATTGTTCAACCTTAGAGTATGAAAGAATCAAATTGTTAGTATTTATATTTCAATCTCTAAGGTTTGAAAGAAACTGAAACTGTGAAACTGAAAATTGTGGATAAACCTTTTAATACTGCAGGTTCAATTCACATAATAGACCCCACCAAATTCAGCCCTCAGAATCCATGTCACTCATCCCTTCAAATCCCAAATTCATTCATTCAGATCCCATCAAAGCCATCCTTAAAGGCCCCACCATATTCAATCACTAGGTAACAAAATTAATGTCTGCGTCACTAGTTGAGAAACTATACCTTCTATGCTAATCCATCAATGCAATTTTTGACTTGATCATGTAATATAGCAATTAAAGGAAAATTAGTAATTTTCGGGAGATATCTTTACCAATGTAACTTGTTATTTTTAATTGGTCACTGGATGAGCAAAAAATACACAGAAACTAAAGAACAAACTAAAATGAATTTATTCTAATGAAGCAATTAGTAGCACTACACCACAACAAAACCCTCTCATTTCCCTACCTTCCATTGAGCCAGTTTTTCTATTCGAGGTAAAGTGCAGAGACACGATAAGATCCAAGCTAATTCTGTGTGGTAAGGTACCTAAGACAAATTTGTATTACTAGCACACAAAAAAACATTTAGTAAGCACTGAGTTTGTTAAAATATGTTGCAGCTCGTAGTGAATAAACAGTGGATGAAAATGCTATTGGCTATCGTACATTAATAATTATAAGATAACTATTATGGTTCACTTAACAAGATTATTAATTACTTTGACATAAATAACCTGTTTAAATGAAAATGACTACTGAATTTGTAATGTTAAGTATACAATAAAGAAAACGACAACTGAAAGTGACATACCATTGATTGTTGAAAGAGAATTGTCTTAGCAGGATCTACACCACATCCAAGCAGGCAGGCAGCCATATTCAGGATGTTTTTTCTGTCGGAGAAAGTTGGGCCACATCTTCAAACAATAAACTATACACCACAGGAAAAGTTGGGCCACATCTTCAAACAATAAACTATACACCACAGGAAAAGTTGTGCCACATCTTCAAACAAACTATACACCACAGGAAAAGTTGTGCCACATCTTCAAACAATAAACTATACACCACAGGAAAAGTTGGGCCACATCTTCAAACAATGAACTATACACCACAGGAAAAGTTGGGCCACATCTTCAAACAATAAACTATACACCACAGTAAATGTTGTGCCACATCTTCAAACAATAAACTATACACCACAGTAAAAGTTGTGCCACATCTTCAAACAATAGACTATACACCACAGGAAAAGTTGGGCCACATCTTCAAACAATAAACTATACACCACAGGAAAAGTTGTGCCACATCTTCAAACAATGAACTATACACCACAGGAAAAGTTGTGCCACATCTTCAAACAATAAACTATACACCACAGGAAAAGTTGTGCCACATCTTCAAACAAACTATACACCACAGGAAAAGTTGTGCCACATCTTCAAACAAACTATACACCACAGACAACAATCCTATACTAAACATTTTTTGTAAATGTTATCGAGTCATAAGATAAAAAAAAGTTGGAAAAGATTAGCTGTCAGGTAGGCACAAATAGCCAGAATATTAGAGGAATCCCCCCACAGCCAAGTGTAAAGGATAGGAGTGGTTACATCTTTAAACGCTATAATGATGATATAGACAGTACAAAGTACAAACATTAAAAGCTACTTAGAGTAGTTATAGCCGGTATAAATATTTAAAGCTCCTTATAACAACTATAAAGGAGAGAGCCGACTCAGAGGCTTTGAAAGAAGATCCCTCCAACGTATCCTCAGAATAAAGTGGGACGACAAAATCCCGAACAAGGAAATATGGCGAAGGACAGGATTAAATGACATTGTCTCAGAAGTTCAAATGAGGAGATGGAGATGGCTGGGCCATGTCCTACGCAATAGCAAAAGAAGACTCCCCAACATGGTGCTGAAGTGGTCTCCGCCTGGAAAGCGAAAGAGAGAAAAACCACTGGGAACATGGAGGAGAGAGATGGAAGAAGAAGTACAGGCTACTGGCAAGACCTGGCATGAACTAAAGTGGCTCGCCCAAGACAGAGTAGAATGGCGGAGATTTGTTGCCGCCCTATACTCCACCAGGAGTGATGAGGATTAATGATGAAATGAAACATGATAACTACTATACAAAAAATAGCTTCTTATAGCAGGTATAAAAACAATAATATCTTCTTATAGCTGGCATTGAAATAATTTCTTATAGCTGGTATAAAAAACAATATCTTCTTACAGCAGGTATAAAAAACAATATCTTCTTATAGCAGGTATAAAAAACAATATCTTCTTATAGCCGGCATAGAAATAATTTCTTATAGCTGGTATAAAAAATAATAATTAAAAGCTTCTTACAGCCGGTATAAAAACACAAACATAAAAAATTGTATTACTGCCAGTAAGGTTTAATAATCCCACATATAATTATCTTTTAAACTTTTGTAGCGTGGGAAGACAATGATTGATGTCATACCTTAACTCATCCTTTGACTGTGGTACAGTGATTGAGTGTAGATCAACAATACTCAGCAACACATTGTTGGGGTACCTCTGCTGAAGCTTGACCCAGTTGGAAATGGCACTGACATAGTTTCCAATGTGAGGTGTTCCTGTTGGCTGGATACCTGAAAACACTCTTGGCTCACAGTTACACTCAGCTGGGGCAGTCTTACTTTCCTTATAAAATAAAACAGGGAACCCCTCTGTCAGCCACAGCAACAATCACTAGTCTCACAGGTTACTTCAATCATAAGCTTTACCTTAAGGCTTGAAGGATCATGACTGTTCATAATAGAATTTATGTTATATTTGCATCACAGATATTTCAACCATAAACTCTAACAATGAACACTAGCATATTGGCAAAGTTTCCCATATAAGGAACCTGTTTCATAAAACTGCATAAGATAAGGGAAAATGTAAAAGTTGGAAGGAATTAAAGTTGAAGTGTGCCCATCAGATTCTGTTACCATAGTTGTATTCAGAGTGACTGGGTTGTGTTATACCTACTCACCACAGTTAGATCTTTATCTCCTCTTCCACTGCAAACAAAGTGCAGTCACTAAAGTGAGGTCATGCCTGCTATGGTATGTAGCGTACTGACTGAACTTTTACAGGTCTAGTAAGTTCCAGATCAAGATATATATAGTGGGAATGTTACTGTTATCATTACAGTTCATTACTTTAATTAACTTTAATATTAAGTTAAGTATAATCTTGTATGAGGGTGGATTAGCTGTATCCTATCTGTTTCTTTTCCGACCTTTTAAATCAATTATAATTACAGTAAAATAATAAATAATTGTACTGCTTTATGGCCCAGACGAGGGTGGGTCACAAAGTAAAAAAACAAAAAACTAAATTACAGCTGTACATTTTTTTACAAGCTGATGCCTACAAGGCGGTGCATTACAAAGTCAAAAAAAACAAAAAACTACCGTAGAGTGCCGGTACAGTGGTACATTTGTCACAAACTGATGTCTATCATTAAGATAAATGACCAGAAAAAATGTCCAACAACTACCTGTGGCAGATCGAACATCAACAACTTAAAGACAGGGATATTAAAGCATGCAAATGGGGATGGATTGGGCTTGCCAAAAGAACAGAAGATGTTCACATAATGAGGCAAGTGTTGGACTGGATCAACCACCCCCCCCCCCCCCATCCGATTGTAGGAAAAAAAGTCACAGGAAAAAAGGTCACAGGAAAAAAGTCACAAATATATATTTGCATGATATTTGATAATACTTTTATGTATTAAATATTTAGAGAGTGCAAATTAACCTAGGATTAATTAAATGTAATGTAATGTGTGTGATGCTGTATACGCATAGGAATTTTTATTATTCATCTAAAAATATTTATTATGAAGTATGTGGATTGTAATTATTTTAAACTTAAGATTAGTAGCATTTAATAGAATGCTTTAAAGTCCACGTATTTCATCATGTTTTTTTTTAAATACCAATATTAAATTACAGTGAAATGGTAAGTTCATCTGACTTGCTGCCCTCAACTCATGACAACAATAGTTATGTTTAGTTCAACCACCTTTACTGCCCACATTTATCACGCTCATTACATAACAAAACTTAGGGTCAAAACAGAAAGCCGACAAGGTTCAAAGGCTGTCATTGACGCATAACGTCAACAACACAAAATATGTTCGGACAATGCCTACTGAGGAGAGGCCGACCAGAGAATAGCCTACGGCAAAATATGCCTAAATTTCTTTTATAATTAACTTTTCTACCGCGTATTTAACTAAATACGTAACAAAAGTTGAGATTGTTGTGTTAATTATCGTAAAGTATTTTTACTTACAATTGTTATAAATCATAATGCTTTTAACGTCTATAAATAATTTATGCTATCAAAAAATACAACCCACAACAATAAACATACAAAATTTTACAATTCTTAACAAATTAATAAAAAGATTTCTAAAAAGATTTTTGTGACTTTATTTCTGTGACTTTTTTTCTGTGACCTTTTTTCCGTTCACCCCCAATCCAAGGGTAAAGAAGAAAAACTTGGTTCAATTTTGATGTACGATATTTAATATATTTTGACGACGAACCCCTGCGCTGTATACGTCTACATCTAATCTGTATTTCTGCCCAGTTTCACTGTTGTAGTTGTAGTGCGAAAACTCAAAGAGTCTATAGACTGAAACTCCTGAAAGTAACACCCCTGTTTTAAAAAGCCTCCCTCCAAATCGGCATGTCGCCGCGGGGGGGGGGGGGGGGGGGGGGTAAAAAATGCGATTCAATCGGCGATTTCTTCAACGTTTGAAATCATATTGAAATCAAACTTATAGTTTAAAAGGTTATTCAATTACGAACAGAATGATGTATAACATGTTAACATAAACACAAAAAAAGCATGCAAAAAATAGAGTTAAATATGCAGAGGGTAGGGAAAGGCCGATTTGTCCGATTTTCTCGGCAGCGGCATTCATTCATTTAATTTGGCTTAGCTACGAGAATACACAGATTGGCGAACCTCTCATCATATCAAGTTCATTTAAAGTGTTTTTTTACGGAATTTATTACCTTATTCTCTTCTGATTTACTTTCATGTACACAACAAAATATATACTGAGTAGAGGATTTTGAAAGACAAAGTTTTGTTGCCCTATGATAAAATTTAGAAAACATGGGCAGCGCCATTTTTAGTATCGCTCTTGTGTTTTTGGTATGACAATGAAACAATATTGATATTCGATTATTTGTATAATTTATCCGTCAGCGGTTCTAGTCTTCTCGACATAGTAAGCCTAAATCCCATTCTAAACATTTCTGCCACGGAACATATTGGCCTATACTTACTTGCTGCAAGTTTTTTTCCCTAGCGATGTATGGTATACATATCGCAAGTGTAAAGGCGGTGTCACGAAAAAGCCTTGCATGTTAAGGATTGTTTTTACCCCCCTCCCCCCGTCCACTTTCGACGAACCACCCCCCCCCCCCATTGTGGACGTCCACAAAAACTTTTGTAGACATCTCAAAACACGCTGCAAAAAACACTGATTCATTAACGTGTAATGTGTACATTGCTATATTATTAACTGATAATGTTATATAGGGATTTGATATTTTCGGTAACATCTATTACTAGGCCTAAATAATAATTGCGAGTTCCAACTTTTCCAAAATGTCTTTAAGTCTAAGGCATGTAAATTTACTGAGGTTGCGTGAATGTGCTAAGACTATCTAAAATTGTTCTTAAATGAAAGAATGGTCGCGCATGCCTCTTGATTTTAAAGGCTTTTACCCACTATTTTTCATAAAGAGTCAGAGATTGCAGGCATCCATAAAAGAAAAATTCTATTAAAGATGCTGCAGATCGAGCTTTTTAATGTCCTTTTGTAGCGACTATATAGGTTAGGGTAAATTGGAATAATCAACGTGATGTCATTATATTACTTTTACTGAGCTTTACGTTACACGTGTTTCCATACTACCTGTCCCCTTTTGTGTGTTTGCGCTGAACGATAGCCCTGAACAAGCGAGCACATTATACACACGCTGATATTTAAATATCGAAATTGCAACGTGATTATTATTTCTGTTGTTGAAAAAAGGACTATATCTATACATTATTTTAGGCTTTGACACAAAATAAAGATTGTAAGCCTACTATGATATTAGTTACAATAGTTTGAAATGTTTAAAAAGTAACTTGAAATACCAAAAAGTGTTATAAAAAATTACCGGGGTCAAAGATACCCCCTTCCCGCTTGTACAAAAATCGCGTTTTCTCTTAGGCGAGCGGTATACTGTAGTATACAGCTACATTTCTGATCCATTTAACAGAAATGCCGACTTAATGTATAACCTATATTTTATGTGTATTTTTTTAATTTTTAAAAATTATTTTCAAATGTAAGTATTTTGATGTTTAATTCAACATGTGGACGTACACATTGAGCCGACCCCCCCCCCCCCCCCAGTCCACACTCATCCACAAAAGTCGATTTTTTCGGACCCCCCTCCTAAACATAAAACTTGATCTAGAGTCTAGATCTAGATCTATATAGCTAGTAAAGAGGGACGCGCTTTTTTTGTTAACACAGTAGACTCTAAGATTAGGGGTTCTTACAATTTTTTGATGTATCGAACCTCACCAGTTTCAAAAGCGCATTCACCGAACCCTTATTAATAGCTATGTTGTCCTTACTGACAAAATCCGATCGCGAGTCGGATGTGTATCTTGACCTCCACCGAACCACTGTAGTTTGGTTAAGTCACTGCTCTAGGGGGTCGACCTTAGATGACGTCACACCTCAGCCTACAACCCCCCCCCCCCCAAAAAAATAAAAAAATTCCAGTTGAATTTTTCTTAAAACATCGATATTTTTCCAAAATCTTGTCTGAACTCTGTCAACATAGAGTATTTAAATCAATTTCTATTACAACATACGAAAACTGTTTTCTAAAACGGGAAATAACGGCTAAAATTCGTTCTTTAACATTGCTTTTTATAATGCAAAAGTGTGACGTCACACCACCTAAACCCTCCTCCCCCTCATCACACGTTGTCACAAAATTACGGACCCCCCACCCTCCTTAGAGTGTGACGTCGTTTATGGACGACCCCTGGATCAGTGTTGTTGTTGGTTTTATGTTGCTTTCGCATTATCATTCAATCATAGTTTTACAATTTTTCTGTTTGCGCTTTTTTTCTGTTTGCGCTTTTTTCTGTTTGCGCTTTTTTCCGTTGCGCATCTTTCTGGTCACCATAAACCAGGCAGGTATTAAGATCAGATTGTCCTAATCTTCATATATTCCACGTTTCTTTTTAAAGTTAGTTTAATTTAAAAAAAAAACAATAACAATAGGCTATTCATAAACTATTCCCTGTAACACCATATTTTTATAGACTAATAAAATAAGTAATAATAATATAGAGTATAGAGACTTTAATAGATCTAGTTGGATAATAGACTTACCCTAGATCTAAATTGGTAAATACCAAATAGAAAACATGATTTGCACGAAAATTCTTTTAGTACCTGGCCAAGTCATCCACGTATAAACAAACCTTTACAGTAGTTACAGATTGGACTCGCAGGTAAATATTTAATATATTAATATTATTATTATATTAGATTTAGATTCTAATACTTGTAATAGGCCTATAATAGTAGATTAGATTCAAGGGTAATCTATCGTTTTAGGTACGTAAAATTGCCCGTGGCTAGATCTAGCAATGTCCGAAAAAGTTACCTCATTGTGATTGTCAAATTTGTCAAGGCAGGCTTTAACACTTTAACACTTTAAAATAGAATCTAGATCTAGGTCTAGAGTAAATTTCCTAACGCGGTCACACATAGCAAAAAAATCCGAACTCCCGATTTTCATCGGGCGCTATTTTGTACCCGTTTCACACAGAAACAAACTGAAAGTACCGTGTTATTCCGCTGCCATTCTACTCTAATATTTATAAGTCATTTTGTATTCCTACGCATAGTATTTGAGATATTCATGTTTTAGTGACGTGCCTGCTTGCGATCTTTTTTTCCCCTTTTTTTCTTGCCGGCGGTCACATTTTCCTGTTGCGTAACAAGCATAGTTTTTACGTTTTGATCCAATTTTAATAGCTAAAATAAATAATTTACACCTTTAAACGTGTTGTTGATTGTATTATTAATTAATAGACTGCAAAACCAAATAAAAAACACTTTAATTAAATTTATTAACAACACATCACGGATGACCCAGTGATAACTCAAGGGACGCAATTTTAATAATCATAACAAAGGGACGTAACAATTACTAACAAGACAAAACCTAACATTTGCTTAGATATGCTTGTATATGGAGACACAAACTAGTTCTAGAAGAAGTAGATGATCGAAATAATTTAAAACCACAGAATAATGTATAAACTATACAGATTCTAGACTTAGCTTGAAATATAGAGCATCTAGATCTAGGCTAGTCTAGCTCAAGTCATTGGTTACACAGCGAGGAAAACGACCCGAATCGTCAGCCCAGCTGCGATCACCCCCATTTGACCTCTCAGGTTGCTTTAGTAGCCTTAGCTATAGTATTTACTGTGTCCCACACATATGTAGAAGCTATTTATAGTTAACCTAATTATAAACAGCTTTGATTGGTTGGTTTTATTCGTCTCATCCCGGACCTAGTGCTTTCATCCGGGGGAACTGGGATCACCGGCTGACGTCATATCTCAACTTAAAAATTTAAAAACTTGTCTTCCAGAAGGAGAAAACAAAAGAATTTGACCTGGATATATTTAGAAATGGACATGCGTACAGCAGATACCGGTAGTTTCGTATAAAGCATCCAAACAATTATTATACGAAGCGAAAAACGGGAATGTGATCGCAATATGGCTTTGACCGCGTGAGAAAATCTACTCTAGATCTAGATCTAGTAGAAGTAGGACCTATGTGATATATTTGAATTTGTGTTAAATATTTAATATTATAGATAACTGAATAATAAACCAAAATCAATGGCTAAATATATTAAATATTAATAGATCTATATGCAAGAAATTAACTTTAAACACTACAGCTATATAAAAAAGCAGCCATCTGTAAGTTAGAGTGGCTTCCCCTGAATCTTGCGCTATTATAAGTTTACAATTAAAAAAACATGGTTGCATCTGTTGGAAACATCGCTAGTCTTCATTTATTACTGACAAGTTTTAATTCAATTGTTTAAAAACAGGTACATAAATGAAACAAGGAAACATTTTTGTATTTTTCAAAACATAAATCCTCCTCAAAATGTAAAATAATTATTAAAATTTAATGAGTCACCTGTTTTTCACATTACTAGTCGCGGGCGATTTTACATAGATTACCGATTCAAGATCTAGATCTAAATTTAAATTATATGTAAATCTAGATAGGTGAGTTCTAGACTCTAGATACATTACTAAATCTAGATCTATAGGCCTTAGTAATAGTATAATCTAACTAAGATTAAGTTAAAAAGATCTGATGTAGGACTACCTAAAATCATTCAATGACTAATCAAAGTAATGTAAAATGTAATTAATAGTAAAGAACAGTACAGTACAGTCCCAGAGTACAGTACAGTGAGTACAGTCATGTTACAGTTACAGTGTTACTGTAATGAGTAAGGTAGTAGTAATTGTAGTGACCTAAGAAGTTATCCATACATTTAATAAACTTCAATACTACATTTGGCGTTAGACCTGTCATTTTTTATGTTGTTGCGTGACTGACCCTGTAAATGTGTTACAAGTAGGCCTATTTATTACTATTTAAAATTATTTAATGAAAGAATGATTGGCCATACAAATCTTGACCTCTTTTTTTTTTACTCTCTATTGTTCCTTATGAGGGAAGCTGTAAGTAGTAGTGTATGTATTATTTAACTACCTGTATTATCAATTAACTCTCCAAACTGTGTTTGAAATCTTTGCAAAAGCCCAAAGCTGACGACTAGGGCTAGACTAACCCGCTCTTCCTAAGGTCACTGATATCTAAACTTGTATGAACTCACCATGACCCCAAGTACGTAGTTGGTGCTGTTTGGCTGTGTAGGGGGGGGGGGGGTCAAAAGTTATGGTACAGTTCATGCTATGACATATTAGGCTGGACTACTGTGACCTCACAGTGACCCCTCCACCATCTCTTGTTGTGGGTAGGGGGGGAGGGGGTTCTGGTAGTTTTTAATAGCAGACAAAAGTTTCTCAGCTATTAGCACAAATAATAATATACCTATTTTAGTGAGAGTCTATCGTCAGAGATCTGAAATTCTAGTGTGATGTTTTTGGATGCTTCGTTAGCCATATATTTGTTGAATTAGATTTTGCCAATATTTTGTGTTGCGGTGATTTTATTAAATTGTTTCTCTGATATTGTGTCGGGGGCTAATAGTTATCAATAGAGGAGTCAATAGCCTGTAACTACTAACTATAAATAGCCTGATGACATGTATTTTATATCCAAAATGCTAATAGCTACCTAGTGATCTATAAAAGTCTTTAAAATTGTATTCATTACACTTAGCATCCATACCCATATACATTCATGGTTCACCTATAGTAAATCAATAAGAACTGTTTGCATTTTTTCCCCAGAGATTTTCCAGTGATTAATTCTGTTTGAGGCAATCAGACACATCAGGCGCTACTCTTGTGTTTTTAACATATCACGACACGAGCCTTAAAATGCAGCTGTTGACCGTCTTTGGCCTGTCTCCATCATCAGGATTGTTAGGTTCTCTATTGGCTGTGTTGAGTGTTGCAAGTCTTCTACAAGTGGCATTCACACAAAATAATTCTACTGGGTTGCCAGATAACTCTACTACTGTGTTGCCTGTACAAAATGGCACAGGGGAAGCTACGACTGTGAGTGTCAATGTCACAACCACATTATCAGCCAATGTTACAGACGTAACTACAACTGCCAGTGTGGCAAGTAAGTTGTTAGTGTTAGGTGTACATTTGTCTTAACAATTCACTGTTTACCATGTTAGGTGTACATTTGTCTTAACAATTCACTGTTTACCATGTTAGGTGTACATTTGTCTTAACAATTCACTGTTTACCATGTTAGGTGTACATTTGTCTTAACAATTCACTGTTTACCATGTTAGGTGTACATTTGTCTTAACAAGTCACTGTTTACTATGTTAGGTGTACATTTGTCTTACTATTTACCAACATGTTAGGTGTACATTTGTCTTACTGGGGTCGGCGTGGTCGAGTCGGTAAAGCTCATGGTTGCTAAACCAAAAAGTCTCGAGTTCGAACCCTCGGGCAGATGAGGCTCGTTAGCTAGGGACAGCCACTCTTCTAGGAGAGACAACTCCAAAATTAAACAACTGCTGCCTTGTAGTTTGTTCTTGGTTGGACAAAGGCTATGGAAGCAAATCCAAAAAGAAAAGCAGGCTGAAATCGGAGTCAATGGCCTCAATGGCGCATAACCAGTTGACACGTACCGCTTAATTGTGTTGGAGGCGTGGTCGAGTCGGCAAAAAGTTCATGTTTGATAAATTCGAACAAAGTTTCGAGTTCAAAACCCACTGGCAGATAAATCTCGATCACCTTCAACACTAAAAATTAAGGACGAAGAAGAAGAAGAGATTTGTCTTACTGTTTACCAACATGTTAGGTGTACATTTGTCTTAACAAGTCTACTGTTTACCATGTTAGGTGTACATTTGTCTTACTGTTTACCATCATATTTATTTCCATGCAGCTGGTGCATAACCTCCCCAGTAGTTAGTTCTGAGAATATATGAGTTGTTTGAGTTTAAATGCTAAAAGCTTTTGTTTAATGAAATCCTGTGTTTGACATTGATTTGATACTTGTCTTACTTGTCTTAAATACACCTCAAGTTGATACCAAGGTGTAGTTATTACAAGCATAGTTAACATGGAGACAAAAGTATATTTTCACAATTGGTATGTAGAGATTTTATGGTAAGTTGGGGTGTATATTGTGAACCAATGGTTGATCTGGTATTAAAAGAGCATCTAAAATGTGTGTACCCCTTAGGTCCTGAGTCATCTAACACTACCAGCAATGGCACCACCAGCAGCACGGCACCAGATGTGACCAACTCCACCTCCACACCAGCTCCAGGGACAAGCCAAGGGGCGGCTGAATCCTCAGGGGGCCAACACTTTGATGGCGCTTCATTCATTGGTGGCATTGTGCTCTGTGCTGGCCTGGTGGCTATCATCTTTTTTGGTCTCAAATTTTACAATGCTAGAAAAGACCAGAACTATCATACACTTTAATGACATGATTTGAAAGAAAAATCATTTGAGAAACTTGATGTGTAAATTGAAAAAATATTTAACCAAAAGCTTTTTATTTTTGGGGGAAAAAAAGATATTAGAAAAGTTGATTTTATGCTTTCTTCTTTACCAGATTTGAAATGTTTTACATTTTTATCCTTGAGGCTAATAACATATAATGTTATAGAATTATGCTGGTGACTTGTTTATGTCATATGTCACATATTTCCACATGGTGTGCTTCACATATTTATTTTTTGTTGGGGTCTGTTGTATTGTTCCCTTTTTATTTAGATTTTATTTTCAATTGTTTCTAAACATTGAATAATTTATTATAAGTTGCTGCCTTCAATTGCTATGTTACTATTATTATTTTATACTGATTTAACTCAAATATACTCCATTGTTATGTACATATATTTTAACATTGCCAAAAGCTGTTCAAAATTGGGTGGACAACTGTGTTCATTGGTTTACATTTTAAAACATTTTTTTAGATATAAAAACAAGTTTTTGTAGCAAAAGTACTATCATTTATAAAAAAAAACAATTTCAATCTGGCATGTACCATGTATGCGTTGATCTGGCATGTATTTTGTCCCAGATGACATGGACATCCTTTGTTGCTCTTGTGATGTCTTTATTTTTTAATGTTGCAGAACATGTGCCTTAATGTGCCTTGCTTGGGGTTCACTCATCAAATGGTACCCGGCTCTTTTCTGCTAGAGTGGGTCAGAGGAAAAATAAAATCCTACTTTTTCATCAAATGATCTCTTCTCTGATACAGTGGTATAGAACAAAAATAAAATCCTACTTTTTCATCAAATGATCTCTTCTCTGATACAGTGGTATAGAACAAAAATAAAATTCTACTTTTTCATCAAATGTTCTGCATCTCTTCTCTGATACAGTGGTATAGAACAAAAATAAAATTCTACTTTTTCATCAAATGTACTGCATCTCTTTTCTGATACAGTGGTATAGAACAAAAATAAAATTCTACTTTTTCATGCCACATGATGACCTAACAAAAGGGACACTTTTAAAACAAATTTCAGTTATCTTCATCAGTATGTGCAATATTTTAGCTCGTCAGAATACAAGAAACTAAATTACATATTGCATAAAAATTTGCTTATTAAATTAGTTTACATGAAAAGATTATTTTAGTTTTATAAATTGAACTTCCATTTGATATGACATTTTACTATCTAAGAGCTCTGTGTACAAAGATTTAAAACTTGCCAAGTTGTCTTGTAACTTGTAGCTTTATTACATGTTGACACTCACTGGTGGACCAATGGAGAAATATCCTGCACGGATGTAGTACAAAGTATTTTGGTACAGCCTGGTTATGTACAGCCACAAGTGCCTTTAACCTTCCAGCCTTTTTATTTGAACTTATACTTTTCATGTACATTCTCCACAATTTTAAAGATATAATGAATCACCTGTTGCATTTTGTAAATACGGAAACTAAAGCCAAAAGCTTTTTATGATCTAGATAGATCTAAGTCTGCTAAATTTTATTGTTTTTGCATTCCACAATTTTTGTTTCCAATCCTGTTGAAGATTCGGTTATTAATTCAGTGAGCCCTCTTGTTACTGTTTAGTATTTTATTAATTCAGTGAATTCTTTTATTAAGAGTTTCAAACTGGTGTGAATCTTTCCGTAGCTTCAGCCAGATATTTATGAAAGTACATTTTGTTTTGAAGAGTCAATGTTTTCCTGCTTTTACCAGACAACACCACAAGTTTTCTTTTGAAGGAATCTGTGATTTTAAATTTTTGTTTTGTACTTACTACACTCTAATCTATGCATTCCTTTAGAAGTCAGTGGGTTTTGTCTGATCTGTTTTAGAGAATTGTATTCCTACTTAAACGATTCATGAAATATTTATTTTGATATGGTATTTACATTTTGTCAGCTGGCACATTTTTTAGTTCCATAATTCTACAACATTTTTCTAAGACATTTTCATTTTGTACAACTTGAACCTGCTTTCAGAAATATTAAGCTTTTTAAAAATCAGTATCATTTGTTTTTCTTTTCACAGTATATTTTATTCCTCTGTTAAAATTTCAATGTAAAGAAGCCCAAAAATCCCATGCAGAAGTCAGGGGCCATATGGTCCTAGTCCTGGGCCATATGGTCCTAGTGCTGCCCTCTTGTGTTTTGACACTAATGTTAGAACCTCATAAGCTTTTTTGTGATGCATAATAATAATTGTGATGCTGCTCTCAGTATTTTTATTGTATTATACTGTGAAAAAAACATTTCTAGATTAAAGATAAAATCTAGAAACTTCTCCTAATTAAGTTTGTTACTTCATTCTTAAAACCTCTGGGAAGTCGTTTAATCAGTTTAGATTTACAACTATTACCAGCCTTGTAGTTTCATCCTTCTGTATTACAAAATGAAAGTTCTCTCTTTGTATCAATGGTGGCTGTGTATACATTCAATCTGCTCCATATTTTTCTTCTGGGCCATCTGTTAATGGTGATTAGTTCAAATGTAGCAATACAAGTTTCTCTTTATGGTGGCTGATCTCCCCTATATTAGTTAATAATAAGTGTGCAAATGTAGTTAGTGTTAAGCTTAACCTATAATGTTGTGGGAACTTGTATATGGTTACTTGATGATATAAGCCATATTATAAAGGCTGTTGTTAGCTGAGTCATAGCCCTGGTCACAGTGGCCAGATTTTTAGTTTGTTCAGATAAGTTTATTAAAAAGTATCAGTTTACCATTTGTTTGGTTGTAATTTTTTCATCATTGTGTTTGTGTCTGACATCAGTATCTCCACCAACCTCCACCACTTGAGTGCCTGCATGTATCTCCACCCCATGAGTGTCTGCATGTATCTCCACCCCATGAGTGTCTGCATGTATCTCCACCAACCTCCACCACTTGAGTGTCTGCATGTATCTCCACCACTTGAGTGTCTGCATGTATCTCCACCACTTGAGTGTCTGCATGTATCTCCACCACTTGAGTGTCTGCATGTATCTCCACCACTTGAGTGTCTGCATGTATCTCCACCACTTGAGTGTCTGCATGTATCTCCACCACTTGAGTGTCTGCATGTATCTCCACCACTTGAGTGTCTGCATGTATCTCCACCACTTGAGTGTCTGCATGTATCTCCACCACTTGAGTGTCTGCATGTATCTCCACCACTTGAGTGTCTGCATGTACCTCCACCACTTGAGTGTCTGCATGTACCTCCACCACTTGAGTGTCTGCATGTATCTCCACCAACCTCCACCACTTGAGTGTCTGCATGTATCTCCACCCCATGAGTGTTTGCATGTATCAAATGGTGAGTAATCCAATGCTGCAGCTGTGTGAGCCAGCAGTCTCATTGATTTTAATACATCACCAGGTGTGAGACCCTCGGATAACAGGGGGTGGGTGTTGCACTACAAAGCAAATATCAATAAGCCATTGTAAAGAGTTAATGTGTTTTTCTTCATAGTATAGTCAGCAATTTCTTTTAGATTGTTGCATTATTATGTATTGGCGTACCCACAATTTGACATCTCTATGAGACTTAGACTACTGTTCATTTCTCGCTTCAATGAAAGTATTGAAACTAATTTAAAATGGATTAGAACCTACAAGTACAACTATTTTATCAACCCCCCCCCCCCCTAAAATATTAGTACTGTATTGAATACAGCTGTCATTTGACATTTTAAAGCCACCAAAGAGGAGGCATTTGTCATTTGTACAATATGGGATTGTTAGAGGTATTGCTACAAATAAATAGTAGTAAACAATTAATACAGAGCAGCTTGAGATCTAATCAACAAAATATCACTAATTTGTGAAGGATGTCATGCTATTTTAGCGAGTGAGTGTTAAAAAAATATCACTAATTTGTGAAGGATGTCATGCTATTTTAGCGAGTGAGTGTTAAAAAAATATCACTAATTTGTGAAGGATGTCATGCTATTTTAGCGAGTGAGTGTTAAAAAAATATCACTAATTTGTGAAGGATGTCATGCTATTTTAGCGAGTGAGTGTTAAAAAAATATCACTAATTTGTGAAGGATGTCATGCTATTTTAGCGAGTGTTTACCCTGCACTCCCTGTCATCATACAAAGGCAGATCACCCCCCCCCCAACACTGTTTCTATCAGCCATCTCTCCAGGCAGAGGCGGGGGGTACACATGTCCCCGGGCGCTGACCCTAGGGGCGCCAAACTAAGCTCATTTTAGCTGCTATTTTGAATTATAAATATAAAAAATATATGGGGGGAGGAAGGGGGGGGGGGCGTCAAATTGAAAATTTGTCCCTGGGAGTGGTTGCTATGCCGCTGTCTCCAGGGGTGGGATGGGCAGTGGCCCAACCCATGTCCACTGTCTCCCACCATCCTAAACTGAATATACAAAATTTATTTAAAACTTTGTCTGTCTGTCACCTCGGAACTTGCTTAACATATTTGCTTTTGGAACTAGTCCTCGTTATTGCTTCGTTGAGGAGGAGATACGACTTAAAGCTGCGGACACACATCCATCCATCTATAAATGACGAGTCAATAATTGCAATCCCCCAGCCCAGTATGGAAATTGCGCTAAAAATTATCTATCTATAGGCCTATGTATAATTCTCTACGTGGTCACCACCACGTACGCAATCCGACTATCTAACCCTCCTCCCGCTCCAACCTCCGTCGCTCTTCATGCATGCCCAACAGACCATATCGCTATCACCCCCACCCCGCCAATGTGGCGAGCTTGGATTTACGCCGAAAGTAATTTTGCGACGGTGTGTGATGAGACGAAGGAGGTACAGATGTGATATCACACTTTTGGTTTATATAAAAGTGTATTAATATTAGAAAACAAACTTTAGTCGTTGTTTCGCGTTTTAGAAAACTGTTTTAATAATTGTAATAGAAATTGATTACAATTTTAAAAATACTAGATCTAGATCTAGATCTAGATCTAGTTAACTGGAACTTCAGCGCTTTACAATTTACAGGGGCTAATGATGAGTAACTAAATAGGAGGCTTAGACCTAGATCTATTATTTATTTTATTAGGCCTATACTTTATACTTCAACTTGTTAATGTTACACTTAAAAATTAGATCTAGATCTAGGCCTAAATAATTATTTATTCTAGACTGGATCTAGTTTTTAGAATTCGATTTTGATATATTTTTCTCACGTTTGTTTCAGTGACATTAGCGCGGGAAAGGTTATTTAAAAACTACAACTGCAAATCCCAAGTAGAAAGTAGATTCTAATTCTAGATTTCTAGATGTAGCTAGAGTTAGAGATCTAGATCTAGACCTAGTCTAGTAAACTTCTATATGAATCTATAGGGAACTATTGACTATAGGCCTACATAGTATAATACTATAATAGAAAATACAACTTATTATTAGGCCTAGATATTTAGATTCTACCCAGATCTAGTCTATTATTAACTTTTAACTTTACTATGAATGTCTACTACTAGACTCTAGATCTAGATCTAAATCTAGTAACTAGATCTAGACCTAGTACTAGATTCTAGATCTAGATCTATCTCATCTCTAGAATCTAAAATTTTCTAGATCTAGATTCTACTTCTAGATCTAGCTAGATCTAGAGTATCTAATAGTTATACTAGACTTAGATCTATCTATCTTCTAATCTAGATTCTAGATCTTATTGTTATAATATTGAAGTTACTCTATTTACATTTAGACCTAACTCTATTTAATAAAAAATAAAATAAAGTATTTATTATCTAAAATATCTAGATATCTTGATCTAGTGAATAAGTGATCTAGATCTAGAATCTAGCTAGATACTTTATTATATAATTAGTATACTTAGGCCTATACTCAGAGGCCTAGCGAGGGGGGGGGGGGTGCGGACCGCACCAGGTGACACCATTTAGGGGGGTGACACCATGGCAAAAAATAGCAAAATATATAGAGTATAGAGAAAAACTTTTGAGGGGGGGTGCAAATCAAAAGTTTGGGGGGGGGGGCGCTGATAAAAAATTTGAAAGTTTGTCCCCAGCAAGGGTCGCTACGCCTCTGGGGGGTGACACCATTAAGTGCCGCACCGGGTGACACCCGACCTCGCTACGCCACTGCCTATACTTAACTATACATTATACTCAACTATATTGCTATATACTATAGTATATTAAATATATATATATATATAGATCTATATAACTTCCCAAAGTTTCATGGTCACTGGATGAATAGTATTCGTATTAGTGTAGTAATGCATAAATGACAAGCCCACACACAGAAAAGAGAAAGACAATCAATTCAATCATACATTCATTTTTATAAATTTAGATTATATTATAAATAATAATGATTATAATAGAGCTATGTTTACAAGACAACGATATGAATAATACCGGGCCATCCTGCAAATTTTGATACTTTTAATAATTTATAGATGTGGGTAGATTCAGAGTCGCTCAACTAGCCTGACTCCAGAAACTAAACTAAAAACTTTTTATTTAGCAGTCATGTGCCCCATCATTCAAGGCATGGCAGCTGTTGGTGACCATTGTTTTATTTACATGTGATTTAAGATCTTGTTTCTGTGGGATGGAGTAATTTAGCCACCCAAGATGGAAACTGTTGCAGCAATACACAAGTGGTTGAAAAGTGATTTCAGCATACAAGTTTCTTCAGAGTGGCTGGCTGCATGTGTTGAATGGATTCAACAAGAACACCAGGTACATATATTAAAATTATATTTTGTTTAAATTAAATTTAAAGTTTTATTTCATTAAAACACCCACAACATATATATGTATATATATATATATATATATATATATATATATATATATATATATATATATATATATATATATATATATATATATACCGCTAGGTAGTGTGTCAGTCCGTCATTGCCTTAGACAACACATATTGTGCATTTCCTTGCATCACATTGTCTTATTATAAGTAATGGAATAGGGCCTATTTATGTAACAACTTAATTTTTTTTTGATAGTCAGCAAAGTTTTTACCCTTTTGCTTACGTCAACAAAAGAATGTGAATGTTTGCATTTGTGTGTTTTTTTTATATTTATGTTTGCGTTTGTGTTTTCTTTTGACCTTGCATTGTTTGCGTTTTTGTTTGAGTGTGCGTTTGTTTGTATTTGTGTTTGCGTTTTTGTTTGCATTTGTTTTATCTTTTGTATTTGTGTTGGCATGTTGCGTTTGCATTGTGCTTGCGTTAGTGTTTTCTTTTGTGTTGTGTTTGCATTATTGTTTGACTTTTGTTCTGCTCTCATGTTGGTACATTTAAAAAAGATTCACTCTGGTGAAGCACGGGTATGCAGCTAGTATTATATATTTATATATATATATATATATATATATATATATATATATATATATATATATATATATATATATAATCCTGGAACAAACTGACATACATACTAAAACAAATAGTGAATATTGTTTTCTAAAGCAGTGTCATTTGTGTCCAGGGGCAAGAACTCCCAGCACAAGAGTTGAGGTCTCTGGTGTATGAACAGTGGTTGGTCTCTGACTTGTCTGAGGTCAGCCTGCCACAGCTACCTGCTGATGCTGCCTCTGCTGACCACACCAAGCTTGGCCAGTGCTCACTTCAGGTTTGTGTAACACTCAAGTATGTGTGGGGGCTGGTTTGTGTAACACTCAAGTATGTGTGGGGGCTGGTTTGTGTAACACTCAAGTATGTGTTGGGGCTGGTTTGTGTAACACTCAAGTATGTGTTGGGACTGGTTTGTGTAACACTCAAGTATGTGTGGGGGCTGGTTTGTGTAACACTCAAGTATGTGTGGGGGCTGGTTTGTGTAACTCTCAAGTATGTGTGGGGGCTGGTTTGTGTAACACTCAAGTATGTGTTGGGGCTGGTTTGTGTAACACTCAAGTATGTGTTGGGGCTGGTTTGTGTAACACTCAAGTATGTGTGGAGGCTGGTTTGTGTAACACTCAAGTATGTGTGGAGGCTGCTGGTTTTTCCTCTCAAACTTTGCACCACTGAAATTTCATCAATTTAATTCACATTTGCCAGAAGCATAAGAATGATTATTATTAAAAAGTGTCAGAAAAAATAAATTGTTTCAATAAATAAATATATTTATAAAACTAAAATGTTTGAATATATATAACTTGATTATAAAAATAAATTGTCAATATCTTTATCCTGATTATAAAAATAAATTGTCTCAATATATTTAATAACCTGATTAAAAAAATAAATTGTGTTAATATATATATATAATGATTATAAAAATGAATTGTTTCTATATATAATCACCTCATTTCAAAAGAAGTTTGTGTGAGACAAATGTTTTGAATGTCCAGCTACTATCTGGATCTTAAGACACCGGTGGGCATAGTGCTGACCATAGGAAACTAAGACAGGTGGGCATAGTGCTGACCATAGGAAACTAAGACAGGTGGGCATAGTGCTGACCATAGGAAACTAAGACAGGTGGGCATAGTGCTGACCATAGGAAACTAAGACAGGTGGGCATAGTGCTGACCATAGGAAACTAAGACAGGTGGGCATAGTGCTGACCATAGGAAACTAAGATAGGTGGGCATAGTGCTGACCATAGGAAACTAAGACAGGTGGGCATAGTGCTGACCATAGGAAACTAAGACAGGTGGGCATAGTGCTGACCATAGGAAACTAAGACAGGTGGGCATAGTGCTGACCATAGGAAACTAAGACAGGTGGGCATAGTGCTGACCATAGGAAACTGAGACAGGTGGGCATAGTGCTGACCATAGGAAACTAAGACAGGTGGGCATAGTGCTGACCATAGGAAACTAAGACAGGTGGGCATAGTGCTGACCATAGGAAACTAAGACAGGTGGGCATAGTGCTGACCATAGGAAACTAAGACAGGTGGGCATAGTGCTGACCATGGGAAACTAAGACAGATGGGCATAGTGCTGACCATAGGAAACTAAGACAGGTGGGCATAGTGCTGACCATAGGAAACTAAGACAGGTGGGCATAGTGCTGACCATAGGAAACTAAGACAGATGGGCATAGTGCTGACCATAGGAAACTAAGACAGGTGGGCATAGTGCTGACCATAGGAAACTAAGACAGGTGGGCATAGTGCTGACCATAGGAAACTAAGACAGATGGGCATAGTGCTGACCATAGGAAACTAAGACAGGTGGGCATAGTGCTGACCATAGGAAACTAAGGCAGGTGGGCATAGTGCTGACCATAGGAAACTAAGACTGGTGGGCATAGTGCTGACCATAGGAAACTAAGACAGGTGGGCATAGTGCTGACCATAGGAAACTAAGACAGGTGGGCATAGTGCTGATCACCATAGGAAACTAAGACAGGTGGGCATAGTGCTGACCATAGGAAACTAAGACAGGTGGGCATAGTGCTGACCATAGGAAACTAAGACAGGTGGGCATAGTGCTGACCATAGGAAACTAAGACAGGTGGGCATAGTGCTGACCATAGGAAACTAAGACAGGTGGGCATAGTGCTGACCATAGGAAACTAAGACAGGTGGGCATAGTGCTGACCATAGGAAACTACAGTAGCGTAGCGGGAGGGACGACATATGTCCCCGGGTTGGAAAAATAAATTGATTGAAAGGTCGAGGGGGTGCAAATCAAAAGTTTGAGATGGGGGGTGCAAATCGAAAAGTTTGTACCCGGGCGCCGGGAAGGGTTGCTACGCCTCTGGGAAACTAAGACGTTACCCTGTGTGTCTTATGTGTTTTGGTAATGAACAGGAAAGTAAAACAAAGTAAATACAGCTGATTATAAAAATGTTGTGTGAGAGAAGTAATTATATGAATGGTGAATATATAACAGCTGATTATAAAAATGTTGTGAGAGAGAAAAGTTGTGAGCTTATATAAAATAGCTGATTATAAAAATAAATTGTGTTTATATATAAAACATGATTATAAAAATAATTTGTTGTATATATAAACAGATGATTACAAAATAACTTGTTTATGTATATAAAACAGCTGATTTCTCTGGTGGATGTGGGCTCTCCCCTGTATGGGCAGAAAGAAAGGCTACAAGGGAGGCTGAACCCAAACGTGGACGTGTCTGCTGACAAACCTTTCCAGCCTGCTGTAAGTCTGTCGTCATCTGTCCTTTTTCTGTCAAACTTCTGGCATGCTTTTATACTTTGTCATTAACTCATTCTTGTCAATGTCACGCCAATGTCGTACTTTTATACTTTGTCATTATCTCATTGAATTATCCAGCTATATTATAAAGAAATAAAGTCGAAGTTTTTGTTTATCAATTTTAGAAGAATCATAATTCTTTAAAACTTCAAAAGTTTTGAAAAAGTTATGACTTTTCAATCCTCTGGTTTGAAGCATATTGTTCCTTGTTAGCCATGGGCCAGATCAATTTTTGTTGCTGTTTGATGTTTGAAGCTTATTGTTCCTTGTTAGGCATGGGCCAGATCAATTTTTGTCGCTGTTTGATGTTTGAAGCGTATTGTTCCTTGTTAGCCATGGGCCAGATCAATTTTTTCTTTGTTTGATCTATCAGTGGGAACCCAAGCCTCGACGCATGCTACTGCTGCAGCTGACAGATGGCCACACCCACATCCAAGCTATGGAGTATCAGACAATAAAGGAACTACATGAACAGCTGCCAAGTGGAACAAAGGTGAAAGGTCATCTAGTCAGGAGGTCACACATCTCTGTCTAGTTCAACTGACTAACCAGCAAGTTCCACCAACAATTTCTCTATTCTTTCAATGCATCTCATGATGTACTAACCAAATTTGGGTCTGCGACTAATTCCAGAATGGACATTTGCCCGAAGGCAACAAATGCCCAAATAGAAGTTTGCGTGATAGGGACACCTGATGATGTTAGCCCCTAAAGAATATTTATTTAATGATGACCTACTAACAAAAGTGTATTTAATAATGATCTACTAACAAAAGTGTATTTAATGATGACCTACTAACAAAAGTTTATTTAATGATGACCTACTAACAAAAGTTTATTTAAAGGTGACCTACAACATGTAGCAAGGGGTAGATATTGAACTCAATGTTTGGTTGATTTATTTTTCAAGGTTCTCCTGTCAGGGGATCTGGAATGCTGGAGTGGAATAATTGTACTGCGAGCAGGGAACATTCATGTGCTTGGTGGTGAAGTGGACGCACTGTCTGAGAACAACACACCATTGGCTAACATTGACAGAGCTATGTAAGACATCATGTCGGTCTATTTAATGTAATTAGTCAGTGTATTTTGTTAGATTAGTCAATCTATTTAATATGTGTAGCAATCATTTGGTATACAGTGTAACAAACGTAGATGTTGTCAGTGTAACAAACTTTGATGTTGTCAGTGTAACAAACGTAGATGTTGCCAGTGTAACAAACGTAGATGTTACCAGTGTAACAAACGTAGATGTTGTCAGTGTAACAAATGTAGATGTTGCCAGTGTAACCAACTTTGATGTTGTCAGTGTAACAAACCTAGATGTTGCCAGTGTAACAAACGTAGATGTTGCCAGTGTAACAAATGTAGATGTTGCCAGTGTAACAAACGTAGATGTTGCCAGTGTAACAAACGTAGATGTTGTCAGTGTAACAAACGTAGATGTTGCCAGTGTAACCAACTTTGATGTTACTAGTGTAACAAACGTAGATGTTGTCAGTGTAACAAACGTAGATGTTGCCAGTGTAACAAACGTAGATGTTGTCAGTGTAACAAACGTAGATGTTGTCAGTGTAACAAACGTAGATGTTGCCAGTGTAACAAACGTAGATGTTACCAGTGTAACAAACGTAGATGTTGTCAGTGTAACAAACGTAGATGTTGCCAGTGTAACAAACGTAGATGTTGCCAGTACCATCATGCCATCCACTGTACTTGATCTGGCAGGCTTCAGCATAGAGAGTATGCAGGGGAACACAGGAAAAGAGAATTTTCTGGAAGGTTCATCACACGCGTGTCAGCAGAGTGCAAGTTGAATATGAAGTTAGATTCATCTCAAATAAAGCAGGAGACAAAATATGGCAGCCGCTCTCAGCATGGCAGTCTGTACAGGCAGGAAGTTAAGGCAGAAATTTCTTCTCAGCCCTCATTTCTTTCTCGGCAGAGTTTTGTAAAAATTGAATCAAATCAAAATAGTTTGATGGAAAGAAAAAAAGATATTCACGATGTCTGTAGATTTTTAACTAGTGTGAATGCTGTATTTGTAGGTATCCCTTCCATCACAATTAGAGGTTTCATCCATAGGTTTTCAATAAATAGGATTAGAAGTTATATTAGATTTTCTTTAAGAATTAGAAGTATCATTATTTTTTTCTGTATTTTATCTTACATCCGCCAGTTAAGTGATGAGGTAGACGACCTGTTTGAAGACGACATAGACCTACAGGAGATTGATGCAATGGAAAGTTCAGCGCGGCAGCGGAGAAGTGTCCCAGCCCTGTGTGACAGTTCCCCAGCCGACGTGCCTTCATTAGCCACATGCCAGATGAGGCCAATTGATGAGGATGTTGACATGTTTGATGATGATATTGAGTTGACTGAGATCAATCTGGCCATGGACCCTCAGAGTGTGCAGCAAAACCAGAGGGAAGAAAAGACCAGCTGCTACCCCCTGTTCACCAAGTCTTATCCCCATAGAACAGAGAACAAACAGAATTGTGACCGGCCGTCACCCGACGTGGCTGGCGTAAATCAAGCCGGTCAAATGTTGACCCACGGCGCCATGGCCAGAGGGAAGAGAAATCCTTTGTTTAAAACCAAACCTGATTCATCCTCCACCAGCAGCGTGGTGAGAACTGAGGGCTCAGGGCCAGCCAAGAAACAGTGCAAACTTTCTGACATGTTTGGGGGGAGAGCTTTGTCTGAACACAGCAGCTTCAAAGTTCCGTCCACCATTGTTGTTGATGGCTTGGATCATCCTGCTGTCTGCCCTAGAGCTGATATGTCCCTACATGCAACCACCTCCACATTTTCTCCTGTGAATACTGCCTTAAAACACACCAATCACAGCACAGTGACTTCCCCTTACAGCAATGTTAGCAAGCTGCCTAAAGCTGTCATCCGCCCCTTCTGTGATACTCCTGCCAGTAAGTTTTTTTGTTTTCTAGACTGCTACATTTGTGGGACAATTTTGTAGTCTTGACTAGACTGCTACATTTGTGGGACAAACTATTTTGTAGTCTAGACTAGACTGCTAAATTTGTGGGACAAACTATTTTGTAGTCTTGACTAGACTGCTACATTTGTGGGACAAACTATTTTGTAGTCTTGACTAGACTGCTACATTTGTGGGACAAACTATTTTGTAGTCTTGACTAGACTGCTACATTTGTGGGACAAACTATTTTGTAGTCTTGACTAGACTGCTACATTTGTGGGACAAACTATTTTGTAGTCTTGACTAGACTGCTACATTTGTGGGACAAACTATTTTGTAGTCTTGACTAGACTGCTACATTTGTGGGACAAACTATTTTGTAGTCTTGACTAGACTGCTACATTTGTGGGACAAACTATTTTGTAGTCTTGACTAGACTGCTACATTTGTGGGACAAACTATTTTGTAGTCTTGACTAGACTGCTACATTTGTGGGACAAACTATTTTGTAGTCTTGACTAGACTGCTACATATAAAATATATCCTTTCAGCTGATGAATGTGTAGCTCCTCCATTTAGGTATCTGTCAGAACTAAGCAGTTTAAAGCCTCCAGCTTTGTTAACTGTTAAGGTAAGAAACTTTTGTGGTTGTAATGTTGGACAGTACCTCTATAGTTTGTCCTAATTCTCTTAAATGTCTACGGCTTCTTTGTAGGTAGACCAAAAAAAACTTTTGTGAACTAAATGAATTCACTTCTTCAGGGCTTCTTTATCTAAAAGTGGTAAAAGTAGCACTATTTATACTTTAAAAACTTCTACATTTAAAAGCTGCACTATTTATACTTCAACACTATCTACTGACAGCACCACTTTAATTAAACGCCTGTATTATTTTCAGTCTTAGATGGATTTTTAAAATTATTGATATAATTAATAGTACGAGCCGACCCGCTGCGTATCATACGCCGCTATTTAGTTGTTTTTTTTCTACTTTTCAGTAATTTATAATTTGTGAATTTGACAGTACCAATGCTGCCACTGAAAATATTTGCTTAAAAACACTAAACCCCCCTCCCACCCCACATGAAAGCAGCCTCCTCTTAGTTACCTCCTCTAAATTTAAAATCGTTTCAAACTAAATTATCTGCCCCTAATAGCCGTCACCAAACCAGTCTCTATGATTGTAAAATGTAAACAACGTGACCACAGCTCACCAGACAATGTGGGGGTGGGGTGGGGGTGGTAGGTAGCGATAGAGAGGAAGAGAGGGGACTGCAAGGCGCGCTTTGCAGCTTGTTTTCTAACGGCTCCCAGAAGAGAATTATATATATAGATTACTTCCCCTGATGTACCGATAGGTGGCTGGTTTGAGTGTTTTGAACATTTCTGATGCAGCGCTATTTTCAATCTCTTGCTGTATTGTTAGCTCGTAATCGTTCTGTACAGACGTCACACGTGTTCTTAATTTCCCTTCGTTTTACCTAATTATTCAAATTTTCAACCTTAAATATTTTTTATTGGCACCTTCAATAGTCAGGAAAATAATTTTTTTTAAAAAAGCTCAAATTACCTTTATTTTTACAAGTTATTTCTCTAAGTTTTGCAATAGAAATTCTCTATTTTTCTAAAAGGGTATATTCTCAATATTATCATACTGAAATTGTTTTTATTTTTTCAACATCGAGTGATGTTGAAAAGTAAGATATTTTTTTCCCCGACCAGGCCTATAAAATATTTTAATTTCTCCGACCAGGCCTATATTTTTATTTCTCCGACCAGGCCTATATTTTAATTTCTCCGACCAGGCCTATAAAATATTTTAATTTCTCCGACCAGGCCTATATTTTAATTTCTCCGACCAGGCCTATAAAATATTTTAATTTCTCCGACCAGGCCTATATTTTAATTTCTCCGACCTAGCCTATATTTTAATTTCTCCGACCAGGCCTATATTTTTATTTCTCCGACCAGGCCTATATTTTAATTTCTCCGACCAGGCCTATATTTTTATTTCTCCGACCAGGCCTATCAAATATTTTAATTTCTCCAACCAGGCCTATAAAATATTTGAATTTCTCCGACCATGCCTATAAAATATTTTAATTTCTCCGACCAGGCCTATAAAATATTTTAATTTCTCCGACCTGGCCTATATTTTAATTTCTCCGACCAGGCCTATAAAAAATTTTAATTTCTCCGACCATGCCTATAAAATATTTTAATTTCTCCGACCAGGCCTATAAAATATTTTAATTTCTCCGACCAGGCCTATTTTTTAATTTCTCCGACCAGGCCTATATTTTAATTTCTCCGACCTAGCCTATATTTTAATTTCTCCGACCAGGCCTATATTTTTATTTCTCCGACCAGGCCTATATTTTAATTTCTCCGACCAGGCCTATATTTTTATTTCTCCGACCAGGCCTATCAAATATTTTAATTTCTCCAACCAGGCCTATAAAATATTTGAATTTCTCCGACCATGCCTATAAAATATTTTAATTTCTCCGACCAGGCCTATAAAATATTTTAATTTCTCCGACCTGGCCTATATTTTAATTTCTCCGACCAGGCCTATAAAATATTTGAATTTCTCCGACCATGCCTATAAAATATTTTAATTTCTCCGACCAGGCCTATAAAATATTTTAATTTCTCCGACCATGCCTATAAAATATTTTAATTTCTCCGACCAGGCCTATAAAATATTTTAATTTCTCCGACCAGGCCTATAAAATATTTTAATTTCTCCGACCATGCCTATAAAATATTTTAATTTCTCCGACCAGGCCTATAAAATATTTTAATTTCTCCGACCAGGCCTATAAAATATTTTAATTTCTCCGACCATGCCTATAAAATATTTTAATTTCTCCGACCAGGCCTATAAAATATTTTAATTTCTCCGACCAGGCCTATAAAATATTTTAATTTCTCCGACCATGCCTATAAAATATTTTAATTTCTCCGACCAGGCCTATAAAATATTTTAATTTCTCCGACCATGCCTATAAAATATTTTAATTTCTCCGACCAGGCCTATAAAATATTTTAATTTCTCCGACCTGGCCTATATTTTAATTTCTCAGACCAGGCCTATAAAATATTTTAATTTCTCCGACCTGGCCTATATTTTAATTTCTCCGACCAGGCCTATAAAATATTTTAATTTCTCCGACCATGCCTATAAAATATTTTAATTTCTCCGACCAGGCCTATAAAATATTTTAATTTCTCCGACCATGCCTATAAAATATTTTAATTTCTCCGACCTGGCCTATAAAATATTTTAATTTCTCCGACCATGCCTATAAAATATTTTAATTTCTCCGACCTGGCCTATAAAATATTTTAATTTCTCCGACCATGCCTATAAAATATTTTAATTTCTCCGACCAGGCCTATATTTTAATTTCTCCGACCTGGCCTATAAAATATTTTAATTTCTCCGACCATGCCTATAAAATATTTTAATTTCTCCGACCTGGCCTATAAAATATTTTAATTTCTCCGACCAGGCCTATAAAATATTTTAATTTCTCCGACCAGGCCTATAAAATATTTTAATTTCTCCGACCATGCCTATAAAATATTTTAATTTCTCCGACCTGGCCTATAAAATATTTTAATTTCTCCGACCATGCCTATAAAATATTTTAATTTCTCCGACCTGGCCTATAAAATATTTTAATTTCTCCGACCAGGCCTATAAAATATTTTAATTTCTCCGACCATGCCTATAAAATATTTTAATTTCTCCGACCAGGCCTATAAAATATTTTAATTTCTCCGACCATGCCTATAAAATATTTTAATTTCTCCGACCAGGCCTATAAAATATTTTAATTTCTCCGACCTGGCCTATATTTTAATTTCTCAGACCAGGCCTATAAAATATTTTAATTTCTCCGACCTGGCCTATATTTTAATTTCTCCGACCAGGCCTATAAAATATTTTAATTTCTCCGACCATGCCTATAAAATATTTTAATTTCTCCGACAGGCCTATAAAATATTTTAATTTCTCCGACCATGCCTATAAAATATTTTAATTTCTCCGACCTGGCCTATAAAATATTTTAATTTCTCCGACCATGCCTATAAAATATTTTAATTTCTCCGACCATGCCTATAAAATATTTTAATTTCTCCGACCAGGCCTATAAAATATTTTAATTTCTCCGACCATGCCTATAAAATATTTTAATTTCTCCGACCTGGCCTATAAAATATTTTAATTTCTCCGACCATGCCTATAAAATATTTTAATTTCTCCGACCTGGCCTATAAAATATTTTAATTTCTCCGACCATGCCTATAAAATATTTTAATTTCTCCGACCAGGCCTATATATCAACCCTGACAAACAAGCTTGGGTGTGCTGAAGGCAACCAATGGACATTGAGCTGCAGAATTAATGATGGCACTGCAACTCTTGATGTGGACTTCAGTAATGATGTAAATATTCAAGGAAGTTAATTCTTGATGAAAATTTCAAATTTTAGAAGTTGATTTAAATTAAATATAGCAAAGAATTCATTGAAAAACTTTATATTTCTAAATGACTAAACTGATTGGGTCCACCACAATCCCCAGGTCCTGACTAAACTGACTGGGTCCACCACAATCCCCTGGTCCTGACTAAACTGATTGGGTCCACCACAATCCCCTGGTCCTGACTAAACTGATTGGGTCCACCACAATCCCCTGGTCCTGACTAAACTGATTGGGTCCACCACAATCCCCAGGTCCTGACTAAACTGATTGGGTCCACCACAATCCTAAGGTCCTGGCTAAACTGATTGGGTCCACCACAATCCTCAGGTCCTGGCTAAACTGATTGGGTCCACCAAAATCCTCAGGTCCTGACTAAACTGATTGGGTCCACCACAATCCCCAGGTCCTGACTAAACTGATTGTGTCCACCACAATCCTCAGGTCCTGGCTAAACTGATTGGGTCCACCACAATCCTCAGGTTCTGACTAAACTGATTGGGTCCACCACAATCCCCAGGTCCTGACTAAACTGATTGGGTCCACTACAATCCTCAGGTCCTGACTAAACTGATTGGGTCCACTACAATCCTCAGGTCCTGACTAAACTGATTGGGTTTACTACAATCCTCAGGTCCTGACTAAACTGATTGGGTTTACTACAATCCTCAGGTCCTGACTAAACTGATTGGGTTTACTACAATCCTCAGGTCCTGACTAAACTGATTGGGTTTACTACAATCCTCAGGTCCTGACTAAACTGATTGGGTTTACTACAATCCTCAGGTCCTGACTAAACTAATTGGGTTTACAGCAGAAGAGAGTCTTATGATGAGACAAAAGGCCAAGACAGATCCCGGACAGAGACAAATTGTTACGCAGGTGAGTTAGGTGATCTGCTGTCTTAAGACATGAAAGAAATGTTATTCCAATAGTGATCTAGAGACTTGTAATGAGCTGGATGTGTTAGAAGTGTTACAGTGTGTTAGAACACTGCTGAATTTAAGTCTTCTAAAAACTTGCCAGGGCCTGTACAAGTGTCAGCAAAAGCTGATCAACATCTCTTGTCTGATGGACGTGGCCGTGTCAGGCCATGGGCTGAAGCCAGTGGTGACCAGACTAGCCGAGGTCTCTAGAGAACAGGTGGACAGCCTGCTGCAGGTGGTGGAAACATGCCTGAGTCAACACAAGACAGGCAGGTGATGGTGACTGACTGACAGGCAGGTGATGGTGACTGACTAACAGGCAGGTGATGGTGACTGACTGACAGGCAGGTGATGGTGACTGACTGACAGGCAGGTGATGGTGACTGACTGACAGGCAGGTGATGGTGACTGACTGACAGGCAGGTGATGGGTGACCAACAGACAGGCAGGTGATGGTGACTGACTGACAGGCAGGTGATGGGTGACTGACTGACAGGCAGGTGATGGGTGACCAACAGACAGGCAGGTGATGGGTGACCAACAGACAGGCAGGTGATGGGTGACTGACTGACAGGCAGGTGATGGGTGACTGACTGACAGGCAGGTGATGGTGACTGACTGACAGGCAGGTGATGGGTGACCAACAGACAGGCAGGTGATGGGTGACCAACAGACAGGCAGGTGATGGTGACCAACAGACAGGCAGGTGATGGGTGACCAACAGACAGGCAGGTGATGGGTGACCAACAGACAGGCAGGTGATGGGTGACTACCAGACAGGCAGGTGATGGGTGACCAACAGACAGGCAGGTGATGGGTGACTGACTGACAGGCAGGTGATGGGTGACCAACAGACAGGCAGGTGATGGTGACTGACTGACAGTATTCTGACAACTGACTGAGAATATCTGTCTAAACTTAGAGGATCTAACATTAAAGACTAAATTTTAAAATGTAAATATAAATAAAGTCATGCAATTTTTGTGGTTGATTTTGTTGTTTCAAAATTATTTTATTGTGCAGTCATTCTTTTTGTTAAAGAAACATTTAGCAAAAGCAACCTTTTAATTTAAATAAAAAATAATTTTGGCATTGAGTAGAATCCCTGTACATTTTTGTTGTAAAAGTAAAATAATGTAAAGGAATCTGGTATAATAATAAAAATTACAATCTTAAGTAATTTCCAGTCTGTGGCATCCTCTCAGCAGTTGTACTGCCAGTATTTCATGTTTAGCAAATAAATAAAATTCAACATGTCTGAAGACACAAAAACAATGTTTACAAATCTAGTTGAAATCTAAAACTCGTAACGAACGACTCCACATTTGATTATTTTGATCTCTGACTTCGGCCTCTCGTTCATTGTGTCTTGTTCTTCCATCTTCTTTAAAACCTCTGTTCCTTCAATCACCTTACTGAAACAATAAGTTTCTTGTGACTTTCAATTTATAATTCAGACCAAGATCTAAAATTTCAATTTTTTTTAACCAACTTATCTGACCTCAAACCTTTCCTGCATCAAACACTTTTGATTCAAATTAAGATGCTTTGTAAAATTATAGGGGTGAAAAATTATCTCCCTAGATCAATCAACTAATTTGCCACAACTAGAGACTGGAATGGATTTCTCTACAGCTCATCTTTTGTTTGGTATCAGAGAAACAGTTCAATGTACAAGTAAATCAATCTTACCCAAAAGAGAATAGTGCTGTCTATATCAGATCTTACCCAAAAGAGAATAGTGCTGTCTATATCAGATCTTACCCAAAAGAGAATAGTGCTGTCTATATCAGATCTTACCCAAAAGAGAATAGTGCTGTCTATATCAGATCTTACCCAAAAGAGAATAGTGCTGTCTATATCAGGTCTTACCCAAAAGAGAATAGTGCTGTCTATATCAGATCTTACCCAAAAGAGAATAGTGCTGTCTATATCAGGTCTTACCCAAAAGAGAATAGTGCTGTCTATATCAGAACTTACCCAAAAGAATAGTGCTGTCTATATCACATCTTACCCAAAAGAGAATAGTGCTGTCTATATCACATCTTACCCAAAAGAGAATAGTGCTGTCTATATCACATCTTACCCAAAAGAGAATAGTGCTGTCTATATCAGATCTTACCCAAAAGAGAATAGTGCTGTCTATATCAGATCTTACCCAAAAGAGAATAGTGCTGTCTATATCACATCTTACCCAAAAGAGAATAGTGCTGTCTATATCAGATCTTACCCAAAAGAGAATAGTGCTGTCTATATCACATCTTACCCAAAAGAGAATAGTGCTGTCTATATCACATCTTACCCAAAAGAGAATAGTGCTGTCTATATCAGATCTTACCCAAAAGAGAATAGTGCTGTCTATATCAGATCTTACCCAAAAGAGAATAGTGCTGTCTATATCACATCTTACCCAAAAGAGAATAGTGCTGTCTATATCAGATCTTACCCAAAAGAGAATAGTGCTGTCTATATCAGATCTTACCCAAAAGAGAATAGTGCTGTCTATATCAGATCTTACCCAAAAGAGAATAGTGCTGTCTATATCACATCTTACCCAAAAGAGAATAGTGCTGTCTATATCACATCTTACCCAAAAGAGAATAGTGCTGTCTATATCAGATCTTACCCAAAAGAGAATAGTGCTGTCTATATCAGAACTTACCCAAAAGCCACGTATTTGGTGTCCATCCAAGGACAGGGCTGTAGTGTGATGTAGAACTGAGATCCGTTGCTGTGGCGCCCTTTGTTTGCCATTCCCACAATGCCACGTTCATTGTGTTTGACAATAAAATTTTCATCTGAAAAAATTTTTTACTTTTCTCAGCAGTGTGACATTTGTGTAATTTCATACTTTGTATATGTAAGCAATTCAATTTAAAGCTGGGGCATCCAAACTTTCTTTTACCTCCCCTATGGCTGGCCAAAAAAGATGGCACATTTTCCAACCACTGCACTTTTTTTTTTAAAATAACCACTTAGGTTAAAAAAAAAAGAAAAAAGCAGTGTACACAAAAGTTTGCCTAAGTTTATTATGAATAACTTAAAAACCATGTTAACTGATAATAAATGAAAATAACACTAATCCCAAAAAAGGTGAGCAAAACACTACCTCTACTATTTCTATTAAAAATGTATTTTTATGTTTAAAAAAAAAATGAATGTAGTCACTGAAGCTTCTTTACTTTTAAATAGTTACATTAAAAATAAAGTCAGATTCAACAGCATTGGAGTTTTAATTGGATGAAACTTCACTAATTGTGTTGCCCGTAATTTAGGGAAAAAAAATTCTTTTGAAAATATGTAAATAATGAACCACTAGTGATAGAACAAGGAAACAACGTAAATAAAACCTACAAGCCGACCTGCGGCGTATCATATGCCGCTATTTAGTTGTTTTAATTTCTACTTTTCAGTAATTCATAATTTGTGAATTCGACAGTACCAGGGGTGGGGGTGGTAGGGATATGCCTGGAGAGGAAGAGAGTGGGCTGCTAGGCGTGCTTACAGCTTGGTGTTTTCTATGGTCTCCAAGAAGAGAATTATATATATATATAATATTTACTCCTTCAAAATCTTGTTACCAACACTACTACATGTAAATAAACATACTAACATACTTGGGTGACCACAGAACTGTACCACACACTGGCAAAAGTGGGGGCATAAAGGGTTAATCACATGGCCAAGCTAGACATATAGACGTGGATTGATTTATTATTACATTACAATGTAATACCTTCAAAAACCTGGCCGAACACAGATTCTCCACCATTACCTCGACCATTATATATATCTGAAATGAGAAATAATTTTTCACTTACTAGTGCCAGGAATAATGACTTAGGCTGTAAATGTGATTTCAAGGGTAAGGGAAATGATGGCGTCCCATGTGTCATGGGCTCAGTAAGGAAAAGATGATGAAGGGAGGTGATACATTTCTGTGCTTAACTTGAGTTACCTCCTCCTTGTATCCAGCCATTTTTGACAATTCTGTGGAAGATGGAGTTCTGGTAGGTCAGCTTGAAGCCAGTCTCTAGTGACTCCCCCTTCTCTCCTGAACAAAGCAGCAAAAAATTGGCACAGGTTTTAGGGACAATGTCTGAAAAAAGCTGAAACGTTTGCATTAGTTAAAACTTGGTCCTTTTGGTGTCATTTAAATAGAAAAATAAAATGATCAGAAGAAAAAAAATTATTTTAACTGCGTCACATGGTGGGGGCATAATGGATGCAGTTTACATCAGATGACACACTCAGATACTGCACCAGATGACACCCTCGGATACTGCACCAAATGACACCCTCAGATACTGCACCAAATCATGAAATGACACCATCAGATACTGCACCGAATGACACCTTCAGATACTGCACCGAATGACAACTTCAGATACTGCACCGAATGACACCCATCCTAGTGATAGCACAGCTTCTACAGACAGCATAACATACTCAGGTACACTCAAATGTGCAAACTCTAGAGCTAATGTTACCTCTATTATCAGGCCTCCAATGAACTCATCATTAATCGAGATGTCCATAAAAACATGATCATGTCCTTGAGAGTTGAGTTTTTTCTTGTAAGCCTCTTCTGTGAGAGTGTAGTACAGGGGCTCTGGCCTATACTCTTCATAGTTGTGATTGTCCTCTGCCCAGCTTATGAAGTCATCTGGTCCACCTATCAACACATCATTCACAAAAGCTATTGCCTTTTCATTAAAGCCCCAGGCCTCTCCACGCAGTTCCTGTTGATTAAAATTGTCTATTACTAATAGTATTCGTGAAATTGTGCACATAAAGCTTTATTGAGTCTTCTTTTAAGTATTACTTATTGTATCTCAAGTAACATTTCATTTAATAAGCAATAGCTTTAGATCTTTATAATGATAAATCTTTCTTTTATTTGCTATAAATATCTTTACATTAATATACTTTTTTGTTAATAATCAATATCTCAATACAGGCCAATACCTTTCTTTTGTTTGCTATATAGGCATCCCAGTCACACTGTAACATCCCAACAATAACAGGCTTGGGGAAGATTTCAGGCTGCCTTCTGTACAGGTCCTGAAATAAATAATTGATTATACTTATACCTCAGTATTTTTTTTTAGAAACCAAACAATAATTGACAAAATAGGCTCTAAAACATTAATTACTAAAGTATAGAGTAATAGCGACTAAACAGTAACACCACTGGCACTGAGACTAAATCAATTAACTTAATAAACTACTAGATCTAACTACTATTACTTAAGTATTAAAAGTTTAAAGTAAGTTTACTAAACTTAAACTAGAAAGAAACATAGTTTAATATAGATAGACTATACTTACTATACTACTAGACTAACTAGATACTACTAGATAGAGAATAAGAGATCTAGTTCAAATAGATCAAGAAAATTAATAAATATTTTAATAACCCTATTTTAAAAATAGGATGGCATCTTTCATCATATTATATGGCATATGGTAGGTAATAAAATATTACCTCCACGCATGTTTTCGCTTTGATGAAGTTCACTTCATTTATTAGCCCATAGAGAGCAATTTTGTAAACTCTACCCGCCATGTTTAATTTACCATAGAAACAAGGAAAAATAACCACTTTTTTGGTCATAGTTTTTCCCCCTGGTTAAGATTTTTAAAAATCAGAATTTTAGTTCCGCTAGTCCTTTGTTGTAAAAAGACCAGATTCTGATAGTCTGGTGTTATATTTTAGATCAGTTTGTTTTTAAGGCACATCTCGAGTTTGAATGAGCAGCAGGCACTTGCAAAAACTATAAACATAGTCAAATCATAGTGTTAACTGTTTATAAAGATTTAAACTTAAACAGATCTAGATTATTATAAGATGAAAGAAGACAGCACTTATTCTATCCCATGTTCTCACACAGTTAGTTGTGTTGAATTTTCCCCCTTCGAGTGGTCTTGTCATTTGCTTGCTGTCGGAACATCTTCTGGGATCTCAGTCTTCTCTTGTCGGTTTCAGGTAGAAAATCTAGATCTAGATCTATAGTATAGGCTCACCCATAGTATATATATATATATAGTATAGATTTATAATTTTATAGCCGCTAAAACTCCATTTTAGCGTATTTTATTCCCCGCAAAGCAGCGACCCATTCACCTCTAGGTAAGCGTATTTTAAAATAAATTATAAACACACAAAAACATTAGGCTGGCTTATTATTATTTCTTTATGAATTTTTGTTTTGGTTTTTGATAATTTACTTTAGTACAAACTTGAGAAAATTTGTGAACTCACTGTGAATCTGGACGTGTAGTAGGAATTTTTCTCCAGCTGACGATCACATGCTACTTAATTGGAACTGTCCTAAGCCAAATGCTTATTTATAATGTTTTTTACTTTTTCTAATTATCACATTTTTAAAATATACGTAGATCTAGATCAAATTCTAGTGTTTTCTTAATGTTTTTATGTGTTTCGGTTGTGTTATAATAAAATACGCTAAAATGGAGTTTTACGGAATAGGCCTATAGATCTATTATAATATTATTATAATTATATATTAGTTAAATCAAGGGATGATATTTCGAGTCGTCCCTTTGAATCCCGGTCAGAACGTCCTCCCGTCGTGGCCTCAACCAACCGGCGGGCTTGTTGCATATAAACTCAAAACAATAATATAAACAATCTCCTTTCAGTAGGTCAGGCCATAGAACTGGTTGGTGACCTACTTACCAGCCCTATAGCTTTTAGAATTTAGATCTAATAGGGATTTTTAGTTGTTTTTTTTTAGTACAAAAAATTTACAGGCCTAGATTCTCTATTCTTGTAGAGCTCAACTAGATCTATGTAAGAGTAGCTTGAAAATATAAACAATTCATCAAAAATTTCCTTTCTTGTCCAAATAGTTTTTAGCGCAATTTCCATTCTGGAGAATTGCGTTTATTAACTCGTCATTTCTGGGAATGGATGGATGAATGAATGAATGAATGGATGGATGAATGTGTGTCCGCAGCTTTAAGTCGTATCTCCTCCTCAACGAAGCAATATCGAGGACTAGTTCCAAAAGCAATTATGTTAAGCAAGTTACGAGGATGAACATAGGCCATAAAAATTCCGGGTTTCTTTCATGGATTTCCCGGAAAAGCCAAAAAACACCGAAAAAATGCAGTTTTTGGCCCATATCTCGGCAACCAGACCACTTAGCGACTTGAAACATGTACCAATCGATTCCTGCCATAATTTAGAACAATATTGCCGAAGAAAGTTTTCAAGTTTTAGTCATGTAACTCTATTGTAAATAAAACATGTATTTTAACCAATGGTTTTACTAACCCTGATCTTGATTTACGCTACGACAGAGCTATTTTTAGATAACATAAGGAAATTGCGCTTAAATGTCACTAGACTTTTTAATTAACTTGTTTTATTGCTGGCATTGGCCATTTTTTATTAGATTAATTCCTTGCGGCTCAATATTTTGTATTTTATGTCATTTGTATTTCAGGAAGAAGATTCAGAAATCACTAAAGGTATTGAGTACACACATTTAAGAGATTTTTCTACCCAGTGTAACACATTGGCCATAGCATGGAGCCCACAAACTTCATTGAAAGTGTTACCAAAGTTAATGAGGTAAGAAGAAAAATGACTGAATCCAATGCTTGATCATGTATGAACTTGCCTAGATACAGTGTTTCTTTCAGACTTTTTTTGCTCGTAGGGGGGAAGATGCCCCCCCCCAAAGAGATGCCTGTAAGAAACACTGCTATTTAGCTCACACAAACTAACTAGAATGTACACCTATAAGTATGAAAGTACACCTATGTCTGTGTACACATATGACAGACAGGCTACACCTATGACTGTGCTACTATGTGCACCTGTGGTACTTTTTTTTTCAGCTTGGCTGCAGCTTCAGATGACAGAAGTTTAAAGGTTTTTATCACGGACATGAACAAATCAAATACAGTCAAAGTAAGTTTTTTACTTTAAAGATTTTATCACGTACATGAACAAATCAAATACAGTCAAAGTAAGTTTTTTACTTTAAAGATTTTATCACGTACATGAACAAATCAAATACAGTCAAAGTAAGTTTTTACTTTAAAGATTTTATCAAGTACATTTACAAATCAAATACAGTCAAAGTAAGTTTTTTACTTTTAAGATTTTTATCACGGACATGAACAAATCAAATATATTAAGTTTTTATTCAGGGTTTACTTAGATTCTGTCAGATATGATTGCACTGATTTCCCCCAGGTATTGTCTGGACACAAAGGTTTTGTCAATTCTATCACATATGATCCTAGTGAAGGCTCCCAGCTGGCCAGCACAGGAGATGACTTGACCTGTAGGATCTGGTCACTGGCAGAAGGTCGCCAGGAGTCCTTGTTTCAACTTACCTCCCCTGGCATGGCTGTGTGCTGGCACTCTGACGAACCATTCAAGGTGAGAACTGACATAGTAGAGTAGCCATTGTCTTAGACCTGACACAGTAGAGTAGCCATTGTCTTAGACCTGACACAGTAGAGTAGCCATTGTCTTAGACCTGACACAGTAGCCATTGTCTTAGACCTGACACAGTAGAGTAGCCATTGTCTTAGACCTGACACAGTAGCCATTGTCTTAGACCTGACACAGTAGAGTAGCCATTGTCTTAGACCTGACACAGTAGCCATTGTCTTAGACCTGACACAGTAGAGTAGCCATTGTCTTAGACCTGACACAGTAGCCATTGTCTTAGACCTGACACAGTAGCCATTGTCTTAGACCTGACACAGTAGCCATTGTCTTAGACCTGACACAGTAGCCATTGTCTTAGACCTGACACAGTAGCCATTGTCTTAGACCTGACACAGTAGAGTAGCCATTGTCTTAGACCTGACACAGTAGAGTAGCCATTGTCTTAGACCTGACACAGTAGCCATTGTCTTAGACCTGACACAGTACAGTAGCCATTGTCTTAGACCTGACACAGTAGCCATTGTCTTAGACCTGACACAGTAGCCATTGTCTTAGACCTGACACAGTAGAGTAGCCATTGTCTTAGACCTGACACAGTAGAGTAGCCATTGTCTTAGACCTGACACAGTAGCCATTGTCTTAGACCTGACACAGTAGAGTAGCCATTGTCTTAGACCTGACACAGTAGCCATTGTCTTAGACCTGACACAGTAGCCATTGTCTTAGACCTGACACAGTAGCCATTGTCTTAGACCTGACACAGTAGCCATTGTCTTAGACCTGACACAGTAGAGTAGCCATTGTCTTAGACCTGACACAGTAGAGTAGCCATTGTCTTAGACCTGACACAGTAGAGTAGCCATTGTCTTAGACCTGACACAGTAGAGTAGCCATTGTCTTAGACCTGACACAGTAGCCATTGTCTTAGACCTGACACAGTAGAGTAGCCATTGTCTTAGACCTGACACAGTAGAGTAGCCATTGTCTTAGACCTGACACAGTAGCCATTGTCTTAGACCTGACACAGTAGAGTAGCCATTGTCTTAGACCTGACACAGTAGAGTAGCCATTGTCTTAGACCTGACACAGTACAGTAGCCATTGTCTTAGACCTGACACAGTAGCCATTGTCTTAGACCTGACACAGTAGCCATTGTCTTAGACCTGACACAGTAGCCATTGTCTTAGACCTGACACAGTAGCCATTGTCTTAGACCTGACACAGTAGCCATTGTCTTAGACCTGACACAGTAGAGTAGCCATTGTCTTAGACCTGACACAGTAGAGTAGCCATTGTCTTAGACCTGACACAGTAGAGTAGCCATTGGGCAAATCAAGTAACCTCTTTATTCAAGTAATATTTCGAAAGACATTTGAGAATTTTAAAAAGGAAGAAAAAAGTTGTTCTAGCTGTTGATCTCTTGTTTTTAAAGCTTGATATCATATGGCTCATTGTGTAAAAAAAAAATTATTATTTTTTAATCAAAGCTGATGGTGGCCCAGAAGGATGGAATTATTCGTTTCTTTTCTCTACACAACAACCAGCCAATCATGAGCCTCAGCACTGGACAAACACCTCTCCTGTCTGCTGATTGGTCAAGACACAACAACTTGCTTGTTGGTGCTGTGGCAGGCTCTGATTGGATCGTTTTTGATGTTTCATTGTCAAGGTAAATTTTTCAATCTGTTGTTCTGTGGTGTTGGCTGGGACAGTACAAGGTTCCTTCAGAGTAGGGTAAGCTGGGAGACATGAATAGTTTGAGTGGGTGATCTTTTTGTTATAATCACATTCACACCTAAACACAGAGACCTTTTTGACAAGCTTTTATTTAACTTGCTTCCTCTCTGTCTGTCGTCAGTCTGTCTAGATCGAAACGCCCAAGCGAAATTTCTGGCACTTCTAACTGACAGATTCGGTTCAAAGTTGGCACGTGGGTCAAGACATGAAGACAATGCAATCTGACATTAAATTTGACTTCTGACATTAAATTTGACTTAATTGGATGCCTAATTATTTTTTTATGAATTAATTAAAATTGGGACCGAATTAGTAGGCTGTCTTATCCAACTATTCTGTGCTATTATACACTTGTTATCGTGTTCATTAGGTGCGCAATGGTTTTTAGTAATGCAACTCTATTTAAATCTATAATAATAGTTTCGCTGTCTGTCTATCTATCTATCTGACAAGAACGCTCTAGAGAAAACACAAGGAAAATAAAAACATGCATAGTATTTCGAAAAACGAAGTATGACGTCGACACATTTAGCGCACAGAGTAGAAAATAATCTCAAGCCGGATAGTGCACACATTGATATGACGTCATTGATTTGGTCTAATTTGGTCTAATCTAAGTGGTTTGCGTGAAGTTTCTTTCATACAATTCTTCGGGTAGGGGCGAAGCCCCACCCCCGCGTAAGAACGTCTGAGCCCCCCCCCCTCTCCCCAACTCAAAAGAAATTTCCTCATCGATACTCTATAATAAAATTACCGCCTAATTAATGTGTCTCATCTAAAAAGTGGTTTTCTTGCAATTTCTTTAATGCAATTCTTCGCGTAGTGGCTATGCGCGACACCAGTGTTTCTTTCAGACTTTTTCCTCCACGGAGAGGGGTGAGGGTACTTGAAATTTTCGGGGGCGGGGGTAGAATTTTCGGGGAGGGGGCGGACACTGGAAAAAGTAAATAATTATATTTTGTTGAATGGGACGGTAGACATGTTTTTTAGAGGGGGGGGGGGTGGGTGGGGGGTGGGGGGTGGGGGGGGGTGTGTGGGTGGGTGGGGGGTGGGGGGTGGTGTGTGTGGGGGTGGGGGGTGGTGTGTGTGGGGGTGGGGGGTGGGTGGGGGGGTGGGGGGGTGGTTTTAGTTTAGAGAAAAGAGACAGCACTATCAGCCTAGCGCCCGGTGTATCCTTCCTCAACGGGCCATTTTTCTCGTTATAAAATAAAAGTACTTAAAAAATACTCATAAAAAACTTCATTAATATTAGTAAAAGTATCCAATAGATAATACAGCGACACGCGCTTTTCTTTATAGTTATTTAAATGGTAGCGTATTATTAAATATTTAAAGAAAATAAAATATTTTCTACCTTTTAGTGCATTATTACATAAAAGCTTGTTATTAAAAAGTTTTTTATGAATTTTTTTGTTGTTACCTTCACAGTCTGCCAATAGAAAAAAGACAAGCTCACAATGAAGGCGCTCGAAATTTTCGCTGGTCTCGATGTCATGAGTCACTGGTGGCAACATGTGGCCGCCCTGGGCGTCAGCTCAAAGTCTTCAACACCAGGCATCATCAGGTTTGTAACCCATGGTTTGGTCCCCACATTTTATCGCTTCAGATGTCTACGCCACTTCAAATGTTCGTCTACATCATTTGTGTCTCTACCCCATGTGAGCTGATGTTTTGTCTACATGACTTGTGTTCTAGTCAGCTAATGTTTTGTCCCACAGACCCATGTCAATACCAGCCTGAAGGTTTCCTATGGCCTCTCCTGGCACCAGCGCCTGCCTATTGTGGCAGTAGGGGGGGACAAGATGGTCCACTTCTGGAGTGTTGAGTCTATCTAACAGACAGACAGACAAACTCACCAGCCTGTGTTCACATTTATTGATGTAAAAACTCTGCACATGATGGAAATAAATAAACATTTTTATGATTGAATCTTTTGGTCCAAATTTTATTCCCATTGAGGTTGCTGTAGTTCCATAAAAAAAAGTTTTTTGAGTCGTACTGTTAAAACAATTTCTCTTTTTTGTTTTTTTTTACCAAAATATTTACTGCCACCATGCAAACTTTAAAACAATGTAGTCTTAGTGCAAAATGATTTTTTAACACTTAACATCTTCTGAAACTGTTAACTAAGGTAATGAAATTTTCAAGTTTTAACAATAAATCATTGCCATTAAGTGACAGACGTGAGGCTACTATTTGTACACCTGTGGGCCTAGGCTTTTGGTTGTACACCTGTTGGCCTAGGCTTTTGGTTGTACACCTGTTGGCCTAGGCTTTTGGTTGTACACCTGTGGGCCTAGGCTTTTGGTTGTACACCTGTGGGCCTAGGCTTTTGTACACCTGTGGGCCTAGGCTTTTGGTTGTACACCTGTTGGCCTAGGCTTTTGATTGTACACCTGTGGGCCTAGGCTTTTGTACACCTGTGGGCCTAGGCTTTTGGTTGTACACCTGTGGGCCTAGGCTTTTGATTGTACACCTGTGGGCCTAGGCTTTTGGTTGTACACCTGTGGGCCTAGGCTTTTGGTTGTACACCTGTGGGCCTAGGCTTTTGGTTGTACACCTGTGGGCCTAGGCTTTTGTACACCTGTGGGCCTAGGCTTTTGATTGTACACCTGTGGGCCTAGGCTTTTGGTTGTACACCTGTGGGCCTAGGCTTTTGGTTGTACACCTGTGGGCCTAGGCTTTTGGTTGTACACCTGTGGGCCTAGGCTTTTGGTTGTACACCTGTGGGCCTAGGCTTTTGGTTGTACACCTGTGGGCCTAGGCTTTTGGTTGTACACCTGTGGGCCTAGGCTTTTGGTTGTACACCTGTGGGCCTAGGCTTTTGGTTGTACACCTGTGGGCCTAGGCTTTTGGTTGTACACCTGTGGGCCTAGGCTTTTGGTTGTACACCTGTGGGCCTAGGCTTTTGGTTGTACACCTGTGGGCCTAGGCTTTTGGTTGTACACCTGTGGGCCTAGGCTTTTGGTTGTACACCTGTGGGCCTAGGCTTTTGATTGTACACCTGTGGGCCTAGGCTTTTGGTTGTACACCTGTGGGCCTAGGCTTTTGGTTGTACACCTGTGGGCCTAGGCTTTTGGTTGTACACCTGTGGCCTAGGCTTTTGCTTGTACACCTGTGGGCCTAGGCTTTTGGTTGTACACCTGTGGGCCTAGGCTTTTGCTTGTACACCTGTGGGGTTGACGGTGGCTTTTTGAACAGGCTGACACTGGCATACATGTGGTTGCCTGCGAGACGCCATCAACTTGAGCAGCCCGTACTTGATGAGAGTGTATGTAAGCTGCAAGAGTTCCACACAAGTCAGCAGGCTGGCACCCAGGAAAAGTCCCATGTTCCCTCCCACAATTCCTGGGGAAGACACAGCTATCATATGACCAGCTCTAAAACTAGAAATTACAACCTGCCCACCACAAGATAATCAAGAACAGGTCTAACCTTCATCACATGACAGGATGCTAGTGACCAAACCTACCCATGAGAGAATGCTAGTGACCAAACCTACCCATGACAGAATGCTAGTGACCAAACCTACCCATGACAGAATGCATGTTAAAGAGCGGAACATGTTCCACCTCCCTCAGGATCAGATCCTCAAAATGGAGGTTAACTGCCACAACAGCCTGGGTAAAGCTGGGACATAGAAAGAAATAATCTTACAAATACAATCGTAAGGTACATATAGTTATAATCAAACAACTATAATCATAGTTCAAATCATTTAGTAAATGCAGCAATAATCATACAACTATAATCTTAGTTAAAATTATAAAATATATAGCTTCTATCTTAGTTAAAATCATAAAACATACAGCTATAATGTTAGTTAAAATCATTAAATATACAGCTTTAATATTAGTTTAAATCACTTGGCTAGCCTTACACAGTTTTAAGTCCTAGCATGTTAAATTAATGTGAATTAACATCCTAGCATGTTAAATTGATGTGAATTAACCTTCTAACCTTAACTGTTGGCCGGCCCTTACAAGTTTCAGTCATGTGAATTGACTTACCTGTCATTCAAGTCACCTGACTGCCAAAAAGTTGGCTTGAGGGTCCAGGCAAAGTGTGGTGCGGGGAAAATGGCGTGTGAGATGATAGGCACGTACGAGTGGCTGGAGCAAGGGACCAGACATCCCTCCCTACTGGTGTTCATGTAGGCAACATCTGGGGAGGGGATTGTGGGAAACATTACACTTTTACAGGTAGGGGATTGTGGTAAACATTACAGGTAGGGGATTGTGGTAAACATTATGTAGGGGATTGTGGTAAACATTACAGGTAGGGGATTGTGGTAAACATTATGTAGGGGATTGTGGTAAACATTACAGGTAGGGGATTGTGGTAAACATTACAGGTAGGGGATTGTGGTAAACATTACAGGTAGGGGATTGTGGTAAACATTACAGGTAGGGGATTGTGGTCAACATTACAGGTAGGGGATTGTGGTCAACATTACAGGTAGGGGATTGTGGTAAACATTACAGGTAGGGGATTGTGGCAAACATTACACTTTTACAGGTAGGGGATTGTGGTAAACATTACAGGTAGGGGATTGTGGTAAACATTACAGGTAGGGGATTGTGGTAAACATTACAGGTAGGGGATTGTGGTAAACATTACAGGTAGGGGATTGTGGTAAACATTACAGGTAGGGGATTGTGGTAAACATTACAGGTAGGGGATTGTGGTAAACATTACAGGTAGGGGATTGTGGTCAACATTACAGGTAGGGGATTGTGGTCAACATTACAGGTAGGGGATTGTGGTAAACATTACAGGTAGGGGATTGTGGCAAACATTACACTTTTACAGGTAGGGGATTGTGGTCAACATTACAGGTAGGGGATTGTGGTAAACATTACAGGTAGGGGATTGTGGTAAACATTACAGGTAGGGGATTGTGGTAAACATTACAGGTAGGGGATTGTGGTAAACATTACAGGTAGGGGATTGTGGTAAACATTACAGGTAGGGGATTGTGGTAAACATTACAGGTAGGGGATTGTGGTAAACATTACAGGCAGGGATTGTGGTAAACATTACAGGTAGGGGATTGTGGTAAACATTACAGGTAGGGGATTGTGGCAAACATTACACTTTTACAGGTAGGGGATTGTGGTCAACATTACAGGTAGGGGATTGTGGTAAACATTACAGGTAGGGGATTGTGGTAAACATTACAGGTAGGGGATTGTGGTAAACATTACAGGTAGGGGATTGTGGCAAACATTACAGGTAGGGGATTGTGGTAAACATTACAGGCAGGGGATTGTGGTAAACATTACAGGTAGGGGATTGTGGTAAACATTACAGGTAGGGGATTGTGGTAAACATTACAGGTAGGGGATTGTGGTAAACATTACAGGTAGGGGATTGTGGTAAACATTACAGGCAGGGGATTGTGGTAAACATTACAGGTAGGGGATTGTGGTAAACATTACACTTTTACAGGTAGGGGATTGTGGTAAACATTACAGGCAGGGGATTGTGGTAAACATTATGTAGGGGATTGTGGTAAACATTACACTTTTACAGGTAGGGGATTGTGGTAAACATTACAGGCAGGGGATTGTGGTAAACATTACAGGTAGGGGATTGTGGTAAACATTACAGGTAGGGGATTGTGGTCAACATTACAGGTAGGGGATTGTGGTAAACATTACAGGTAGGGGATTGTGGTAAACATTACAGGTAAGTGATTGTGGTAAACATTACAGGGAGGGAATTTTTGCAAACATGATAGGGTATTGCTTCAAACCTTATGGTAAAAATTTCTTGAGTGTTGTACTCAACTAACATATCTTATTCTCTAGCTAGACTTGCATGTGTATGATGCTGTACCTCATCTTACCAAAGTTTGGATTGTAGCAGTCTAGGAATTCCTTCACTGTGCAATCTGAATGGAAAAAAAATTGTCTGAACAAAGTCTATTTTTTTCCCATTCTAAAAATAAAAACCAAAACATTTGATCATCAACTCAAACAAACAATAAATACAAATGGTAGAGGCAGAGAGGTTAATGTGATTGGTAATAAAACAGATAGTGTTAGTTACCTCACAAGTTAAAGAGTTACAAATACAATGGACATCTTATTAGCACACAACAGTGTGGTTACAGACAGCACACAACAGTGTGGTTACAGACTAGACAGAAAAGACAACCAGTAACACAATAAAAAAATGTGCTTTGTTGAGAAACAGATCATGTCATTTAGACTGGTGAAAATGTAGGAAGATTTTTTTTGGTCAACAACATGTTTCTGATTTATGTACACATTCATTTCTACAGTAAGTAGTGATCAGTGTTTGTCAATGGTGTTGTGATGTGTCAATGGACGCCAGTGAGAAAAGTCTTTAAATTATTTGAGAGGTCCATAAATTAATTTTATTCCATGTCAACAACATTATGGAAGGAATCTCGTCAACTTGCTGGTGTCCATTGTGATGTGTCAACCATGATGTGTTGATGTGTCAATTGATGTGTCAACATGATGTGTTGATGTGATATGTCAGGCACATGTCACCTACCAGTGATGTGACAATGTGATGTCCACCCTAACATGTAGGTTGTTATCTAAGCCTACCAGGGTTTAAAACTGCTGTGTCTCTACTTGGACTATATTATGTACCTTGTCTACCCTTGGCGTTAAAATATAACTTTCTGTTTATATTGCTATTTCTAAACCTACCAGTGATGTCATCTAAATATACCAGTGATGTCATCTAAACCTGCCAGTGATGTCATCTAAACCTATCAGTGATGTCATCTAAATATACCAGTGATGTCATATAAATATACCAGTGATGCCATCTAAACCTACCAGTGATGTCATCTAAATATACCAGTGATGTCATCTAAACCTGCCAGTGATGTCATCTAAACCTGCCAGTGATGGCATCTAAACCTGCCAGTGATGTCATCTAAACCTACCAGTGATGTCATGTAAACCTACCAGTGATGTCATCTAAACCTACCAGTGATGTCATCTAAACCTGCCAGTGATGTCATCTAAACCTGCCAGTTATGTCATCTAAACCTATCAGTGATGTCATCTAAACCTGCCAGTGATGTCATGTAAACCTACCAGTGATGTCATCTAAACCTACCAGTGATGTCATCTAAACCTACCAGTGATGTCATCTAAACCTACCAGTGATGTTATCTAAACCTACCAGTGATGTCAGCTAAACCTACCAGTGATGTCATCTAAACCTATCAGTGATGTCATCTAAACCTACCAGTGATGTCATCTAAACCTACCAGTGATGTCATCTAAACCTACCAGTGATGTTATCTAAACCTACCAGTGATGTTATCTAAACCTACCAGTGATGTTACAGCCACAGATGGCTGCAGTGATTGATTTGCTTCTTTCCACGACACATTGGCTGAACGAGTAGCCAGCTGGATGACCAGGGTCAAGGTCACCAACAGACCCAGCAAGGCAGTCCCTACCAAGTGAGTTGTATGGGGATGGTAAGTACTTCAGCTGGTTAAAATCATGGGATTGTAAATATTGGTTGAAATTTTTTTAATGGTAAATGGTAAATACTGGTTGAAATCCTTTAAATTTAGGCTAAGTTCAATATTTTTCACGTTAATTAAAATAGTATGTTTGGGTTTTAAGTTTGAGTGTTGTAAACTTTAATACTCAGTGGTATCTACTTAACTTTAGTTTGATACAAAAATTATAGCACTATGTACTTTTATGATGGCTGACAACTGATCTAGACAGCCAGCAAGTGATGAACTAATTTGTCTAAAAACTTGACACACCTATGAACTAATTGGTCTAAAAACTTGACCCACCTATGAACTAATTGGTCTAAAAACTTGACACACCTATGAACTAATTGGTCTAAAACCTTGACACACCTATGAACTAATTGGTCTAAAACCTTGACACACCTATGAACTAATTGGTCTAAAAACTTGACACACCTATGAACTAATTGGTCTAAAACTTGACCCACCTATGAACTAATTGGTCTAAAAACTTGACACACCTATGAACTAATTGGTCTAAAAGCTTGACACACCTATGAACTAATTGGTCTAAAATCTTGACACACCTATGAACTAATTGGTCTAAAAACTTGACACACCTATGAACTAATTGGTCTAAAACTTGACCCACCTATGAACTAATTGGTCTAAAAACTTGACACACCTATGAACTAATTGGTCTAAAAACTTGACACACCTATGAACTAATTGGTCTAAAAACTTGACCCACCTATGAACTAATTGGTCTAAAAACTTGACACATCTATGAACTAATTGGTCTAAAACCTGACCCACCTATGAACTAATTGGTCTAAAAACTTGACCCACCTACCGTGTACTGCTGGAAGCTGACATCATAGCTAAAACCTGGGCTCAGTAAAATATGTTTCAAGTTGACGTCAACATAGTCATAGTGATGATGGATGAACAGCTGCTCACAGCCACATAGTCAACATAAGGTTAGAGAATAGCTTGATTCAATTACATCTGAATGCTCAATTGATACTAAGTATATAGGACTATAGAATTATTTACTTTAAATCTAAAAGTATGTGAGATACTTCAGGTAATTTTTACCTTAAATCTAATCTATAAGTATGTGAGATACTTCAGGTAATTTTTACCTTAAATCTAATCTAAAAGTATGTGAGATACTTCAGGTAATTTTTACCTTAAATCTAATCTATAAGTATGTGAGATACTTCAGGTAATTTTTACCTTAAATCTAATCTAAAAGTATGTGAGATACTTCAGGTAATTTTTACCTTAAATCTAATCTAAAAGTATGTGAGATACTTCGGGTAATTTTTACCTTAAATCTAATCTAAAAGTATGTGAGATACTTCAGGTAATTTTTACCTTAAATCTAATCTAAAAGTATGTGAGATACTTCAGGTAATTTTTACCTTAAATCTAATCTAAAAGTATGTGAGATACTTCAGGTAATTTTTACCTTAAACCCCAACGAGTGTTTGTCAGATACTGTGTATCCCTCGGCATTTACTTTTAGAACAGCAAAAAATCCACTTCTGCTACCATAGTTGTCTGACCTTTTTGTGTCCACAACTGTCTGGTTCAGCCTTGGAGAAATAATATGTCTTGACTGTCTTGTTGTTTCAATTGTATTGTTACTATATGGGCTAATAATTTAACTTTTAATCATACTGATACTGGGTCTCAATTTAAACACACACAGCCACTTCTCTAACTTAAAATGTCTTAAATTTTAGAAGGAAATGTTTTAATTTTTTTTTAAATTTATGATTTGAAGAGTAAAATCAAATACATTTTTTTCCATATTTTTACCACCCCCCTCCCCTTTTTTGTTTTTTCTTCCTAAAATAAAATGACTTGACACTTTAAACCACCAACACCCTTATCCTTTTTTTTCTGTAAAGAGGAAATAACTAGGTTAGAGCGATTTTGCCCAAAAAAATAATTGAGTTGCTTCCCTTTGCATACTTAGAATTCTACTGCTGATCATTCTGTTGATTTTGATTTTAGCATGCCATGGTGACTAACCTACAGATTCAATAACTTGTCACTTGATTACCAGCTGGATCTGCATGGTTTACTGCAATTCTTCAGGGAAGTATTTGTTAACTACTAATTTTAAATGTGCGTTGTCACATAGATCTAGATCTACTCCCCAGTACCGCACGAGTGAAATCATTTTATAAAACTTTAAATTTTTTTTTTAAAACTTAGCACATATGATACCGAAAACATCGGCCGGAATGGGTGTATGCATAGCTGAGCAGTTTCTGACAGTCTTCTCCCTCCCCCTGCCAGGAGCAGTAAACAAATGAATCTTCGATGCTTGGAGAACCTTCGTCAATCAAAGAAATGAAACTGAAATAAAGGCATTTTATTTCATAACTTGGGGTCATAAATGACTTAACACTCGTAGGGGGAGGGGCATTGTTTATTCCAGACTTTATTCTCGGGGGGGGGGGGAGCACTTGTTATTTGATATTTTTTTGGGAGTCAACATTTTCCGGGGGGGGGGGGGGGGGAGGGGGGGGACACTGGTAAAAGTACGTTTTCTATATAAATTCCATTTCGTTCGCGCCCTCTCCCCCCCCCCCCCCCCGAAGAGAAGCCTGGAAGAAACTCTGGGGAGAGAGGGTCCATAATCTTGTGACGGTGTGCGATAAGGGAGAGGGGGGGGGGTTCAGATGGTGTGACGTCACACTTTTGCATTATAAAAAAGCAATGTTAGAAAACGAATTTTAGCCGTTAATTTTCCGATTTAGAAAACTGTTTTAATAAATTGTAATATGAATTGATTAAAATACTCTATGTTGACAGAGTTCAGACAAGATTTTGGAAAAATATCGTATTTTAACTGCAATTTTGAGGGGGTTGTAGGCTGAGGGAGGGGGTCTGCCTTTTTTGGGGATGACACCTTAAAACATTAAAAACAATAATAAACAAAAAACGTAAGATTTTAAGTTTTAAAGAAATGCTTCACTTTAAGTATAATAGAATTCGCTTAGGCCTATATATTACATTCCACCAGGTCAGGGCTACTCACTTTCTCCTTAAGATTGTGTCATACGGATGAACGTTGAGGTCTTCTGTTGTTCTGTTCACAAACGAGGTCCACTCTGGTCTGTACATTCTAGTGGGAAAGTTAGTAGCTCAAGCATTGTCAAGGACGTCTCCTCCAAAAAATGATCACTCATTACATATATATATATATATATATATATATATATATATATATATATATATATATATATATATATATATATAGCGTACCCATCCCGAATGTTACTGCGGTCTCAGAAGAAATGCTGACGCGATATTTTAAGATGATTTCATCATTGCGTTACATGTAAACAAAGCAGGATGACTTGGATGATAGTTGCTGGGCGCGGGTTTGTTCATCCTACCCCTTAGGGCGTACTGTATGGAAGCCCCGAGTGTACATAAACCACCGAAGTAATAATCAGAAAGAACACACCTTGGCGACTGGTGTCGGGGTGCTGCGGGCCGCGGACACGCCTCACTTGATTGGACGGTTATAGTAGCCCATCTTATCGTTAAAACGAATGTATGCAATATAGTAATAGCGGGGGTGGGGGGGGGGGGGTGGAAGCCCGGGGTGCTGTAGACCACTCGACTGCCAAGCACAGGGGGACGCACCTGCTTCAATGCATTGAAAGATTATAGTAGCCCATCGTATCGTTAGTGTATCGCACTCTTTAAAACGAATGTCGGCACCAGTTCACAGTGTTCACAGTGGAGCCTAATCGCACACTGCAGGGACGCAGGAGTGGCATCTGGTTCGATTTAACGAACGGTTATAGTAGCCAATCGTATCCAGCGTGTATCACAGTTTTGAAAACGAATGTAGGCGTCACAGTGCTCACGGGATAGCCCGGTCACCTAATCACAGAAACTTCCCCAGTTGTATTTGTAACAATGTCCCAAAAGTTTTATGGTGATCGGATGAAGGTGTAGTAATGGAGAAACTAAATAACATACATACATACTTCCATGTATCTATAGATGGATTTATATATATATATATATATATATATATATATATATATATATATATATATATATATATATATATATATATATGGGTGTGTGTGTGTGCGCGCGCGTGTGTGTATAATTCTATGTCACTTCTGTCCTTGTTAGTGATCAAATGTGTTTGATAATCTATGTAAACAGTTTATTCTCTAGTCTAGATCTAACTGTACGAGACTTGTTTTCCCAGTCAAATTGACAATATTTCGTTTGGGTGTCGAGTCATCGGATGCGATTTCTTCCCTTCCCCTAAATAATGTGACCAAACCAAGCTCACCATGAGATAAAATTGAACACTGACAAGTTATTGACGCCTGATTTCCTACCTAAGTATCTCCGTGACCTCGGCAGAATACTCTCGTATCTTGGTCGAGTCGATGTGGTTCAGGTCACAGATCGTGATGGCGGGAAACTTGAGCGAGGCCATGGGCGTCATCCGATTGACAGTTTGAAAGGGGTACCTGGATCAGGCAGGTCACTTTTAGACAACAAGAATTGAAAGGGGTACCTGGATCAGGCAGGTCACTTTTAGACAACAAGAATTGAAAGGGGTACCTGGATCAGGCAGGTCACTTTTAGACAACAAGAATTTTAGAATTTTTTTTTTAAGTGTATTCTTTTATTGCCTTCAAAGCAGCTCAAAATGTCACTCGCTCTTTTTTTTTTCGTGCGAAAGGATTCTGGGGGGGGGGGGGGGGGAGAAGTTCAGGTACTGCGACATAGCATCCAATAGATTTTGTTATTTTTTAAATGAAGATGTAAACATAATAATATTTTTAGGATTATGGCCACGATAATGGCCTAAGTAATAGTATGATGAAGTGGTTCAAAAATTGTAATTGCCCAAAGGCACTTTTAAGCAAAATTTAATACTGAATTAAAAAAAAATTGAAATAAGTACAAAATGACTTTCGGTTTTATCAAGGTATAAATAAGCCTAAGTGTTTCAAACAGGTAATAATTAGATCTAGATCTAGTAACAAAATAGTAATTTTGCTAAAAGTTTAATTTTTTATTAGTAGAGTCCCTAACATTAATTTTTATGTTTTGTTGTTGTTGTTGTTGAATGTAAGGTTGTGTAAGGTGATGTAAGGTGTGGTAATGTGTGGTAAGGTGATGTAATGTGATTTAAGGTGATGTAAGGTGGTGTGTTTAAAGTGTTGATCACTTACTGGAAGTAATTAAAAGACAAGCACACCAGCTGGTAGCTCATGTAGCCACATGTGGTCAAAATGGTCGCCAGCCACACCGTCCTGTGGAGTAAATGGACAGCACAACTGTCACATGTGGCGGACCGTGGTGAGGGAACATTCCAAACATATCAGACACGAACATTCCAAACATATCAGACACGAACATTCCAAACATATCAGACACGAATATCCAAACATATCAGACACGAACATTCCAAACATATCAGACACGAACATTCCAAACATATCAGACACGAACATTCCAAACATATCAGACACGAACATTCCAAACATATCAGACACGAATATCCAAACATATCAGACACGAACATTCCAAACATATCAGACACGAACATTCCAAACATATCAGACACGAACATTCCAAACATATCAGACACGAATATCCAAACATATCAGACACGAACATTCCAAACATATCAGACACGAACATTCCAATCATATCATACACGAACATTCCAAACATATCAGACACGAATATCCAAACATATCAGACACGAACATTCCAAACATATCAGACACGAATATCCAAACATATCAGACACGAACATTCCAAACATATCAGACACGAACATTCCAATCATATCATACACGAACATTCCAAACATATCAGACACGAATATCCAAACATATCAGACACGAACATTCCAAACATATCAGACACGAACATTCCAAACATATCAGACACGAACATTCCAAACATATCAGACACGAACATTCCAAACATATCAAACACGAACATTCCAAACATATCAGACACGATCATTCCAAACATATCAAACACGAACATTCCAAACATATCAGACACGAACATTCCAAACATATCAGACACGAACATTCAAAACATATCAGACACGAACATTCCAAACATATCAGACACGAACATTCCAAACATATCAGACACGAACATTCCAAACATATCAGACACGAACATTCCAAACATATCAAACACGAACATTCCAAACATATCAGACACGATCATTCCAAACATATCAAACACGAACATTCCAAACATATCAGACACGAACATTCCAAACATATCAGACACGAACATTCAAAACATATCAGACACGAACATTCCAAACATATCAGACACGAACATTCCAAACATATCACGACAGACACGAACATTCCAAACATATCAGACACGAACATTCCAAACATATCACGACAGACACGAACATTCTAAACATATCAGACACGAACATTCCAAACATATCAGACACGAACATTCCAAACATATCAGACACGAACATTCCAAACATATCAGACAAGAACATTCCAAACATATCAGACACGAACATTCAAAACATATCACGACATACACGAACATTCTATAGCTTACATGTCATAATTATACAACGGTGACCAGAAAGAAGCGCAACGGAAAAAGCGCAAAAGCGCACACAGAAAAAAAGCGCAAACAGAAAAAAGCGAAGACAGAAAAAAGCGCACTCAAAAAAAGCGCAAATTTAGCTTCTCCTCATTGGAATGTGATGTCGTGTATGGACGTGGCCACTAATTTAAAAATAAAACTTACTGCCAGACTCGTCCATTCTCTGACGTCACGGTGTACTTGGCGCCATGAGCCGTTGTTTGATCAGCAAATTGGCGAACTATGTCAAGCGCACTGCTCGGTCTTCTGCTGGACATTTTCCTCCACGCTACTGTTTGACCACAGACTCACAGCTACTGTTTGACCACAGAAAACGGCTACTGTTTGACCACAGACTCACAGCTACTGTTTGACCACAGACTCACTGCTACCGTTTGACCACAGAAAACGGCTACTGTTTGACCACAGACTCACAGCTACTGTTTGACCACAGACTCACGGCTACAGTTTGACCACAGCTACTGTTTGACCACAGAAAACGGCTACTGTTTGACCACTACCGGCCGTACCTGTGAGGCGAGTGTATCCTAGCTACCCTCGACTAGCAGGTGATAACAATCTTTGTCCTGCGCGCGCTGACCTGCCTTGATTGTATTCGTAAATCATCAAGGCCGTTAATTTCACTAATTGCTGATAACCAGATGTTTTATGACAGATCGCTCTTGTAATATACAGATATTTTGGGATGACGTGTTTGAGTGGGGGGGGGGGGAGTGTTGAATTATAGCAGTCACCCGGATTTCTTTTTTTTTTTTACTTTCTCGTATACTAAAAATAGAGGAAGTATTGTAGGCTAATCATGCAAATAATCGAAATCGAGATTTTCACAAATCTCGACGTTTTACACCCAGTGTTTTTTCAAGACTTGTTTCTCCGGGGGAGGGGGGGGGGGGCACTTGAAATTTTCGGGGGGGGGGCGGACACTAGTAAAAGTGTATGTTTACTATATAAAATCAATTAGCCCCCCCCCCTATATACCTACAACATTTGCATTTGGTCAATCCCCGCTAATTATGTAATTATTTTTTTCCCAACACCAAAACAAAGTAATAAAAAGTAAATTCTTTTCCACTAATGCAATGTTTTATAAAGGGAAGTAATTGTGTTTTCCTAATTTATCAAAGGTAAGTAAGTGCTAAAGGACTAAATATAAATAATTTTCAGACATTATTAGAATTTTTGTAAAAGATGATAATTTTTTAAAAATTGTGTTTAATTTACATGCCGACAATTATTACTATCAGTTTGAAAAATGAAAAGTATTTCCCAACACTTTCAATAGTAATTTTTTAACTCATAAATTTAGCTATGAGCACGATAATAATCTAACACCTAAATCCATGGAAGTATGTCAACGACAAACGTATTACATGTTACATACAGAATTGAGCTTTATATATTAGGTATACATACATGAAATTTGGTCAACATAATTAAAACGGTAGGCCTCTCGAGTTACCGTGTCATAGACAGACACACGCAAACAAAAAATTTAATCTGTCAAAATTTTATGTGGTTATTTTGCACAATTACAATACTTTCACCATAGTGTGTACGAGAAAGTAAAAATGCACTTCTTAGAGCAACTCTCTTTAGTTGAGCTCATGTAAGACCAACATCCCTTGCTACTTCTCCAGAATTTTTTTAGGTGGGTCCACTTCTCTCTTCCCCTCAGGGTTCAAATCCAACGCCTGCCCTATCCATCCCCTTTTACCAACTTTCTGATATGAGCTTAGTGTTTGTAGCCATAATACTATATACATTATATATGCCTATATAATTGTATGTATGTATGTGTCTGTCTATATACTAGCGTACCCGTCGCTACGATCTAGATTGACAAACATTTTATAGAAATTTCCTCGTTGATTCACCAATTGTGATTTTTAGAGTGACCTTGTTTTCTAAAACATGCAAGTAAAGCAGGCGCTACATTTATCTTAGTTGTTGGGGTTTGTTCATACAACTGCGTAGGGCGTACTTTCATCACCCTCAGTGGCATCGCTAGGTCGGGTGTCACCCCCCCCCCCCCCAGAAACAAAGCTTATATATGTGTGTCGGCCTACATAGGCATATAATTTAAATATATGTCACATACGCGTACATGTATGTAAATATAAGCTTTAGTACTAAAGATGTTTATCTATAGTCTGTTATTAAGTCTTTATAGTTAGCACCTTTACGTCATGGTTTCACCCCCCCCCCCCCCCCATCTTTTAATAATTGTTGATTTGTCCTGAAAAAAATTATTTAATCACTAATGGATGTGGCAAAAAAAAAGGCATTTTCCTTCTGTACATTTTGAAATATTTTGGCTTGGTGTCCCCCGGTGCGGTCCGCACCCCGCCACGCCTCTGACCACCCTACATAATAGGTGTCAAGGACTTCGCGTGACGCTCTCGGGAGCCACTGGTCAAAGTCAGAGTTTCTTCCAGGAATCTTTTGCCCCCCCCCCCCCCGAAAAAATTCTACCGCCCCCACGATCGAAATTTATATAATTTATATAGAAAATATATACTTTTGACAGTGTCCATCGTCCACCACCCCCCCCCCCCCCGAAAATTTCAAGTGCCCCCTCGGAGAAAAAAGTCTGGAAGAAACACTGGTCACAGTACCTCCGTGACGCCGGGTGACACACCTGGTTACGTTTAGTCATCGAATGTTGTAACCCACAGTGTCCCTAGTGTAGGGTGCTCTTTAAAACGAACATATGCTCTATAGTGTTCATAGAAAAGCTCGGGGCGCTTCGTGTCGTTGCATCTGTTTATGTTTGAAAACAATGACGCAATTGGTGGTCCCAAAATAAAACTTGACTTGTAAACAAGTGCAGGCATTTGTTGAGTGAGAAAGAGGGTAGAGTAGCTAAATTTGATTGAAAGAGGGGGTAGAGTAGCTAAATTTGATTGAAAGAGGGGGTAGAGTAGCTAAATTTGATTGAAAGAGAGGGTAGAGTAGCTAAATTTGATTGAAAGAGGGGGTAGAGTAGCTAAATTTGAGTGAAAGAGGGGGTAGAGTAGCTAAATTTGATTGAAAGAGGGGGTAGAGTAGCTAAATTTGAGTGAAAGAGGCAGTAGAGTAGCTAAATTTGAGTGAAAGAGGGGGTAGGGTAGCTAAATTTGAGTGAAAGAGGGGTTCGACTCAGTTCGAGTAGCTAAATTTCCCTTTGAGTGTACGGGTGCAGCAAGACCGAGAGAGACAGAACAAAAAGGAGCACAGAAAGGCAGAGCGACTGAGTGTGAAGGGGCACAGAAGGCGGGGGGAAACTGTAAAGAAGAAGGATCGTGTGAGGAAGATTTTGTGAGACGAGAGATGAAGAATGCAGTGTTTTTTCCAGACATTTTTCTCATGGGAGGGGGAGGGGGGCACAAGAAGAACGTCTCACGTCTGTCACATTCAGGTGATAAAAGGTTGATATGCAGTGAACATAAAAAAAAATAACATTGTTTTATTAAGATAATGTATTTAAGAATTAAAATGTTATTAACATACAAAATGGAAATATAATCAATTCCTAAATCTGTGTATAACCATAAATAAATAACATTATATAAACTGTATAATTAAATAAAAATAATGAATAAATATAATTTACTATTTTATAAACAAACATGCAGAATTTAAAGAAAAAGATTTGGTTAAGGGTTTTAAAATATCCATATGTTTTGTGATATTGATTATACAGTGACGTTTTCTATTTTGTGAACTAAAAAACACAAACTATGTTCAAGTAATTGATGAAAATTGAGAATGTTGACTTTTTCATCATCGAAAAAGACAACATTATCTCCCTTGAGCTGCTTAGTGAGGAGTTGGAACACCTCTGCCTTGTCATAGCCGCAGATGACGATGTTCCCCCAGCAGACGTACTTGTAGCTACCACTCCCTACTTGGATCTCTGGTCTATGCTGGCACTCCCAGCAGGCAAGTTGGCTCTCAGCCTGTGCCTTCTGGCACGCAGGGCAGAAATATTTTCTCAGGCCCACCCTGTCCACCTCTAGCAGCAGAGTCTCAAGGTTGGTTCTGGGTCAGATATAACAAAATAGGTTGGTTCTGGGTCAGATATAACAAAATAGGTTGGTTCTGGGTCAGATATAACAAAATAGGTTGGTTCTGGGTCAGATATAACATAATAGGTTAGTTCTGGGTCAGATATAACAAAATAGGTTGGTTCTGGGTCAGATATAACAAAATAGGTTGGTTCTGGGTGAGATATAACAAAATAGGTTGGTTCTGGGTCAGATATAACAACATAGGTTGGTTCTGGGTCAGATATAACAAAATAGGTTGGTTCTGGGTGAGATATAACAAAATAGGTTGGTTCTGGGTCAGATATAACAAAATAGGTTGGTTCTGGGTGAGATATAACAAAATAGGTTGGTTCTGGGTGAGATATAACAACATAGGTTGGTTCTGGGTCAGATATAACAAAGTAGGTTGGTTCTGGGTGAGATATAACAACATAGGTTGGTTCTGGGTCAGATATAACAAAGTAGGTTGGTTCTGGGTCAGATATAACAAAATAGGTTGGTTCTGGGTCAGATATAACAAAATAGGTTGGTTCTGGGTCAGATATATAACAAAATAGGTTGGTTCTGGGTCAGATATAACAAAATAGGTTGGTTCTGGGTCAGATATAACAAAATAGGTTGGTTCTGGGTCAGATATAACAAAATAGGTTGGTTCTGGGTCAGATATAACAAAATAGGTTGGTTCTGGGTCAGATATAACAAAATAGGTTGGTTCTGGGTCAGATATAACAAAATAGGTTGGTTCTGGGTGAGATATATAACAAAATAGGTTGGTTCTGGGTCAGATATAACAAAATAGGTTGGTTCTGGGTCAGATATAACAAAATAGGTTGGTTCTGGGTGAGATATATAACAAAATAGGTTGGTTCTGGGTGAGATATAACAACATAGGTTGGTTCTGGGTCAGATATAACAAAGTAGGTTGGTTCTGGGTGAGATATAACAACATAGGTTGGTTCTGGGTCAGATATAACAAAGTAGGTTGGTTCTGGGTCAGATATAACAAAATAGGTTGGTTCTGGGTGAGATATAACAAAATAGGTTGGTTCTGGGTCAGATATAACAAAATAGGTTGGTTCTGGGTCAGATATAACAAAATAGGTTGGTTCTGGGTCAGATATAACAAAACAGGTTGGTTCTGGCTCAGATATAACAAAACAGGTTGGTTCTGGGTCAGATATAACAAAATAGGTTGGTTCTGGGTGAGATATAACATAATAGGTTGGTTCTGGGTCAGATATAACAAAATAGGTTGGTTCTGGGTCAGATATAACAAAATAGGTTGGTTCTGGGTCAGATATAACAAAATAGGTTGGTTCTGGGTCAGATATAACAAAATAGGTTGGTTCTGGGTCAGATATAACATAATAGGTTGGTTCTGGGTCAGATATAACAAAATAGGTTGGTTCTGGGTCAGATATAACAAAATAGGTTGGTTCTGGGTCAGATATAACAAAACAGGTTGGTTCTGGGTGAGATATAACAAAATAGGTTGGTTCTGGGTCAGATATAACAAAATAGGTTGGTTCTGGGTGATATAAATATAACAAAATAGGTTGGTTCTGGGTCAGATATAACAAAATAGGTTGGTTCTGGGTGATATAAATATAACAAAATAGGTTGGTTCTGGGTCAGATATAACAAAATAGGTTGGTTCTGGGTGAGATATAACAAAATAGGTTGGTTCTGGGTGATATAAATATAACAAAATAGGTTGGTTCTGGGTGAGATATAACAAAATAGGTTGGTTTTGGGTGAGATATAACAAAATAGGTTGGTTCTGGGTGAGATATAACAAAATAGGTTGGTTCTGGGTGATATAAATATAACAAAATAGGTTGGTTCTGGGTCAGATATAACAAAATAGGTTGGTTCTGGGTGAGATATAACAAAATAGGTTGGTTCTGGGTGAGGTATAACAAAATAGGTTGGTTCTGGGTGAGATATAACAACATAGGTTGGTTCTGGGTCAGATATAACAAAATAGGTTGGTTCTGGGTGAGATATAACAAAATAGGTTGGTTCTGGGTCAGATATAACAAAATAGGTTGGTTCTGGGTGAGATATAACAAAATAGGTTGGTTCTGGGTGAGATATAACAACATAGGTTGGTTCTGGGTCAGATATAACAAAGTAGGTTGGTTCTGGGTGAGATATAACAACATAGGTTGGTTCTGGGTCAGATATAACAAAGTAGGTTGGTTCTGGGTCAGATATAACAAAATAGGTTGGTTCTGGGTCAGATATAACAAAATAGGTTGGTTCTGGGTCAGATATATAACAAAATAGGTTGGTTCTGGGTCAGATATAACAAAATAGGTTGGTTCTGGGTCAGATATAACAAAATAGGTTGGTTCTGGGTCAGATATAACAAAATAGGTTGGTTCTGGGTCAGATATAACAAAATAGGTTGGTTCTGGGTCAGATATAACAAAATAGGTTGGTTCTGGGTCAGATATAACAAAATAGGTTGGTTCTGGGTGAGATATATAACAAAATAGGTTGGTTCTGGGTCAGATATAACAAAATAGGTTGGTTCTGGGTGAGATATAACAAAATAGGTTGGTTCTGGGTGAGATATATAACAAAATAGGTTGGTTCTGGGTGAGATATAACAACATAGGTTGGTTCTGGGTCAGATATAACAAAGTAGGTTGGTTCTGGGTGAGATATAACAACATAGGTTGGTTCTGGGTCAGATATAACAAAGTAGGTTGGTTCTGGGTCAGATATAACAAAATAGGTTGGTTCTGGGTCAGATATAACAAAATAGGTTGGTTCTGGGTCAGATATAACAAAATAGGTTGGTTCTGGGTCAGATATAACAAAATAGGTTGGTTCTGGGTTAGATATAACAAAACAGGTTGGTTCTGGCTCAGATATAACAAAACAGGTTGGTTCTGGGTCAGATATAACAAAATAGGTTGGTTCTGGGTCAGATATAACAAAATAGGTTGGTTCTGGGTCAGATATAACAAAATAGGTTGGTTCTGGGTGAGATATAACAAAATATTGGTTCTGGGTCAGATATAACAAAACAGGTTGGTTCTGGGTGAGATATAACAAAATAGGTTGGTTCTGGGTCAGATATAACAAAACAGGTTGGTTCTGGGTCAGATATAACAAAATAGGTTGGTTCTGGGTGAGATATAACAAAATAGGTTGGTTCTGGGTGATATAAATATAACAAAATAGGTTGGTTCTGGGTCAGATATAACAAAATAGGTTGGTTTTGGGTGAGATATAACAAAATAGGTTGGTTCTGGGTGAGATATAACAAAATAGGTTGGTTCTGGGTGATATAAATATAACAAAATAGGTTGGTTCTGGGTCAGATATAACAAAATAGGTTGGTTCTGGGTGAGATATAACAAAATAGGTTGGTTCTGGGTGAGGTATAACAAAATAGGTTGGTTCTGGGTGAGATATAACAAAATAGGTTGGTTCTGGGTCAGATATAACAAAATAGGTTGGTTCTGGGTCAGATATAACAAAATAGGTTGGTTTTGGGTGAGAAATAAATACACATTACAAGACAACAAAACTAAATTATGTCATAAAATGCCTCAGCTAAAAAAGTAGCCTACTTGTACCAATTAAATATACTTGTACCAATTAAATATATTTGTACCAATTAAATATACTTGTACCAATTAAATAAGTAGCCTTCTTGTACCGATGTTCCAAGTACAGATGTAGACCATTTTATTATACAGCAGAATTCTATTGCAGAATTCTAGTTCTGTTTACTACTAAAGATAAATTAAGTAGGCCCTACCAGTACTCTCTCTACACAATGTTGGCTAACACAAACACATTTTCTGAGCTCATTTTTTCCACAGCATGGTCTAGACCAGGGGTCTCCAAACTTTTCAGTCCGAGGGCCGTATTGACTATCAAATTTCAGTTCGGGGGCCAGTTTCTTCCAGGCATGTCTTTGATTTTTCTGGGCAAAGTTCCTCAGCAATCACCGACAAACGATTTTTCCTTGGAGAAAAAGATCTCCGCGGGCCGGACGAGAGGACTTTGCGGGCCGCAGTTTGGAGACCCCTGGTCTAGACACAAGGGACTGATAGAATGTCTTTCTAAAACAAATCATCATACCTTGATGGTTGTATTGCACTTAAAATGAAAAGCCTGCAGCCCAAATTCTTTACTAAAGCCTCCAAGTAGGATTCCTTAACACTACTTGATATTTTTCTCTCTTTAGTGATGACCTAAAAAGAATAGCACATTCATCAACATAAACCTAGTTTGTGATCAACAATAGCCAACTTAACACACACAAATAAGAACATGATTAGATGACACACAGGCTACAGTTCATGCAGCATATCAAATGTATACATTGGGGATAACGGAGGATGCCCTAGTGACCTCCAGTGCAGGATGACCAATCCGAAGACCTGAGATTCTAAGATAGCCACTGGGGAACTCTGGATACTAAACCCCACAGTTCATGTTTGAGAAAACTGTAGTTTTTATCATATCTATATATATATCATATCTATATATATCTATATAATTCTCTTCATGGAGGGACCATGCGGGACAAGACGTAGATGCACACCAAACGTCCCCCTCTCTCCCTCTCCAGGCCATATGCTACCACCCCCACCCTACCAGTCTGGTGAGCTGTTTACAATCACAGAGCTGGGTCAAATTAGTAATGGCTATTAGGGGCAGATAATTTAGTTTTTAACTATTTGAAACTAAGGGGAGGTAATAACAAGTTCCGCTTAATCTTTTCATTATCGTCTGTAAACTGTAGTCACAGACGGCTGCTTTGACGGGGGGGGGGGGAGGGGGAGTGAGGGTGAGTATAAATGTCCTCCACGAGCTACTGACAGTGTTTTGAAGCAAATATTTTCAGTCGCAGCATTGGTAGTGTCGAATTCACAAATTATGAATTACTGAAAAATAGAAAATAAAACAACTAAATAGCAGTGTATGCAATGTTGTGAGTCAGCTTGTTTACTATATTGAGACTAAAAGCAGTAAAAACGACATGAGCATGCTGTTGCCAATACTGTAACGTAATATGAGACCAATGTTGAGGTCCTTTTACTGGGAAACTTGTTAACACTGGATTCTTTTAGGGCAGCGGCAGGGCCAGCATTTGTCTCACCCCCATCTGTATCTCTTCATCCTGACAGAAACAACACTTTGTCTCACCCCATCTGTATCTCTTCACCCTGACAGAAACAACACTTTGTCTCACCCCCATCTGTATCTCTTCACCCTGACAGAAACAACACTTTGTCTCACCCCATCTGTATCTCTTCACCCTGACAGAAACAACACTTTGTCTCACCCCCATCTGTATCTCTTCACCCTGACAGAAACAACACTTTGTCTCACCCCCATCTGTATCTCTTCACCCTGACAGAAACAACACTTTGTCTCACCCCCATCTGTATCTCTTCACCCTGACAGAAACAACACTTTGTCTCACCCCCATCTGTATCTCTTCACCCTGACAGAAACAACACTTTGTCTCACCCCATCTGTATCTCTTCACCCTGACAGAAACAACACTTCAGAAAAATGAACTTGTCTTGTGTACTAAAACTTGCTTACACTGTGCTCTGCTATGGTAATAGAATTGGCACAATGCTCTCATTAATGTCCACCCAGATTTCCCTCCCCTTCCCCCATGGTTCAATAAAAACTGCAGATGAACAACTGTTTCCCCAAGCTTCCGCAGCCGTGGAGTGAGCCCGTCGCCCTCCTCATGCGCCCTCCACTCGGCTCACACCACCATGCCTGCGAAGACAATGTTGCTAAACCAATGACGGAAAGAAGGAATGGCACACTACTTAGCCACTTATATATATTCAAATACCACTGTGTATTGTTTTGAATTATGTGTTAATTTATTTATTGATAATCAGTTTGTAAACAATCATAGTTGTTTATAAATTCAAACTTCATGTGTCTCCTATACAACGAATAAACACTGCACTGAAAGTTTAATTATTGCATGCCCTCACCAAACTAGTGGCCTAATAATGATTTATAGTAATTAACTAGAATCTGAGAATAGTGTAAAACTAGGCTTAATATTTAATAATACTGTAATCTATTGTCTTAGGTACGTAAAATCTGCCGAGACTAGTAATGTGAAAAAAAGGTGACTCCTTAAATTTTAGTAATTATTTCACAATTTTAGGAGGATTTAAATTTACAAAAATGTTTCAAAGATTCATTTATGTACCTGTTTTTAAACAATTGTATTAAAACTTTTCAGTAATAAATAAAGACTAGCGATGTTTTCATAAGATGCAGCCACGCTCACTTACTTTAGCAGCCATCTGGTTTAATGTTAAGTTTTTTTTGGTAAACTTATGGTGGGAGGTTCAGGGGAAGCTACTCCATTTTACAGATTACTGCTGTTTATATAGCAAATGCTGCTTGCAAACACTGCTGTTTAAAGTTAATTTCTGGTCTATATTGCCCTATATTGATATACTTAGCCATTGATTTTGGTTTATTATTCAGTTATCTATAATATTTGATTATTTGACACAAATATATCACAATATATTCATATAATATAGTTCTATTAAAGCCTTCACAATGTAAAAATGAGGCAACTTTTTCGCACATTACTAGCCTCAGCCTATTTTACCCACCTAAAACGATAGATTACTAATAATACTGTCAGTGTTTCTTCCAGACTTTATCTCCGGGGGGGCACTTAAAATTTTCGGGGGGGGGGGGGGGGGTCGGTAGACTTTCTTCGGGGGGGGGGGGGGGGGAAGACACTGTTAAAAGTATATATTTTCTATATAAATTATATAAATTTCATTTCGTTCGGGGGGGGGGGGGGGGCGCTAAAAGAAGAGATGCCTGGAAGAAACTCTGAATACTTTTATTTAAGTTATTTAACTAGGCCTAATATTAAAATAAATAGGCCTAGGCCTAAATAAAATAAATAAAAATAGGCCTAGTTTTTAGTAGCCAACAATATAAAAATAGTGAAATACAAGCTTACTTTTAATGTGTTATCCCAATCAAATACAACAATTGCTTCTTTCTGTATTTCGATACTTTCTATATCTGAAATTTCTGATATACCATAATTGTCATTGTTTCTAGATCTAGGTATAGCAGGTATAGTATTGGAATTATCCAACATCTGCATTATTTTTTTTTAAATCTTTGAGTTTGACCATAGATCTACATTCTACATATCTCATAAATAAATATTAAATAAATCACTTCTGATCACGCCATTAGCATTAGGCCTAATCATTGTATCTGAGAATCTAAGTCTAAGTAAAATAGTACTGTACTAGACTACTTTGTAACTTTAGTACTTATGACTACTAGACTATAGATCTAGATCTAGATAGATCTAGATCAGATCTATTACATTTACATTATAGGACATTAGTAGGCCTATATGGTAATTAGTAATATTATATATATTTAATTATTTATATCACTATATTATTAGATCTAATAATTTAAAAATTACTAGATCTAATAATTTAAAAATTACTAGATCTAGATTTTAACTGCTAGACTAACAAACTAGAACTAGAGATCTAGATTCTAGATCTATTTCTTTAGCAGTAGCGTACGCAGGGGGGGAGCAGGGGGAGCGGCCGCTCCCCCTCTGGCCATTTTCAGCAAAGTGGCGCCTTTTTGGAAACTTTTTAAACTCAAAGTTTTAAACAATGATATTTGTTACAAAAATATTTTTGGTCGGCACATCTATGTAAATCACAAAATTTCTTTTCATGCAGCAATTAAGCATTATTGTACTAGTCTAGTAGTGTCTACGTTTACAACACGTATTAACAGCTGCATTAGTTTTCCATTCTAAAAATAACCATTACGATGCATTGTAAGGTTTAAAAAACCTCTACGGGTATTACCACTTGGCAAGAGGGGTGTTAAGTTTAAGGCAACTGTATAATGTATTTGCTTACCAATAATTGAATTAGAAAATGTTATACATAAAACTTCACACATAATTACTTTATATATACAGTTTCAATCGCGTGATTAATTAAAAAAATTACAATACAGAAACAAATACAACTGATGTGCACCTCTATTTAAATTTACTTATGAGCAAACTGCGTAGTGGTGGGGAAATTTTGACAAGGACAACAACGTCATCACGATGAATTAGTAGTATTCTAACAGTTTGGGCGATAGAGATTACGATTACAAATTATATGAAACAGTTACAACCCCCTCCCCCATCGACCCCTCTGTAAAAAAATATTGTCATAATACCACTGCTACTTATTTAAATCTATTTCTTTAATATATATTTGTGTAATATATATTTGTGTAATATATATGTATGTTTAGAACAGTCATCTAAAAACTGACGCTATGTTCACTCTGAGTTGGTTATCTCTTCCCACCCCCCCCCCCCCCCCCCCACACACACACCTCACCACCACAATTTTGTAGAGCGACATTAATGTCACACCTAGATATACACTGGGTTGGATAATTGACCTAAGGTGACCGGACAGTGGTCAATGAAGTTGAACCCACCACCCCCCCCCCCAACCCACCCCGAACTGATCTGTTAAGTACATGTAGAAAAACGCGTAATGATGTACCAAAGTACCATGCCGCCAGAAAATTAGCTTTTTAAACGTAAAACTCTCTGAATATTGTTTTTGCAATTACCAGTAAAAAGGTGTGTGATCAATACAGTGATCTAACCCATACCTATCACTATGTTAAAAAATGATCTTTAAAGAACACAAAGAAGCAGTAGATAATTAAAAATATATGATTTGAACTAAAAGACAGATTGTTAGCAAAGTGTTGGCTATCATTCCGAATGTTTTCTATTCATCTAAAAGCGTGGTTTTAGTTTTATACCAACTCAGATTTTAAAAACTTTTATTATGCTGTAGTACTTTAGCATTTATGATGACGATATATTAAATTCTGATTATAGACAAAAACATTTTGAAAACACAAATAGTGTTAAACAATTTCATTATATTCTAAAGTAATTATTTATTTGTTTTGACATTTATAATTAAATGTGTAGATATATACATATTTATATTAAGAGAGTGATTATTTCCCCTATTTCACTTGTCTTAAATAATTTCCCAGGAATTATTAAGTAAGAATGTTTTTTACAAGAATTACAAAACAGATTGTGTTACGTTAATTGTTTATGGTTGTAGTGTATATATATATATATATATATATATATATATATATATATATATATATATATATATATATATATATATATATATATATATATATGTATATATATATTTGTTTAGATTGATACAATTTTTTGTTTTGTCGGCCTACATTGTGTGTTTTTTCTTATTTCTTCCGAGTGCTACTTTCAAGTTATTTTACATCATAGCGAAGTAATGACATATAGCTAGTAATTATATATATATATATATATATATATATATATATATATATATATATATATATATATATAATACACGTATATAGAACGTGTTAAAAATTCGGCGCCTTTTTTTGCTCTTTTCGCTCCCCCTACAACGAAAACTTGGATACGCCTCTGTTCTTTAGTGAAAGTGAACTAGCTTTCAACTAGCACTTTAGTAAAATGTAAACAATCTAACAGTTACCTGGCCGACAGGCTGGACTAACCGGCCAGGTAAGCCTGGCGAATTGCCAGAAGAGTACGCCAACGCAGTACACTGTACAGCTGATGCTAGATCAAGATCTACCCCCCCCCCCATGTATATAATATATATATATATATATATATATATATATATATATATATATATAGGTAATCCCTTAGTTTAGCGTCGGAAATTATCGGGTAATGTTTGTTGAGTCTCGGTAATTAGAGTTACGGTAAACCATGGTTTATTTGACCATTGAAATATAAATAAATTGAAAGTCGATTGTAGTAAATTAATGTTTTAATTTTTTAAGTTTAATCGACAAAAGGAAACAAGAATAAATATAAATCTAATAGAAGTTTTAAATTAGTAGATCTAAAATATATAATATAAATATAAATAATGAAGTCAAATGTAATAATTTAATGTTTTTGGCTTGCAGCGGATTTGCGACCATTAATTAATTAGATCTAGATCTAGCTAGATATCTAGCTGCTAGGCCAAGTTAAAAAAATCTAGATTACGAAAATAGTAAAAATGATTACAAAATGTAAAAATGATTACAAAAATAAATCTATCCAAATTTTAAATATTCTGTATAAAAATAAAAGATGACGCCAAATAAAGTATGGTTTACAGTACTTCCGGTGAATTCCGGAAGTGTGTGACAGACTTTGACATTGTTTTACTGTTTTTTACTGCTATACGATTCCGGAATAATAACCGACGCTAAACTATATATATATATAATTCTCTTCTTGGAGACGTTAGAAAACATGCTGTAAGCGCGCCTTGCAGTCTCCTCTCTTCATCTCTAGGAAGTCTGGTGAGCTGTGGTTCACGCTAAATGTTTACATTCGTAGAGCCGGGTTTAGTGACGGCTGTTAGGGGCATATAATTTAGTTTGAAACGGATTTAAACTTAGGGGAGGTAGCTAAGAGGAGGCTGCTTTCACTGGGGGGGGGGTGTTAGGGGTTGGGGGAAAGGAGGGGATGATAGTGTTTTAAAGCAAATATTTTCAGTGACAGCAGTGGTACTGTCGAATTTACAAATTATGAATTACTGAAAAGTAGAAAATAAAACAACTAAATAGCGGCGGCGTATGATACGCCGCGGGTCGGCTCGCACAATATAATACTTAATCCTATATAGTAGTTATACTATTAATTTTGTGGTGGTCTTAAATGTATGGCTTCTAGATCTATGTTATATATATATATATATATATATATATATATATATATATGGAAGTATGCCTGTTTGTTTGTCTTTTATACATTACTACACCTTTCGATTAAGCTTTTCATCTGATCTCCATGAAACTTTGGGAAGTTGTTGAGTTTAGTGAGTCTACTCCTGGAAAGATTTGTGCGGGGAAAAAATGTAACTTTAAAAAAAGGCGTCGCGCCGGCAGTTTACGATTTGGCGCCCGGGGCATTACCGTGAGCGTTATGGTGCCTGTGTTCGTTTTAAAGAGTGTCATACACTTTGAATACGGTGAGCATAATCATTGACTAAATAGAATCAGGCGCCCGCCACTGCAGTGTAACTAGATGGCTCCCTGGAGATCATGAAATATGTAGAATTTTTAGTTTTGTATTAAATATATTTTAAGCCACAGATAGATAGTACTTAATACTTTAATAGTACTAGTAGGCCTACTTGTTTTATTTGGAAGATTGTTCCACAAACTGACACCAGAATTTGCGAAGCTATGTGAGTGTACTGTGAGTCTTTGGAAAAAAAAAAAGTTGTAGCCTAGATTCTAGATCTTAATGGGATGAATATTTTAAGGTGTTAGTAAAATTTTAGTTTTTACATTATAGCAATATAGACCTAGATTCTAGATTCTATTATATCAAAGCTAAACTAAATAAATACATTGGCATTGGTAATGTTCCAACTTTCTCAGTTTTAGTTATTTCATTGTGTTAAAAATTGTCTTGTTGATCTCGGTAATAGAATGAACCATTAGTTTTTGTTACAAAAAAATAAATAAAAAATAAATAAAGTTACAGTTGTAACAGTAGGCCTATTCAATATCAATGCAATAGTTTTATAGTATTCATTGTACTAGATTTCTAGATATAGAATCTAGATCTATGAAATATTTATTTATATTATTACAAGATCTAAATGTCTAGTACTAGTACGTCGTAGATATAATAATAATAATTTTAATAATAATAGGGCCTAATAAAAATAGGGGTAAAATTAAAATTAAATTATTTTAGGCCTATTATTTATTAACTAGGCATGCTGCCCAGCTTCGCTTAGGCTTTCGAAAACATTGAGAATTTGAATGCTTAATTAATTCACCCATATAAGGCGCCGGTCAGTCGAGGTCAGTTTTGACCCCCTCATAGTAGACTTTTCGGCCAACCGACCCCCGTGTTCTGTCGCCCCAAGGCAAGATCCTGCCAAATTTGAAGCGCCTGCGGCGCCTGGAAGTGCCCAATCGGGCACCCGACAACTTAGCTTTATAGATCATCTAGATCTAGAATATCTAGATCTAGATCTATATGATCCAGAATCTCTAGATCTAGATGATCTAGAATATCTAGATCTAGATCAATATCTAGATCTAGAATCTCTAGATCTAGAATCCAAATAAATAAAATAATTTTTTTAAGTTTAGGCCGAGAAAATCGTATTGTAGGCCTATAGTCTACATTTCATAGCGTACATAGCTCTAAATCATATTTGAATGAAATAGTTCATTTTTAAAAATTCTAATCTCGGAAGATGACGTCATCAGTTTCGTGCTCTTGTTTTAGTGTAAACAATAAGCGACGTCATTGTTAAATGCGTTCTTGTCCTAAGTTTATACACTTTTCCGGTTGCATAAATAATACTGTTTCTCTACATTCGAATACGCCTTTATTTTTTATTTTTCTTCTTAAAATAAAATTGTGGTTATACATTTAAAACATCTAACATATTATTTTCAACAAAAGTCCGTATAAAGGTATCCATATATCGCTGCCGTTTCTGACGTGATGTCCGGCGAAAATATTTTGCGGACAGACAGAGAGAGAGAGAGAGAGAGAGAGAGAGAAGTGCGAACGTGGGGATTTATATATTAGGATATTAGAATTAGATTAGGCCTAGGCAGGCCTAACTAGTAACTATTATAATATATACTAATCTATCCAGTATCACTCACTCATCAGTGATTCAGACTGAGTCTCAGTATCAGTTCAGGTACATAAAATCGGCTGCGGCTAGATTCTCGTAATGTGCGACTAAGTTGCCTCATTGTTAAGGGCTTTAATAGAAGTATATAGTATATTCATATTGTGATATATTTGTGTCAAATATTATGATAGATAATTGAATAATAAACCAAAATCAATGGCTAAATAATAAATAATATATCAGGCCAGAAATTAACTTTAAACAGCAGTGTTTGCGAGCAAGATTTGCTAGGTCTAGGGCCTATATAATTTAAATAGTATAATTACATTAATAGTATAGTATATAAACATCAGCTACTTGTAAAATAGAGTGGCTTCCCCTGAATATCCCGCTATAAGTTTACAAAAAAAAACTTAGACAAGATGGCTGCTAAAGTAGTAAACAAGTTTTGTTGCATCTGATGAAAACATCACTAGTCTTTATTTATTACTGAAAAGTTTTAATACAATTGTTTACACACAGGTACATGAATGAAACTTTAAAACATTTTTGTAACTTTCAAAACATATGTATTTAACGTAAATCTTTCTAAAAATGTGAAATAATTACTAAAATTTAATGAGGCACCTTCTTTTCACATCACTAGCCTCTGCCGATTTTACGTACCTATAGCAATAGATTACTGAAATAGGGCCTATAGGCTAGGTAATAAATTAATAAATCTATCGTTTTAGCTACGTAAATTACTAAATTCGGCAGAGGCTAATTATAGAGGCTAATTATTAGTTAAGTAATCACTCATAGATTAGATCTAGTTAGTTAGTAATGTCATTAATGTGCGAAAAAGTTGCCTCATTATTATTAATTGTTAAGGCTTTAATAGAAGTATTAGATTAGTATACTGTGATATATTTGTGTCAGATATTATAGATAACTGAACAATAAACCAGAACCAATGGCTAAATATATCAATATATAATATATATTGATATATTTAGCCATTGATTAAACAGCAGTGTTTACAATAATATAAATAAAAAGCTATTGTAAATGAGCTTTGTTGCATCTGATGAATACATCGCTAGTCTTTATTTAATATTTATTACTGAAAGTTTGAATACAATTGTTTAAAAACAGGTACATGAAAAAAGCTTTGAACATTTTTGTAAAAACAAATAATGAAACGCAATTTACCAAAAGAAGATGAACCAGTTGTGTCCAAAGTTCCCAGATTTTCAACTGGTGATAGTGAGGGTACATTAGATGAAGAAAATTCCAATTCTACCTTACCATCCACAACATCTGTTAGTGAGTCTTCAGTCGTACAGTCCTTGAGTAATGGCCAGCCAAACAATAGTGAATCAATTAGCTCAGGAGCTAATGGTGGGCCAAACAACAGTGAATCAATTAGCTCAGGAGCTAATGGTGGGCCAAACAACAGTGAATCAATTAGCTCAGGAGCTAATGGTGGGCCAAACAACAGTGAATCAATTAGCTCAGGAGCTAATGGTGGGCCAAACAACAGTGAATCAATTAGCTCAGGAGCTAATGGTGGGCCAAACAACAGTGAATCAATGAGCTCAGGAGCTAATGGTGGGCCAAACAAGAGTGAATCAATGAGCTCAGGAGCTGCAAGAACCACAGCCATCACTGAGTTGCCTATAGCCATGCCCGGCAGGTTCACTATGCTACACAACAGAATATTCCCATCACAAGGGCTATGTTTGAGAGGGGAGGGGAGAACAAGGAGCATTTCAGCTTGTGAAAGCCATTCCTCAAGAGTGGAGCAGTTCTTGCCCCAAGAATCAGCCAGGGTGAGATTGTGCCCCAGCAGACACTCCCCAGTACAAGCCCAGTCTATAGACAGGACCAATGGGGGTAAGGCTAGCAGTCCTGGCTCTATGTCTGCTGGTAGCTCCAGTCTGGGGGACACACACCACTGGCTCCTGCACCCAACCCAGGAAGATTCCAGCAACACTGCTAGAGCTGGCCAGGAACCATCTCATGCCACAAAGCAGAAGACTAGCGGCTCCTCACCTGACCAAAATGGAGCAGCATCTGAGCACAAGAGAACTAGTTCACCAAGCAGCTCTGGGAGCTTGTTTAGAAAGGCCTCCTCCTCTTTGGGGTATACTGCAGGATCACATCAAACCAGCCTCATAGGACCATGTAAAACCAGCCTTATAGGACCATGTAAAACCAGCCTTATAGGACCATGTAAAACCAGCCTTATGCCCAGAAAAAAATCAAACTCAGAATCAACTGTATCCAGGTAATATATCATTATGTTTAGATTCTTTAATGAAATATAAAAAGTTATTAAAAATTAATAATGCAATTTTATGTTAATTTAAGAAACAACAGATAATTAAGTTCAAAGTTAAAAGATGTAGTAATAAGAAATGTAACTTACGCGAATAGGCCTATTCTTTCAAATTAAATTTTTTATCCCAAATTAGCCAGTTCCATAGCTAAACAAACAAAGATTTCTATAAAATAATCAAGGACTGAAATAGTTTAATGTAGAAATTTGTTATTGGAATAGATTCTAGTATGAATAGATTCTAGAGTAGATAGAGTCTAAATCTTGATCTTAGCGTCTACGTCTAGTTTTTGCGTAGATCAAGTCTAGATCTAGAATATCTATATCTAGATCTAGAATCCAAATAGATAAAGTAAATTTTATAAGTTTAGGCCGGGAAAATTGTATTGATGACGTCATTAGTTTTGTGCTCTTTCCTTAGTATAAACATTAAGCGACGTCATTGTTAAATGCGTTCTTGTCCCAACTATAAACATTTTTCCGGTTGCATAATTAACATTGTTTTTCTACATTCGAATACACCTTTATTTTTTATTTTTCTTCTTTAAATAAAATTGTGGCTATACATTTAAAACAGGGGTCGGCAACCTGCGGCTCGCGAGCCGCATGCGGCTCTTTTGATATCAAGGTGCGGCTCTCCAGCTCCTTGCACAAATACTAATAATCTTAATAAAAAAATAAAATATTTAAAATTAAAAAATGTTAGTGGCTCTTTAAAACCAGGGAAATTTTGAAAATTGTTACTTTTGGCTCTTCCGCTTGAAAAGGTTGCCGACCCCTGATTTAAAACATCTACAATATTATTTTCAACAAAATTCCATATCAAGTTCTCCATATATCGCTGAAGATTCCGATGTGATATCCTGCGAAAATATGTTGCGGACAGAGAGATTATATTAGGATTCTATGTACTTGATTCCATTTTATTAAAATTTAAAGTATTAAAAAAATTCATTCAAAAATCATTTCTATAACCAGATTGCACTGTTGTAACTTGTATAGAGAATATGAGAAGGTTTAGGGAGACCACTCCCACTTTATTTGTAATTAACACAAAATTAGAATATTGTTTTTTTAAGTCTTATTTAACATACTTTTGAATAGGCAGATTTTGGCCTGTTTTCCAGTGTTCTTTTGTGCTGATGCTTTAAAGCAAATGAATTGACTTGGTACGGATAATCTTCTGTTGTGGCAGTGTTGGACAAGTTTTCTCTTTTCTCTCTACAGATGTATTGGCATAGAGGGATCTTCTGCTCGCAGTAGAGGACTGACAACATTTTCTGCTCTCAGTTCTGGCTACCAGCCATCCACATTTCTGCCAGCTGCTTCAACAGGTGCATCAGCTGCATCAAAAATAATCAATGCATCAACTCTTAAATGTGCTTCATCAATAACAGGTGCATCAAAAGTAACTGGTGCATCAGCAGTATCAGGTGCTTCAGCAGTCACATGTGCGTCAACAGTAACAGGTGCTTCATCAGTCACAGGTGCATCAACAGCAACAGGTGTATCAGCAGTAACAGGTGCTTCATCAGTCACAGGTGCATCAACAGTAACAGGTGCATCAACAGCAGCTGAAACTCCTTCTAGTTTTGTGTCAGGATCTAGGCATGAAGAAAGCTCAGAGCTTAGGCTCATGCCCAGGCATGAAGAGAGCTCAGAGCTTAGGCCCATGCCCAGGCATGAAGAGAGCTCAGAGCTGCGGCTGATGTCGAGGATGAGACTGATGTACCACTCGTGGTCTGCTGCTGTAGTGGCTGCTGGTGACCAGCACCATCTGGACGCTGGCTTGTCTTCATCTTTGCTCATCCCACCAGGTAAGCCAAGCTACATTCCCATCCCACCAGGTAAGCCAAGCTACATTCCCATCCCACCAGGTAAGTCAAGCTACCTTCCCATCCCACCAGGTAAGCCAAGCTACATTCCCATCCCACCAGGTAAGCCAAGCTACATTCCCATCCCACCAGGTAAGCCAAGCTACATTCCCATCCCACCAGGTAAGCTAAGCTACATTCCCATCCCACCAGGTAAGCCAAGCTACATTCCCATCCCACCAGGTAAGCCAAGCTACATTCCCATCCCACCAGGTAAGCCAAGCTACATTCCCATCCCACCAGGTAAGCCAAGCTACATTCCCATCCCACCAGGTAAGCCAAGCTACATTCCCATCCCACCAGGTAAGCCAAGCTACATTCCCATCCCACCAGGTAAGCCAAGCTACATTCCCATCCCACCAGGTAAGCCAAGCTACATTCCCATCCCACCAGGTAAGCCAAGCTACATTCCCATCTACTTGCTGAAGCCTTGTCACATGACCTTCTGTCAGCTGCTAGAGTTCTTGCCCTTTAGGACAAAGCTGAGCCTTGGTCTGTTGTCACTTAACCTGGTCCACTATGTCAGCAGGTCAGGCCATCAATGCCCAGAGACCCTACTTACCCTGGTCCCACTATGTCAGCAGGTCAGGCCATCAATGCCCAGAGACCCTACTTACCCTGGTCCCACTATGTCAGCAGGTCAGGCCATCAATGCCCAGAGACCCTACTTACCCTGGACCCACTATGTCAGCAGGTCAGGCCATCAATGCCCAGAGACCCTACTTACCCTGGTCCCACTATGTCAGCAGGTCAGGCCATCAATGCCCAGAGACCCTACTTACCCTGGTCCCACTATGTCAGCAGGTCAGGCCATCAATGCCCAGAGACCCTACTTACCCTGGACCCACTATGTCAGCAGGTCAGGCCATCAATGCCCAGAGACCTTACTTAACCTGGCCCAACTATGTCAGCAGGTCAGGCCATCAATGCCCAGAGACCTTACTTACCCCGGGGTTTGGTGCACGACGCCCGACTGCCATCTTGGTGGCAAACCACACTAGAGCAAGCTGGGCAGATAGAAGCAGCTGATGTTGCCTCGCCAGAAACTCCGAAGCCTTTTCCTGCGCCTGAGGAGGACCTTGTGGGGGAGAGCACCAACCAGAGTGGAAGCAACAACAAAAACTATGCAGCTTTGATTAAAAGGGCTGGGCCGTATATACTAGGTATGTCATGGATCATTTAGATTTGATTCAAAGGGCTGAGCCGTATATACTAGGTATGTCATGGATCATTTAGATTTGATTCAATGGGCTGGGCCGTATATACTAGGTATGTCATGGATCATTTAGATTTGATTCAAAGGGCTGGGCCGTATATACTAGGTATGTCATGGATCATTTAGATTTGATTCAAAGGGCTGGGCCGTATATACTAGGTATGTCATGGATCATTTAGATTTGATTCAATGGGCTGGGCCGTATATACTAGGTATGTCATGGATCATTTAGATTTGATTAAATGGGCTGGGCCGTATATACTAGGTATGTCATGGATCATTTAGATTTGATTCAAAGGGCTGGGCCGTATATACTAGGTATGTCATGGATCATTTAGATTTGATTCAAAGGGCTGGGCCGTATATACTAGGTATGTCATGGATCATTTAGATTTGATTCAAAGGGCTGGGCAGTATATACTAGGTATGTCATGGATCATTTAGATTTGATTAAAAGGGCTGGGCCGTTTATACTAGGTATGTCATGGATCATTTAGATTTGATTCAAAGGGCTGGGCCGTATATACTAGGTATGTCATGGATCATTTAGATTTGATATAAAAGGGCTGGACCGTATATACTAGGTATGTCATGGATCATTTAGATTTGAATCAAAGGGCTGGACCGTATATACTAGGTATGTCATGGATCATTTAGATTTGATTCAAAGGGTTGGGCCGTATATACTAGGTATGTCATGGATCATTTAGATTTGATTAAATGGGCTGGGCCGTATATACTAGGTATGTCATAGATCATTTACATTTGATTCAAAGGGCTGGGCAGTATATACTAGGTATGTCATGGATCATTTAGATTTGATTCAAAGGGCTGGGCAGTATATACTAGGTATGTCATGGATCATTTAGATTTGATTCAAAGGGCTGGGCCGTATATACTAGGTATGTCATGGATCATTTAGATTTGATTCAAAGGGCTGGCCCGTATATACTAGGTATGTCATGGATCATTTAGATTTGATTCAAAGGGCTGGGCCGTATATACTAGGTATGTCATAGATCATTTAGATTTGATATAAAAGGGCTGGACCGTATATACTAGGTATGTCATGGATCATTTAGATTTGATTCAAAGGGCAGGGCCGTATATACTAGGTATGTCATGGATCATTTAGATTTGATTCAAAGGGCTGGGCAGTATATACTAGGTATGTCATGGATCATTTAGATTTGATTCAATGGGCTGGGCCGTATATACTAGGTATGTCATGGATCATTTAGATTTGATTAAATGGGCTGGGCCGTATATACTAGGTATGTCATAGATCATTTAGATTTGATATAAAAGGGCTGGACCGTATATACTAGGTATGTCATGGATCATTTAGATTTGATTCAAAGGGCTGGGCCGTATATACTAGGTATGTCATGGATCATTTAGATTTGATTCAAAGGGCTGGGCCGTATATACTAGGTATGTCATGGATCATTTAGATTTGATTCAAAGGGTTGGGCCGTATATACTAGGTATGTCATGGATCATTTAGATTTGATTCAAAGGGCTGGGCCGTATATACTAGGTATGTCATGGATCATTTAGATTTGATTCAATGGGCTGGGCCGTATATACTAGGTATGTCATAGATCATTTAAATTTGATTCAAAGGTATGGAAATGAAATACTCATATACATAGGCTATATTGTAAATCCATGAAACAACAAACTAATAAATAAAAATTAGCATAGAATTTCTTTCTTTTTCTCAACTAGAATTTAACTAACTAGAACTTAATGGTTTTTTTTTTATTCATTAAAAAGAATTTGAGTTGATTTGGTTATGATCTGCTGTGAAATAAATTTGAACTTAAATAAAGGTTGGACAAAGTCCATTTCAGCTTCACATTAGTAGACGGTAGCAACAAATTGCTTGTAGTTTTGTTTTGAATCATTTGAGTGTAATCCTTGGGTGAATTGCTTGTAGTTTTGTTTTGAATCATTTGAGTGTAATCCTTGGTTGACCTTTACAGGGCCAAGGATTGGGTCCTCACCAGTCAGAAGTATTGTCCAGTGTTTGGCACGCAAAGAGGGAACTAGCAAATTCTACATCATCAAGGTAAGCAAAAAGGTAACCCCACCAACCTCGTCTGACCCCACCAACCTTGTCTGACCCCACCAACCTTGTCTGACCCCACCAACCATGTCTGACCCCACCACTGACCCCACCAACCTCATCTGACCCCACCAACCTTGTCTGACCCCACCAACCTTGTCTGACCCCACCAACCTTGTCTGACCCCACCACTGACCCCACCAACCTTGTCTGACCCCACCAACCTTGTCTGACCCCACCAACCTTGTCTGACCCCACCAACCTTGTCTGACCCCACCACTGACCCCACCAACCTTGTCTGACCCCACCAACCATGTCTGACCCCACCACTGACCCCACCAACCTCATCTGACCCCACCAACCTTGTCTGACCCCCACCAACCTCGTCTGACCCCACCAACCTCGTCTGTGACCCCCACCAACCTTGTCTGACCCCACCAACCTTGTCTGACCCCACCAACCTTGTCTGACCCCACCACTGACCCCACCAACCATGTCTGACCCCACCACTGACCCCACCAACCTTGTCTGACCCCACCACTGACCCAACCAACCTTGTCTGACCCCACCAACCTTGTCTGACCCCCACCAACCTTGTCTGACCCCACCAACCTTGTCTGACCCCACCAACCTTGTCTGACCCCACCAACCTCGTCTGACCCCCACCAACCTTCTCTGACCCGCACCAACCTTCTCTGACCCCATCAACCTCGTCTGACCCCACCAACCTCGTCTGTGACCCCCACCAACCTTGTCTGACCCCACCAACCTTGTCTGACCCCACCAACCTCGTCTGACCCCCACCAACCTTCTCTGACCCGCACCAACCTTCTCTGACCCCATCAACCTCGTCTGACCCCACCAACCTCGTCTGACCCCCACCAACCTCGTCTGACCCCCACCAACCTTGTCTGACCCCACCAACCTCGTCTGACCCCCACCAACCTCGTCTGACCCCACCAACCTCGTCTGACCTCTTGTGCCTGACCCCTAAAGCGCTGACAACTCAAGCCCATTTCTTGTGATCTCCCCAGATCCTGACCTTGACTGAGCCAGCTCAAGAGAGCATGGATGACAGACAGGGCAAGATGCTGATGTTGACAGAGTTCTCTCTACTGTCCCAGCTCACACAGGCTAAAGGAGTTGTCCATTGTAGAGATTTCTTTAAGGTACTGTCCCAGCTCACAGAGGCTAAAGGAGTTGTCCATTGTAGAGATTTCTTTAAGGTACTGTCCCAGCTCACAGAGGCTAAAGGAGTTGTCCATTGTAGAGATTTCTTTAAGGTACTGTCCCAGCTCACACAGGCTAAAGGAGTTGTCCATTGTAGAGATTTCTTTAAGGTACTGTCCCAGCTCACAGAGGCTAAAGGAGTTGTCCATTGTAGAGATTTCTTTAAGGTACTGTCCCAGCTCACACAGGCTAAAGGAGTTGTCCATTGTAGAGATTTCTTTAAGGTACTGTCCCAGCTCACAGAGGCTAAAGGAGTTGTCCATTGTAGAGATTTCTTTAAGGTACTGTCCCAGCTCACACAGGCTAAAGGAGTTGTCCATTGTAGAGATTTCTTTAAGGTAGTGTCTCACTCACTCAAGGAGTTGTCCATTGTAGAGATTTCTTTAAGGTACTGTCCCAGCTCACACAGGCTAAAGGAGTTGTCCATTGTAGAGATTTCTTTAAGGTACTGTCCCAGCTCACAGAGGCTAAAGGAGTTGTCCATTGTAGAGATTTCTTTAAGGTACTGTCCCAGCTCACACAGGCTAAAGGAGTTGTCCATTGTAGAGATTTCTTTAAGGTAGTGTCTCACTCACTCAAGGAGTTGTCCATTGTAGAGATTTCTTTAAGGTAGTGTCTCACTCACTCAAGTTGTCCATTGTAGAGATTTCTTTAAGGTAGTGTCTCACTCACTCAAGGAGTTGTCCATTGTAGAGATTTCTTTAAGGTAGTGTCTCACTCACTCAAGGAGTTGTCCATTGTAGAGATTTCTTTAAGGTAGTGTCTCACTCACTCAAGGAGTTGTCCATTGTAGAGATTTCTTTAAGGTAGTGTCTCACTCACTCAAGGAGTTGTCCATTGTAGAGATTTCTTTAAGGTAGTGTCTCACTCACTCAAGTTGTCCATTGTAGAGATTTCTTTAAGGTAGTGTCTCACTCACTCAAGGAGTTGTCCATTGTAGAGATTTCTTTAAGGTAGTGTCTCACTCACTCAAGGAGTTGTCCATTGTAGAGATTTCTTTAAGGTAGTCTCTCACTCAAGGAGTTGTCCATTGTAGAGATTTCTTTAAGGTAGTGTCTCACTCACTCAAGGAGTTGTCCATTGTAGAGATTTCTTTAAGGTAGTGTCTCACTCACTCAAGGAGTTGTCCATTGTAGAGATTTCTTTAAGGTAGTGTCTCACTCACTCAAGGAGTTGTCCATTGTAGAGATTTCTTTAAGGTAGTGTCTCACTCACTCAAGTTGTCCATTGTAGAGATTTCTTTAAGGTAGTGTCTCACTCACTCAAGGAGTTGTCCATTGTAGAGATTTCTTTAAGGTAGTGTCTCACTCACTCAAGGAGTTGTCCATTGTAGAGATTTCTTTAAGGTAGTGTCTCACTCACTCAAGGAGTTGTCCATTGTAGAGATTTCTTTAAGGTAGTGTCTCACTCACTCAAGGAGTTGTCCATTGTAGAGATTTCTTTAAGGTAGTGTCTCACTCACTCAAGGAGTTGTCCATTGTAGAGATTTCTTTAAGGTAATGTCTCACTCACTCAAGGAGTTGTCCATTGTAGAGATTTCTTTAAGGTAGTGTCTCACTCACTCAAGGAGTTGTCCACTGTAGAGATTTCTTTAAGGTAGTGTCTCACTCACTCAAGGAGTTGTCCATTGTAGAGATTTCTTTAAGGTAGTGTCTCACTCACTCAAGGAGTTGTCCATTGTAGAGATTTCTTTAAGGTAGTGTCTCACTCACTCAAGGAGTTGTCCATTGTAGAGATTTCTTTAAGGTAATGTCTCACTCACTCAAGGAGTTGTCCATTGTAGAGATTTCTTTAAGGTAGTGTCTCACTCACTCAAGGAGTTGTCCATTGTAGAGATTTCTTTAAGGTAATGTCTCACTCACTCAAGGAGTTGTCCATTGTAGAGATTTCTTTAAGGTAGTGTCTCACTCACTCAAGGAGTTGTCCATTGTAGAGATTTCTTTAAGGTAGTGTCTCACTCACTCAAGGAGTTGTCCATTGTAGAGATTTCTTTAAGGTAGTGTCTCACTCACTCAAGGAGTTGTCCATTGTAGAGATTTCTTTAAGGTAGTGTCTCACTCACTCAAGGAGTTGTCCATTGTAGAGATTTCTTTAAGGTAGTGTCTCACTCACTCAAGGAGTTGTCCATTGTAGAGATTTCTTTAAGGTAGTGTCTCACTCACTCAAGGAGTTGTCCATTGTAGAGATTTCTTTAAGGTAGTGTCTCACTCACTCAAGGAGTTGTCCATTGTAGAGATTTCTTTAAGGTAGTGTCTCACTCACTCAAGGAGTTGTCCATTGTAGAGATTTCTTTAAGGTAATGTCTCACTCACTCAAGGAGTTGTCCATTGTAGAGATTTCTTTAAGGTAGTGTCTCACTCACTCAAGGAGTTGTCCATTGTAGAGATTTCTTTAAGGTAGTGTCTCACTCACTCAAGGAGTTGTCCATTGTAGAGATTTCTTTAAGGTACTTAGTGTCTCACTCACTCAAGGAGTTGTCCATTGTAGAGATTTCTTTAAGGTAGTCTCTCACTCAAGGAGTTGTCCATTGTAGAGATTTCTTTAAGGTAGTGTCTCACTCACTCAAGGAGTTGTCCATTGTAGAGATTTCTTTAAGGTAGTGTCTCACTCACTCAAGGAGTTGTCCATTGTAGAGATTTCTTTAAGGTAGTGTCTCACTCACTCAAGGAGTTGTCCATTGTAGAGATTTCTTTAAGGTAGTGTCTCACTCACTCAAGGAGTTGTCCATTGTAGAGATTTCTTTAAGGTAGTGTCTCACTCACTCAAGGAGTTGTCCATTGTAGAGATTTCTTTAAGGTAGTGTCTCACTCACTCAAGGAGTTGTCCATTGTAGAGATTTCTTTAAGGTAGTGTCTCACTCACTCAAGGAGTTGTCCATTGTAGAGATTTCTTTAAGGTAGTGTCTCACTCACTCAAGGAGTTGTCCATTGTAGAGATTTCTTTAAGGTAGTGTCTCACTCACTCAAGGAGTTGTCCATTGTAGAGATTTCTTTAAGGTAGTGTCTCACTCACTCAAGGAGTTGTCCACTGTAGAGATTTCTTTAAGGTACTGTCCCAGCTCACAGAGGCTAAAGGAGTTGTCCATTGTAGAGATTTCTTTAAGGTAATGTCTCACTCACTCAAGGAGTTGTCCATTGTAGAGATTTCTTTAAGGTACTGTCTCACTCACTCAAGGAGTTGTCCATTGTAGAGATTTCTTTAAGGTAGTGTCTCACTCACTCAAGGAGTTGTCCATTGTAGAGATTTCTTTAAGGTAGTGTCTCACTCACTCAAGGAGTTGTCCATTGTAGAGATTTCTTTAAGGTAGTGTCTCACTCACTAAAGGAGTTGTCCATTGTAGAGATTTCTTTAAGGTAGTGTCTCACTCACTCAAGGAGTTGTCCATTGTAGAGATTTCTTTAAGGTAGTGTCTCACTCACTCAAGGAGTTGTCCATTGTAGAGATTTCTTTAAGGTAGTGTCTCACTCACTCAAGGAGTTGTCCATTGTAGAGATTTCTTTAAGGTAGTGTCTCACTCACTCAAGGAGTTGTCCATTGTAGAGATTTCTTTAAGGTAGTGTCTCACTCACTCAAGGAGTTGTCCATTGTAGAGATTTCTTTAAGGTAGTGTCTCACTCACTCAAGGAGTTGTCCATTGTAGAGATTTCTTTAAGGTAATGTCTCACTCACTCAAGGAGTTGTCCATTGTAGAGATTTCTTTAAGGTAGTGTCTCACTCACTCAAGGAGTTGTCCATTGTAGAGATTTCTTTAAGGTAATGTCTCACTCACTCAAGGAGTTGTCCATTGTAGAGATTTCTTTAAGGTAGTGTCTCACTCACTCAAGGAGTTGTCCATTGTAGAGATTTCTTTAAGGTAATGTCTCACTCACTCAAGGAGTTGTCCATTGTAGAGATTTCTTTAAGGTAGTGTCTCACTCACTCAAGGAGTTGTCCATTGTAGAGATTTCTTTAAGGTAGTGTCTCACTCACTCAAGGAGTTGTCCATTGTAGAGATTTCTTTAAGGTAGTGTCTCAGTCACTCAAGGAGTTGTCCATTGTAGAGATTTCTTTAAGGTAGTGTCTCACTCACTCAAGGAGTTGTCCATTGTAGAGATTTCTTTAAGGTAGTGTCTCACTCACTCAAGGAGTTGTCCATTGTAGAGATTTCTTTAAGGTAGTGTCTCACTCACTCAAGGAGTTGTCCATTGTAGAGATTTCTTTAAGGTAGTGTCTCACTCACTCAAGGAGTTGTCCATTGTAGAGATTTCTTTAAGGTAGTGTCTCACTCACTCAAGGAGTTGTCCATTGTAGAGATTTCTTTAAGGTAGTGTCTCACTCACTCAAGGAGTTGTCCATTGTAGAGATTTCTTTAAGGTAGTGTCTCACTCACTCAAGGAGTTGTCCATTGTAGAGATTTCTTTAAGGTAGTGTCTCACTCAAGGAGTTGTCCATTGTAGAGATTTCTTTAAGGTAGTGTCTCACTCACTCAAGGAGTTGTCCATTGTAGAGATTTCTTTAAGGTAATGTCTCACTCACTCAAGGAGTTGTCCATTGTAGAGATTTCTTTAAGGTAGTGTCTCACTCACTCAAGGAGTTGTCCATTGTAGAGATTTCTTTAAGGTAATGTCTCACTCACTCAAGGAGTTGTCCATTGTAGAGATTTCTTTAAGGTAGTGTCTCACTCACTCAAGGAGTTGTCCATTGTAGAGATTTCTTTAAGGTAGTGTCTCACTCACTCAAGGAGTTGTCCATTGTAGAGATTTCTTTAAGGTAGTGTCTCACTCACTCAAGGAGTTGTCCATTGTAGAGATTTCTTTAAGGTAGTGTCTCACTCACTCAAGGAGTTGTCCATTGTAGAGATTTCTTTAAGGTAATGTCTCACTCACAGAGGCTAAAGGAGTTGTCCACTGTAGAGATTTCTTTAAGGTAGTGTCTCACTCACTCAAGGAGTTGTCCATTG